GGCTCCAATTGTCCAGTTCAATCTTATGACATCTGGCCTGCACATTGTAACTGATTAATTCATTGCAACTGCTTTTCAAACAGTGACAATCTTTAGGAGGGGAGAAATAACAATACCCAATACAACAATTATCCAAAAAAAACTTCTACTCATCTAATCAAAATTTACCGTTCCACTCTAGCCTCGGCCAAGTCGTCCTTCTACTCCAGGATAATCCTGGAGGCGAAGAACAACCCCAGGCTACTGTTTTCTACCACATCCCGACTCCTCCATCCCCCCGCCACCCCGCGCAGGTCATCTCCTCCAACCTTCACTGCGAGGAGATGCTGGATTTCCTTGAATCCAAAATCAAGGGAATTCGCTCCGCGGTCACTTCCCCTCCAACATCCACCCACCACCCACCCCTTCCCTCCCACACTCCGACTCCTACCCATCCTCCCCTACACACTTTTGTACCGTTTCCCCACCCTCTGTCACCAAACTCATCCTATCCCTGAAACCCACCACCTGCTCCCTTGACCCCATCCCCACTCCACTCCTTATCTCCCAGCTCCACCTCCTTGCCCCACTTCTCACAGACATCATCAACCTGTCCCTCTCCTCTGGCTCTGTTCCCATTCCCTTAAAAACTGCCACCATCACTCCCACCTTGAAAAACCCTCCCTTGATGCGTCGCAGCTATCAAGCTACTGGCCCATCTCCACCTCCCCTTCCTGTCCAAGGTGCTGGAACGAGTTGTCGCCTCCCAGCTGCGCTCTTTCCTTTCCACCCATTCTCTTTTTGAACCCCTTCAGTCAGGTTTCCGTGCTGCCCATAGCACAGAAACTGCCCTGGTCAAGGTCACCAATGATATCCTGACCATCTGTGACCAGGGCTCCCTCTGCCTCCTCGTCCTCCTCGACCTATCGGCAGCATTCGATACGGTCGACCATGCTATCCTCCTCCACCGCTTGTCCTCCCACCTCAACCTTCAAGGCACTGTCCTTGAGTGGTTTAGGTCGTACCTCTCCCACCGTCTTCACTTTGTTTCCACGAATGGCTTTTCCTCCGGCCCCCGCACTGTCTCGTGCGGTGTCCCTCAGGGCTCTGTCCTCGGTCCCCTCCTCTTCACCCTCTATATGCTCCCCCTTGGTGACATCATCCGCAGACATGGGGTTAACTTCCACATGTATGCGGATGACACTTTCCTCCTCTACCCTCAACTCCACGACCACCGATGTCCTGACAGCTGCCTGTCCGACATCGAGTCCTGGACGAGAGACAACTTTCTTCAGCTCAACGTGCGTAAAACTGCGGCCCTCCTGATTGGCTCACGTCAGCGCCTCCGCACCTCAGGCGCTGACAGCATCAGCATCCAAGGCTGCACTCTCCACCTCTCAAAGCAGTCAGGAACCTCGGGGTTCTGTTCGACCCTGAGCTGTCCTTTCTCCCTCATATCCGCGCCACAACTGGCACCGCCTTCCATCACCTCCGGAACATCGCCAGACTACGGCACTACCTCACCCCTCACGCTGCTGAAACTCTGGTCCACGCCTTTATCACCTCAAGGCTGGACTATGGGAACTCTCTCCTCGCCGGCCTTCCCGGCACCTCTCTCCACAAGCTGCAGGTCATTCAGAACTCTGCAGCTCGTGTACTGTCCCGCACCAGGCTTCGCGACCACATCACTCCCACCCTCGCTCGCCTCCACTGGCTCCCCATCCCCCAGAGGATCGAATTCAAGATCCTCATTCTCACCTACAAGGCCATTCACGGCCTCGCTCCCTCCTACCTCTCTGACCTACTATCCCCCTACTTACCTGCCCGTACCCTCCGTTCCTCTGGCTCCGGTCTGCTCCACATCCCCCGCCCCAACCGCCCTACCATCGGTGGCCGGGCCTTCAGCCTCTCAGCCCCGAGGCTCTGGAACTCTATCCCCCAGTGCCTTCGCCGCCTCCTCCCTTTCCTCCTTCAAGGCCGGTCTCAAGACCTTTCTCTTTGACCGTGCCTTCAGCTCCCTTCTCGACTCTCTACCCCCTCCTCGCTCCCTCCCTTCCCTCCCCTCATCCTGACCATTTCCCCCTTGCTCGTCTCCTGACCCAACTGTACAGCGCCTTGGGACGTCCTCCCGACGTGAAAGGCGCTCTATAAATGGAATCTTGTTGTTGTTGTTGTTGTATATAACCCACTCTTTCTTTTTCCACAAACAACCAGGATGTGAACAAACAATCTTTTAATCTGGGGAATTGTTGGCATGGCACCAAGAGAAACTCACGTTTCTTTTCAAATAGTGCTACGGGATCTTTAATGTCCACCTGAATAGAGACAAGACCTTGGTTTAATGTCTCACCTGAAGGACGATACCAACAACAATAATGTATTCTATAGGTCAAAAAAAATCTATAAGCAGTCCATTTGAAACACTATAAAAGTTACAATGACTGCAAATCATATTCAACGTTAACACCAGAGACTTTGTACCAGCAGAAAACCAATGTTATTTTACTCGATGTGTAAACATTCCAAAATGAATGACATGGTCACAGGTCAATATAAAAGTTCTCCACCTCATCACAAAAAGCTAACTATTGGAGCATACAAGTACAATGAATCAGGATTATGTTACAAGTAAGAGTGCAAGTGCAAACCCACTGCAAGACCACTTTTACTTTTGAGAGGCAAAGATATGAACAATAACAGTTATGCGCTAGCCTTAGACCTCGAGGAAATAAATTCAATTGACAGAATGACCTCTTCCCTTTCCACATTGTTATCTGACTTTAACAGCAGAATATTCTCAGAATAATGACTTTACTTATGTGAACCTAGTCAGTAAGACCCCTTGATTGGTCGGGTAGGATATTATTAATAATCTTTGCATTTGATATAGCGCCTTATCACATCTTTGAGTCGTCTCAAAGCGCTTCACAGAATAAACTGTAAAGTGAATTGACTGTATATTTTGTGTGCAAAATATACTGCTTCACACAAGTGGCCGCTCCCTGTGTCCTCCAGAGCTCGCTGTCAATCTGCAAAACAGGAACCATGTTCTGCCTGGACATGTGCAATAGTGGTTTGATTTTCTAAGGAGTGGCAGGTTGTAACATGGCTATTGACAAGCTGCCTGTGTGGGCAGAATGAATAGTCACACAAGATAAGATTGAATACCTTATTCAATGCAGCTGAGCTATCCATGACGAAAGGTCAAAGTCGAAAATGTGGAAAGAGAGAAAAACATCTTAAGAGTTATATCTATTAGTAGAGAGTACTTAACATATGCAAAAATATGTCAGGGTAGGGTAGGGAGCAGTGTGGAGCGATTTGTATATTTTTTGACGTTGAGTGGGTTGTGGGAATGCCTTATATATAGCCCAATCATGAAGGTCAGCTGACCTGGAAGGAATATTGCTCCCGGACCTCTCTCTCTCCTCCACCATTGAAGTTCCTACTTTAGTGTGGACGTTGAATGGATGATATGAGAGATGAGGAGTGATGCTATTTGAAATTGAGACTACAGTGGTCTTTTCCGGTTTGCAAGCTCCAATGTTCCAATAAAATCACCTCTAGATCTCTCAGCACATGCTGTGGTAAAGGCACTGACTTATTTCCCTTACTGCAGTTCTGCCAGGAACAACTGTAACATAAAAGCACCATGGAGCTTCCCATGTAATTTCAGATAGCATTAAGTAGTCATGGTCTGGTAATCTCTCTTAAGTCACCTCGCTCGCAAAAGCAGCTCTCAATGAAAAACATTAATGCATCCTTTAAAACTTGCTTTCACTTGTTTTCATTCTATCCCTCCCCTCTTTCATGGCATGCCTCAAAACACACCTTTTTGGCCATGCTGTCCGTCATCTTTCCATTCCCACCCCACTCTGCTTCCACCCCCAACCAGTACTTGAAGCCCGATACAAATGTAAATTATGTTGTATTTGAAATAAAAAGCAATTTGAAGCACTTGGAGAGATCAGATTCATTTCAAATGATAGTGTTTGTTTCAAGTTTCACTTTGGTTAATTATCATGCTCCTGGATAGTACAATTACTTAGTATCACAGAATAAACATATCACACACTGAATCAGTTATTCTGTAGAAATGGTGACAGCCTGACAAATCAGATCATCCGAATAGAGAAGGAACTGATGCACAAATAAATTTGTGACAGCACAGATTAGCTTAAAAAAATCTTAAAACAAACAGTTTAAATCAGATTTTTTTAAAAAACGTATAAGGCAGCAAATGTTATACTTTTATAGTTGCCACGATAACTGTTATTTCTGTGACAGATTAGTAGATTTGAAGCGGCAGAATTGAGGGTGTGGCCCAGAAAGAAATCCTATATAGTGTAGATAAGGTCATCTGACAAGCAAATTGCATAACGTTCTGAAAGAAAAATGTCTCTGGATTTCTCTCTCTCTCCCCCCAGAAAGTTCCTATTTTAATGTGAACATTGATTGAATGAGAAAATGAACAATTCCATCCAAGTTATTGATAGAGGCATTACTCTATACAAAATAATCCCATAAAATGACACTGATCACCATGTTTAACACATATCAAGATCTTTGAGTCACTGGGAGTGAACAACATTGTGCTTTTGAATTTTTGTGTTTGCAGACCAGCCAAGTGCTAAAGTCCAAAGCAGTTGATTTATCGCAGGCGGTGCATGATCGTTCCAAACACCCACTTATATTGAAGTATCATATTTTGATTATCATGAAATCATAGTGCAAAATCCAACAGATAACACATACAAGCCATTTTAACAAAGGAGAGAGGCTAAAGACTGAAAAGTCTGGCCAGAGATTTTTATACAAACTTAGGATTCTCACAACTATACTATTCTACTTACAAAAGTTAATGTTATTTATGCCCAAGTAGGGATTAACTAGAGGCAATCTGTGGTACTACTACAACTAAGGCTGTAAGCACTATAGCAAAGGCCCACTCAAAACAATAAGCTTCGCAGACAATCCTATAGAAACATGTTGACATAAACACAGTATTTTTAAGCACTTACTTATTAATGAGTGGCTCTGCAGTTTCTTTGTGATAGAAAACTGGAATGGGCAACCCCCAACTCCTCTGCCTTGAAATGCACCAGTATGTGCGTCTGTCCAACATGTTGAGCATACTGTTGCTTGCTGATTCTGGAATTGTGTGGACTTTATGCAGCAAATCCTAAAACAAGACATCAACAGTACAGTTTGCATTAATTAGTTTGATGTTCAACTGATCTAAATGTACCAAAAGTATTAGATTTTTGAAACTGGAAATTACATACAAATACTGAAAGTTTTCCAATTGTATAGAATCTGCACAATATTCACTTCAACAAAATTGAAAGAAATTTTTTTTTGCAACAAGTTTCCTCTATTTCCTCCTCCCCCCAAATGTCTTTTCCAAACAGGAACATAAGAACATAAGAATTAGGAGCAGAAGTAGGCCATTCGGCCCCTTGAGCCTGTGCCCCGCCATTTGATAAGATCATGGCTGATCTTCAGACTTAACTCTAATTACCTGCCCTATCCCCATATCCCCTAATCCCTGTTTTTTTAAAAATCTATCAGTCTCAGCCTTGAAGATGTTCAAGGACTGAGGATCTACAGCCTTCTGGGGTAGTGAATTCCATAAATTCACTACCCTCTGAGTGAAGAAATGTTTCCTCAACTCTGTTCTAAAATGCTGACCCTTTATTTTGAGACTGTAACCCCTGGTTATAGATTCTCCTACCAGGGGAAACAGACCCTCAGTGACTACTTTATCAGCCCTTTAAGAATCTTATATGTTTCAATAAGATCTCCCCTAATTCTTCTGTACTCTAGAGAATATAGCCCTAGTTTATTCAGCCTATCCTCATAGGTCAGTCCCCTCATCCCAGGAACTAACCGAGTGAATCAACGCTGCACCCCCTCTAGGGCAAGTATGTCCTTTTTTAAATAAGGAGACCAAAACTGCACACAATACTCCAGGTGCAGTCTCACCAAGGCCCTATACAGTTATAATAATAATAATCCTTGCATTTGATATAGCGCTTTTCACGTCGGGAGGACGTCCCAAAGCGCTTCACAGAACACACTGTAAAGTGAATTGACTGTATATTTGTGGGCGAACGCGGCAGCCAATTGCGCACAGCAATGTCCCACAAACAGTCGTAGATTGAAAATGACCAATTTATTATTGTTTTTGGTTTTGGAGGGATTATTATTAGGCGTGTGGAGTAAGGAAACTTGCCCAAGGTTTCGCCCTGCCTGGAACTGAACTCAGGTCTCTCGCTTGCAAAGCGAGTGCTCTAACCACTGAGTTACAGGACTCCGCCAGTTGCACCAAGACTTCCCTACTCTTGTACTCTAAACCTTTTGCAATGAACGCTAACATGCCGTTCGCCTTCTTAGTTGCTTGCTGCACCTACAAACTAACTTTTTGAGACTGGTGTACAAGGACACCCAAACCCCTCTGAACACTAACACTATCTAATCTCTCCCCCTCTAGAATATAATCTGTTTTTCTATTTTTGCTACCGAGGTGAATACCTTCACACTTCCCCACATTAAATTCCATCTGCCACCTACTCGCCCACTCCCCAAGCCTATCTATATCCCGTTGCAATCGTTTTGCATCATCCTCAGAGCTTACTCTCCCACCTAGTTTAGTGTTATCCGCAAATTTAGATACGTTACATTCAATGTCCTCGTCTACAACAACAACAACAACAACAACAAGATTCCATTTATAAAGCGCCTTTCACGTCAGGAGGACGTCCCAAGGCGCTGCACAGTTGGGTCATGACCCGAGCAGGGGGGAAATGGTCAGGGGAGCGGAGGGAGCGAGGAGGGGGGAAATGGTCAGGGTGAGGGGAGGGATGGGAGGGAGCGAGAAGGGGAAGAGAGTCGAGAGGGGAGCTGAAGGCTCGGTCAAAGAGAAAGGTTTTGAGACCGGCCTTGAAGGAGGAGAGGGAGGAAGCAAGGCGAAGGCACTGGGGGATAGAGTTCCAGAGCCTCGGGGCTGAGAGGCTGAAGGCCCGACCACCAATGGTAGGGCGATTGGGGCGGGGGACGTGGAGCAGACCGGAGCCAGAGGAACGGAGGGTACGGGCAGGTAGGTAGGGGGATAGTAGGTTGGAGAGGTAGGAGGGAGCAAGGCCGTGAATGGCCTTGTAGGTGAGGATGAGGATCTTGAAATCAATCCTCTGGGGGATGGGGAGCCAGTGGAGGCGAGCGAGGGTGGGAGTGATGTGGTCCCGAAGCCTGGTGCGGGACAGTACACGAGCTGCAGAGTTCTGAATGACCTGCAGCTTGTGGAGGGAGGTGGCGGGAAGGCCGGCGAGGAGAGAGTTCCCATAGTCCAGCCTTGAGGTGACAAAGGCGTGAACCAGGGTTTCAGCAGCGTGAGGGGTGAGGTAATGCCGTAGTCTGGCGATGTTCCGGAGGTGATGGAAGGCGGTGCCAGTTGTGGTGCGGATGTGAGGGAGAAAGGACAGCTCAGGGTCGAACAAAACGCCGAGGTTCCTGACTGGCTTTGAGAGGTGGAGAGTGCAGCCTTGGATGCTGATGGTGTCAGCGCCTGAGGTGCGGAGGCGCTGACGTGAGCCAATCAGGAGGGCCTCGGTTTTTCGCACGTTGAGCTGAAGAAAGTTGTCTCTCGTCCAGGACTCGATGTCGGACAGGCAGCTGTCAGGACATCGGTGGTCGTGGAGTTGAGAGTAGAGGAGGAAAGGTAGAGTTGGGTGTCATCCGCATACATGTGGAAGTTAACTCCATGTCTGCGGATGATGTCACCGAGGGGGAGCATATAGAGGGTGAAGAGGAGGGGACCGAGGACAGAGCCCTGAGGGACACCACATGAGACAGTACGGGGGGTGGAGGAGAAGCCATTCGTCGAGACAAAGTGAAGACGGTGAGAAAGGTACGACCTAAACCATTCAAGGACAGTGCCTTGAAGGTTGAGGTGGGAGGACAAGCGGTGGAGTAGGATAGCGTGGTCGACCGTATCGAATGCTGCCGATAGGTCGAGGAGGACGAGGAGGCAGAGGGAGCCCTGGTCACAGATGGTCAGGATATCATTGGTGACCTTGACCAGGGCAGTTTCTGTGCTATGGGCAGCACGGAAACCTGACTGAAGGGGTTCGAAAAGAGAATGGGTGGAAAGGAAAGAGCGCAGTTGGGAGGCGACAACTCTTTCCAAGACCTTGGAGAGAAAGGGGAGGTTGGAGATGGGCCGGTAGCTTGATAGCTGCGACGCATCAAGGGAGGGTTTTTTCAGGGTGGGCGTGATGGTGGCAGTTTTTAATGGAATGGGGACAGAGCCAGAGGAGAGGGACAGGTTGATGATGTCAGTGATATGTGGGGCAAGAAAGTGGAGCTGGGAGATAAGGAGTGGAGTGGGGATGGGGTCAAGGGAGCAGGTGGTTGGTTTTAGGGATAGGATGAGTTCAGTGACAGAGGGTGGGGAAACGGGTACGAAGGTGTGTAGGGGAGGATGGGTAGGAGTCGGAGTGTGGGAGGGAAGGGGTGGGGGNTTGGTGGAAGTTGGAGGGGAAGTGACCGCGGAGCGGATTCCCTTGATCTTGGATTCAAGGAAATCCAGCATCTCCTCGCAGTGAAGGTTGGAGGAGATGACCTGCGCGGGGTGGCGGGGGGACGGAGGAGTCGGGTTGTGGTGGAAAACAGTAGCCTGGGGTTGTTCTTCGCCTCCAGGATTATCCTGGAGTAGAAGGACGACTTGGCCGAGGCTAGAGTGGAGCGGTAAATTTTGAGGAGGTCCAGCCAGATTTGTCGGTGGACCGTTAGGCCAGATTTGACACAGGTGCGTTCAGCAGCCCGCACCTGGCTTTTCAGTGAGCGGAGGTGGGTGGTGTACCAGGGGGAGGAGCGGGAGTAGGAGACAGTGCGGGAAGTGATGGGGGCAAGAGTATCGAGTGTGGAGGAGAGGGTATTGTGGAGGAGGGAGAGAGGAGAAGAGGGGTCGGTGAGGGTTGAAGGCCAGAGGGAGAGGAGTTCAGAGGACTCCAAGGCATCGGTTAGGGATTGTGGGGGTAACTTCTTCCAAGGGCGGTAGAAGATGGTGGTGGGTCTGGTGGAGGTGGGGAGGGGGGTGGAGGTGGTGAAGGAGATGAAGTAGTGGTCAGAGATGGCCTTGTCGGTAATAGTGACATCCGAGACACTGAGGCCCCGGGTGATCACCAAATCGAGTGGGTGGCCGTGACTGTGAGTGGGGGAGTTTATGTGTAAGGAGAGGTTGAGTGAGGAGAGCAGGGAAGAGAAGTCTGTGGAGATGGAGCAGGAGGGGGTGAAGTGTAGGTTAAAGTCGCCCAGGATGATGAGGCGATCAGAGCAGAGGCAAAGAGATGTGAGGAGTGTTGAAATGTCAGAGATGAAGGTGGGAGAGGTTTTAGGGGGCCGGTAGAGGAGGAGGATTTTAAGGGAGAGGAATGAGGGGTGGGAGAGGGTGAGGTGCTCAAAGGAGGGGAAAGAGCCAGTGGAGTAGGGGATAGGGCAAGTGGTGTCCTTGAGATAAGGGCAACACCACCGCCACGGCGGTTGGGGCGGGGGATGTGGTGGGAGGTGTAGCCGGGTGGCGTGGCCTCCGTGAGGGGGAAGGTGTCGCCTGGGGTGAGCCAGGTTTCTGTTAAGGCCATGATATCAACGTTCTCATCAAGGATGAGATCGTTGATGACCAGGGCCTTGTTGCAGAGGGAGCGGACATTTTGCAGTCCGATGTGGAGGGAGCGGTTGACAGAAGGGTGTGTGGGAGGGGAGGGGGTCCAGGTTGTGAGGCAGGGGTGGGGGGAATGGGGATGAGGGAGGAGAGGTTGACTCCCCGGGTCTGTGTCCGGGGTGGGTGGCGAGTGTGGTGGGGAATGGGGCAGTCGGTGTGGCTGCTGCTGGACAGCCAACGCCGAGTGCCACGGTGAGCCCGGCGGAGGATTCCCAGGCTGGAGCAGAGGGAGGTTGTGGGAGGGTCAAGTGGGGATAGAAGACGAGAGGGACGGAGAGAGAGGAGGAGAGAGCGGGAGAGATGCAGAGGGGGAAGGGTTTGGGGGGAGAGAGGAGGGGGAGGGAGGGAGGGGGTGAGGGGGCTCGGGTCAAAGCGGCAGCCATAGTGCGCACACGGGGACCGGGAGCGAGCGGTCAGGTGGATGGCATTATCCCGTAGATTGGGGCAGCGAACGCAACAGGACCATAGTGGGCTCTGATGTGAGCCCTGGGGGGGGGGGGGCGCAGAGAGTTTTTTTTTTTTTTTTTTGCGCGCGCGCACGCACCTGAAAACTAATCTATGACGTCGCAGTTCCCCCGCTCCGCCCCCACCCCTCCCCTCCCCGGGGCTGAACTCGCTCCGGCGTCGGGTTTAAGTACCTGGGTCAGTAGGCCCAGGCTCCTCCCCGCGCTGTCCTGCCGCCGCTCCCCGACTCAACGTCTAGATCATTGATGTAAATTGTAAATAGCTGAGGCCCAAGCACTGATTCTTGTGGCACTCCACTTGTTACATCCTGCCAATTCAAGAATGACTCGTTTATCCTTACTCTCTGTTTTCTACCCGTTAGCCAGTCTTCAATCCATGTTAATATGTTCCCATTAATCCCATGGGCCTTAACCTTGTGTGGCACTTTGGCAAATGCCTTTTTAAAATCTAAGTATACTACATCTACTAATAATCCCTCCAAAAAAACAAAAACAATAATAAATTGATCATTTTCAATCTACGACTGTTTGTGGGACATTGCTGTGCGCAATTGGCTGCCGCGTTCGCCCACAAATATACAGTCAATTCACTTTACAGTGTGTTCTGTGAAGCGCTTTGGGACGTCCTCCCGACGTGAAAAGCGCTATATCAAATTCAAGGATTATTATTATTATTATTACTGGTTCCCCCCTACCTACCTGCCCGTACCCTCCGTTCCTCTGGCTTCGGTCTGCTCCACATCCCCCGCCCCAACCGCACTACCATCGGTGGCCGGGCCTTCAGCCTCTCAGCCCCGAGGCTCTGGAACTCTATCCCCCAGTGCCTTCGCCGCCTCCTCCCTTTCCTCCTTCAAGGCCGGTCTCAAGACCTTTCTCTTTGACCGTGCCTTCAGCTCCCCTCTCGACTCTCTACCCCCTCCTCGCTCCCTCCCTTCCCTCCCATCACCCTGACCATTTCCCCCTTGCTCAGGTCCTGACCCAACTGTACAGCGCCTTGGGACGTCCTCCCGACGTGAAAGGTGCTCAATAAATAGAATTGTGTTGTTATTGTTGTTGTAATATATCTTCAAAAAACTCTAAAAGATTAGTTAAGCATGACTTCCCTTTTGTAAAGCCATGTTGACTCTGCCTAATCTTGTTATGGTCTTCCAGGAATCCCATAACGACATCCTTAATTAAGGATTTAAGAATTTTCCCTACCACTGAAGTCAGACTAACTGATCTATAGTTCCCCATCTTTTCTCTCCCACCCTTCTCAAATAGTGGTGTCACGTTTGCAATCTTCCAATCAGTGGGAACCGTTCCAGAATCCAGAGAATTTTGGAAGATCGAAGACAAGCCATCCACTATCTCAGATTTTGGACCCACATTTACCCTTGACAGCCTCTTCCTCTTTATATATTTATAAAAACTCTTGCAGTCTGTCTTTATGTTTCTCGTTAGTTTACCCTCATATTCCATTTTCTCCCTCTTAATCACTTTGTTGGTTCTCCTTTGTTGATCCCTAAAGTTCTCCCAATCCTCGGGTTTACTACTCATCTTAGCTGTTTTATAGGCTTCTTACTTTTAACTTTATACTTTCCCTAACTGCTCTAGTTAGCCATGGTTGGGCCACCTTTCCCATGGCATTCTTATTCCTCAAAGGAATACATGCTCACTGGGAATTTTGCACTATCTCCTTAAACGTCTGCCATTGCTGGTCTGCTGTCAAATCCTTAAGTCTGATTTCCCAGTTTATTTTGGCTAAATCCTCTCTCATACCAGCAAAATTGGCTCTACTTAAATTTAAAACCTTTGCTTCGGAATTAACTATTGCTCTGTCTAACTTAATGCTAAATTCCATCGTATTATGATCACTTTGCCCTGGAGGAGCCTTAATTTCCAGTTTGCTGATCAGCCCTGCTTCATTACACAAAACAAGGTCTAATATGGCTTGTTCCCCGGTTGGCTCCTCAGCATACTGATCTAGATAATTATCCCTAATACATTCTATAAACTCTTCCTCTATCATACTTTTCCCAATTTGGTTGTCCCAATCTATGTGCAGATTAAAATCACCCACAACTAATGTTTTTCCTTTACTACATGCTCTGCTAATTTCCTGATTTATACCTGTGACTGCTGTTCGAACTTGCTCCTCAACTCACTTTTTTTGTTGTTATAAATGGGATGTCGACATAAATGGGTAGGGCTGAAGTATGTTCAGGAACATAGGCAATAACTCTCTCCTGTGGCAATTTAAGGCTACTGCAATATATCAACTCTTTTTAAAACTATTAAGTAATAACATGTTTGCTGTCTTCAATGACATGCACATATTTCACAATTTCTAACTTCCACAACCATGTTGGAATCATCAGTTTGAGTTTACTGAATAACTAGCTGCTTGAGTTTTGCCTGAAGTGCACAATTATAGCAAACGTACAGTAATTACAGAAACCCAACCATTAGCCTCTTTTCTCACTGATGAACTTATCGTCAATGTTCTATATATCTGTGCTTGAAGAATTTTCTGCTTCAATGCTGAATCCAAGAACAAGTAATAATACTAACCTTGTATTTGATATAGTGCCTTACCACGTCTTCGAGATATCTCAAAGCACTTCATAGAATATACAATAAAGTTAATTGACTATTTTGTGAGCAAAATGCAGTAACCAATTGCGCATAGTAGTGTCTCAAAAACAGTCGTAGATTGAGTGACCACATTTTTTTTATATAAAAGCGATTATTACCCCCAGAAAAGCGATCCACCAATTGACTAACAACCGGGTTCATACTCACTGCTAGGAAAACAGAGGCGTGTTGAGTAAGGCAACTTTCCCAACGTTCCACTCTGCCCAGAAATGCGAGGTGAGTGCTCTAACCACTGAGCTATGGTAATCAAACCCAGGTCTTCTCGCTTGCGAGTTGAGTGCTCTAACCACTGAGCTACAGGATTCCTGTACAGTATATTTACCTGAGCTTTAGCTTTGAGAGTTGAGGTATCGACAAACCACTGCTTGCTGGATCGAATGATTACTGGCTTCTTTGTCCTCCAGTCATATGGGTAAGAGTGTCTTACATCCTCTTCTTTCAATAGCATCTTTGTCTCTTCCAACATCTGGATTACTTTAACAAAAGTTTGCAATTTACATGTAGAATACATCACTAGTTAGTCCTGCAATTATACAGCTTTAATATGTTCCAGCGCAGAAAAAGGCTATTCAAACCAGTTTTAGCTTGTATTTTTTATTACCCATACCTGTATTTGTCAAGCATTCTACCCATCTCAATCTACTGTATTTAACAGAATTACACAGTAATTTTGTACCAACCAGTGTCATATTTATAATCAATAAGCTGGGTGACAGAGCTGTCTCTCAGAGGCACTTGGTACAGTATCCAGAACAAGTATTCTCTCCTCTGGAGGCATACATCTCACAAGCCACCACCACTTACGAGGTCAATATAGTCCACCAACATTTTCTGACTCTGAATGCACTGAGTTCTCAATCTGCCCATATATACCAGCAATATTTTGATCGTGGCACAGGTGATCAAAAAATAAAAGTTGGAGGTCAAAGATCTGAAACCAATGTATGTGCATGTTTCACAGCTAGTGGCATGAATTCAGCTCTGCAGTATAAGGTGAAGTGGCTTTGCAGTTACCCGTACTATTATCTTTTTACAGGCACATTGGAAATTTCTCGTGGGTTACATGACATACTTCCAGTTACCAGCAGAATTCAATATTTAGGAATTCTTTTGGAACCCTGTTACGATTTCTGCATTTTTGGTCCCTTCAAAGCTATCCCATTATAACACGGTAACCTGAGTAAAATTTCTCAAAGGTAAATGCCAACAACTCCTTTGCAAAGTGAAATCAGCAACACTTCCGAAACATTTCCTGCATGTGCAGCGCAGGAAGTGACATTGCAGTGTTTAGCATACAAACAGTAACATCAGTGATGCTTCCTGTGCATAGAGTTCACTTTCCATTCCTTCAAATGAGATGTTAAACTGAGGCCCTGTCTGCCTGTTCAGTTGGACAGCAAAGATCATATGGCACTATTAAAAAAAAGGGAATTTCTCTAGGTATCCTGGCCAACAATCCCCCAAATAAAAATAAAATTGGTCATTCATTTCAGAACAATTTATGGGAAATTGGCTGCCCCATTCACCAACAAAACAATGCATTTTAGTCAATGTGAAGCACTTTGGGGGGGCATCCTCCTGACGTGAAAGGCACTGTTACAAAATGTTAGAGGATTATTATTAATGTGCAGGAAGTGACATCAATGATGACCTGATAATCCAGACATTTTTTATCATAGGAAGCCAGCTTGTCACCATGAGAATCTAGGTGTATGGGGGGAGAAAGTGTTACAGTGGGATTACCCTGTATATGCTGCAGCTTTACCACTACTCTCTTTTTGTGCAAGGTGCAGTTGCTTGCTTATACATATTTTTAAAAAAGAGCATCTCCTTTAATATTTTGTGACACAAACTAATTGTATGAAAGTACTGCCAACCTGTTTGGTTTCCTTCCTGAAGGACATATTTGTTTTGAAGTTCTGAACCAGCGGCTTCTGTGAAACGACCATCCTCATCCACTAGACAATCCTGGAGCAATATTTACAAGCACATGAATGAAGATTTAGCAAAGACAAGAAAGATGTGAATAAGTTATGAATATTCTCTATAGCATTCTGGACCACCACTAAAAATAGTACCACTTTTCAACAGTCCTCAGCGTAAGAGCCTTACTATTGGTGCATCAAATTATCAGTCACATTGTTACATCTGTAGATGTATAGGTTCTACACTTCAGCCTCCCCAGGTCTAAACTGGCCAACCAACCAGCAGTCACCAAAGTAACCCAGATCTACATTACACATATAAAAAGAACACATTCATCGAACCTAACAAACCCTTTGAAACAAAAACTTAGCTTTCTACAGCTTTTCCCCACATTCAGGAGGCACAGAGGAGATGTCAATCACCCACCCAATGGCAAATCCTACAGGGAAGCAGCTTGTTTCTCTCTACCCCTTTCCCTCTTCTTCGACCATGCCATTGGCCACCCCCCTTCCCCTCCCTTCTCCCCCCGACCCCTGCTCGGGTCTGAAACTCTGTACACTGTCCAGCGCCTTGGGACGTCCTCCTGACGTGAAAGGTGCTATACAAATGTAATCTTGTTGTTGTTGTTGTATTCCCTCCAACCGATTCCAAGCCCAGGTGGTAACTAGTAGTTCTCATTTATCACTTCATGATTCCTAACAAGGAAGCTTGCTCCTTAAAGGAGCACTGGAACTTCAACTTTATTTATCACTGTTGTATCTGTAACGTACCACAGAGAGTTTGTGATGAGAGGCGACACCATAATCTTCCATCCCATGTGCAGGAGCTGTATGAACCAGTCCAGTTCCTTTAACCATATTCACATGATTGGCAGGCAAAAGTGGAGAGTGTCTTTCAGGAATTGTAGGGTGGCTACAGATTCCTCCTTCCAAATCTGAACCTATATTGGGAACAGCAAAAATATAAATGTGCTGAATGTGAAATGCAATCTGGCACTCCGGCTTGAAACAACCTTGTACAGACATCAGTAGGGCGATTCCACAATGCTCAGTAAATGTATTAACTATTGAGTAACTACCTTAATCTCCCCTGAACAAACATACCTATGAGGGCAAAATTGATTTGAGCTTTGAATGCTTGTCAAAGTAAAATAGTGCCCTGACCTAAACACAGAAAAAAGCCCTTAATTGAGCGAAGTGTCAGAGGGCTTCTTCTGACAGTGATCACCACACAAGGTGATCACCATCAGAAGACGAGTAAGCAGAGAAAATTGGAAGGAACAGACAGTTAAACGGCACTATAAAAAAGTACATCAGCTTCAGTAGAAAATATGACCAACTCAGTGCACATCAACTTAACCTCCCCACCACACACACAAATACTCACACACTCACAAATACTCACCTATGAATGTCTGAAGTACTTCAAATTGTGTGCTGAAGGCAGCTGCTGTAAATTCTATCCGTTCTGCAGCCAGAAGATAGAGTTCTTCTGTATTTAGGCACTTCACTATGGAATATCTGTATTCAAAACACATTAAAACGTGCTCATAGGTCTTAAAGTTTTCTAACCCAGAATCGTTATGACAAGTCTCACATGGACAAAGTAAATTAACATCTCTGACAGGAATTACAAGTATTCTCCTGTTTTTTATAAACAAAGCATTAGCAGTCTCCATTTAATCTGTGGTAAGAGCTATAGAAATTTACAATACAGAAGATCATTCAGCTTCAGTGCATGCGCTAGCTCTCCAAAATAGTTATTCATTTAATCCCACTCTCCTGCCTTTTCTCCATATTCTTTTATATTTATAGTTGTCTTGGGTTTTACAATGCAATTATTAAAACTGCACCCTAGAAGCTTAAAGGTGAAAGGAGTGGTTATTCAGTCACCTTCAGGTTCAAAACTGATCAATTGGATATATTGTTTGAGGATGGATGGATATGGAGAATTTATTTAAATGTTACACATTAGAATAACAGTTCCATTTCATAAAATTAAGAAGCCAATTTTAAAATTTTAACCTTTGTTTTTTTTAATCTATATTTTTTNAAATTCCCCCTCCTCCCCTGAAGCCATGGACTCCAGCTGAAGTGTGGGTATGGGCATTGGTTGATGTCTGAACACGTGCCAAGTAGGTTCTTCATGTGTAAAGTTGGACCATTAAAATTTAACTTAGTGTTCTCTAAAATAATCATTGTTTTTCTACAGAGATTTTATAATGGGAAATTTGTAATGACTATTTGTCTTCTTAGTCACGAGAACATGTTTAATTTGTGGCAATTTGCATGCAGCAACTCACTGTGCGTTTGGCATGTAACAAACTGCCTGGTTTGCAGGTATTGTCCAAGGTTGGGTCGTCCAGATCAATGCGTTAATGCAGTGATTGCTATCTGGAACAAAAAACGTTTGAAGACTGAAACAAAAGATAAACATTCTTCACTATAAAAAATCCATATTGTAACGGCATATAACAATAATAAATCTTGCATTTGATATAGCACCTTATCATATTATTGAGACTTCTCAAAGCGCTTCACAGAATATACTGTAAAGTAAACTGACTGTAATTTGTGGGTAATTAATAATACATTTGATATAGCACCTTTCGTGTCGAGTGAACGTCTAAAAGCGCTTCACTGGATATCCTGTAGTCTAATGACTATTTTGTAGACGATTGCAACTGTCAATTTGTACACAGCAATGTCTACAAACAGCCATGAAATGACTGATCAATTTGATTTGGGGGAATTGTTGGCCAAAACACCAGGAAGAAACCCACTTCTCTTTTCAAGTCATATCAAGGGATCTTTAACTTCCACCTAAACAGGCAAACACGACCTTGATTTAATGTCTCATCTGATGGACTGCATCTCCAACAGTGCAGTGCTCCCACAGGAACTGTATTGCACTGTCAGCCTGGACTACGTGAGTTCCAAGTCCTGACTTGGGGCTTACACCAACAACTTTCTGATTCAGAGGTGAGAGTGCTACTAACTGAGACTGGCTGACACACAGTGTGTCATAAGAGGTTACATTTGTCCTTCTTTTCCCCCCACAGATTAAATATTCATTCAATATTTGTTTCTGACAGAGTTATAATACTTCCATTTCATTCAGAGATTCATTATTTTCAAACACAATGGGTTACTTTGAAGAGCTGTTACATCTGTAAACATAGCTGCTTATCTGCACCGACAAACATGAATGAACTATTCATTTAAAACAATCGAACTGAAGAGGAAGATTAATTGGGAAAATTACTCACTCTTCAAATAGTGCCATGGGTTCTTTAACATCCATCTTAATAGGTAAATCAGACCTTAGTCAAGTCTCACCCAAAGGACCACATTTCCAACATGCAACACTTAGTTTTCTCACTGCTAAGGGTAATACGCTGGGGCCTGAACCCATAACATTTGATCTGGAGATTGAAAGGCTATCAACTGGACCCGACCAACACACAATGTTCATGCTTCTACAATTGGTACTGCACCTACCTATTGCTGGAGCAAGTTTGGTTGAGGGCTTTACCAGTGGAAACTTGGCATACACCGATCGACTAACATGTTGCTGATTGTATTCGAGCTCAGCTTCAGCCAGGGCAGTCCTGCACGGAGATGAACAAACATTCAGTTATTTTATTAAGTCCACCACAATTTCAATCCCAAGCTACTTCCAATAACATACAATACAAACCTTGTAGAGGGGGACCAAAAGACAGGTTTGTAGTCACGATAAACATAACCCTGAAAACAAAAAAGAAAATTGAAAACACGGTAAATGGAATCAGGGTATATCAAAGCTATATCAAGCAAGGAAATGCTATGCAAAATAGACGAGAAAAGTAAAAGACCTTGTCGAACATTTGGTGGAAAACGTCTAACTGTTTGGCTTCGTACTGCTTGTCAAAAGTGTAATAACAATTATTCCAGTCCGCCATCACACCCCATCGGATGAATGCTGCTCGTTGGCGTTCGATTGTTTTTTCTGCAAATTCTCTGGCTAGAAGATGGAGATGATATCAAAAGGTCAATAATTCTGTATGAACTATCAATAATGTATAAGAAGGCAAAAATATAAGACAAGTTAAAAAGACTGCCACTTAAATACATAAACAAAATTGCCGTTTTGCTTAATCTTTGGGTTGAGGCAAATGGGCCTTTACCTAGGGAGTGACCTATTAGTGGAGTCGTTAGCTCAGTGGTTAGAGCACTCACCTCACAAGCAAAAGACCTGGGTTTGATTCCCAGCAAGGCGAAACCTGGTCAAGTTTCCTTACTCCACATGCCTGATAATAATCCCTCAAGAAAAAAAATAAAATAAAAATTTGGTCACTCAATCCACGGCTGTTTGTGTGCAATTGGCTGCCACGTTTTCGTCCACAAATATAGTCAATTCTCTTTACACTATATCCTGTGAAGTGCTTTGAGACGCCTAGAAGACGTGAAAAGCGCTACATCAAATGCAAGTATTATTATTATTATTATCAGCCGTGAGTCTGCAGACTGATGTAAAACTGGTCTCTGGCTAGAAGAAGGAGATGATATAAAAAGGTCAATAATTCTGTATCAACTATCAATAATGTATGATGACAAAGCAATAATCTAACGCCCCACATACAACACCTAAAACACAGGAGCATCACAATGTAATCACCTTTCAAGTTATTTTGCTCTTAAAATGCAGCCCATTACTGGTCCTTATGTTGCAATATGTTATACTAAACACAACTTTAATCCAAATTTAAAGCTTAAGTTTTGCAAAATGACTAAACTACATCAATAGTTACTAAGATTTAAATGCATCATTTGTTAATTGTGATTTTCATATAGTACCACACCCAGAAAAAATTAAACTATAGGACAGATCAACTGAACAAACTTTCACTTTTAATTGCTTTGGACCTAGTTCATGATAAACAATGTGGCTTTCTTTAAGAAAACAAGAACATGTGCCAGTACACAAACAAATGAACAATTTATCAAACAATCACAAATAAAATATTCTAAAATTGGTCAACAACAGTGTGGGGTAAATATATTAAATATTAAAAGGCATTTTATAAAATGTAAAAGATTTCCAATTGCAGTGTGTGCTACTTAAAAATTATGACAGGTTAAACTACAGCTTGAAATAGCATCAAGTTGTAGTTTAAACGGTTTGCAATGTAGGTAAATATCAGGAGACAATGTAAGAATAGCAAAAGTACACAGCTTCAGTGAAACAGTTACCTTACCTTTCTTCCTGATCTCTATAGGAGATAATGTTTTAGCCTCTTCCCCAATTTCTTCCAGGGCCTTAAGTTCAATAGGCAACCCATGGCAATCCCAACCTGGTACAAAGTGAACTATGCAACCTCTCATCATCTGAAACCTATTTGTGATATCCTTCAGAATCTATTCATGGGAAACAGAAAATAAAATAATGCTGAATTAGGAAATAATAGTTTGTCTCATTTTCTTCCACTTTAGTGTTTTTTCCTCCTTTTGTTAATTGTGTCATTACAAAATGACAGGTTTACAGTAAAAACATTAATGGTGGTCGGGGATTCAGCATCACTGCCCCCACACTCTGGAACTCTATCCCATAATCCACCCACCTCGCCCCCTCTTTTGCCTTCTTCAAGTCCCATCTAAAGAGCTTCCTCTTCAACTGTGCCTTCGGCCACCCTCCCACCCTCTCCACCCATCCTGACCCCAAATCCCAACTCCAGTCCAAAATTCCAACTGCCCAGCGCCCTGAGATGTCTTTCGGATGTGAAGGGCGCTATACAAGTGTATTTTTGTTGTTGTTGTATTGTTCAGACAAGTCACAGATTGAAGCATTCCTCTTTCCAAAGTAAATTCCACACATTCAATGAAAACTTCAGATACTACAGTACATGAACTCACTTTGTTTAAAGCATGGCCAACATGGGGGTCTCCATTAGCATACGGTGGTCCATCATGAAGACAAAACTGCTTCTTTGCTGTTTGGTTTCTTTGCCAAGAGTACAGCTCTGAAAAGCCACATTCCTAAAAAAAATTGTGCAAAAGTATCTCATGACATTATCTCATGACTTTACTATACCCATTATCAATAAAATAATAAAATCTGAGATTGTTACAAAGAATTGCAAACATATCTGTTTCAGATCAAAAATCAAATTCCGCTCATGTTGTACATGCTAATTTATGACAGTTTATTTCTGGTAACATTACCATAATTATTGCAAAAAATCCACCCTCTTCCTCCTCACTTCCCAGAAAACAAAAACAGAAGATAGCTCAGCAGCCTAGGAATTCCCCTCTTTAATAATAATAATAATAATTGTATTTGATACAGCGCCTTATCAGAAAACGTGAAAAGCCCTATATCAAATACATGGATTATTGTTATTTATTTATTTATCCGGTCTTCGAGACATCTCAAAGGCCTTCATAGAATATACTGTAAGGTGAATTGACTGTATATTTTGTTGGCGAAACATCCCAGATAAGCGATCTGCCAATCAACTAACAACCGGGTTCCTACTTACCACTAGGTAAACAGAGGTGTGTGGAGTAAGGAAACTTAGCAAACATTCCGCCTGCCCGGGGAATCAAATCCAGGTCTTCTCGCTTGCAAGGCAAGCGCTCTAACCAATATGCTGCAGGAGTCCACTCTTTGGCTCCATCACAGAATCATGTCAGTTTGGGTTTCTGCCTTTGACTTTGGACCCTGTAGTCAATTCGCACTTCTGGACTTCTTTTTCAATCACATAGTTATATACGTTGCTTGATTTTGGTATATTGATAAGCATTATGTTGTTTCTTGCATATATCAATGGTTATTAGCTGCTGACAACTGCGCCACTCCTTCCTAATATAGATAACGTTTTGATATATTTATATCGTATTTGTAAAATGCAACTGTTCAAAAACAATCGCAGAAAAAAATAATTGTCAGAGTGGGCTATACTATACTATTGTTTGACTTCTCCGAGTTATTTAATTATATTTTGGGGACGTTCTGCAGACTATAATTTTTTGGGAGCAGGGGCAGGAAATCACAAATATGCTGATAGTGAGTAAGTCAATAATTGAATGGAAGATAAAGTTTTTTTTAAATCAGTGTTTTCCAACTATTAAATAGTACCATATGCAACATCATTTACAACAATTAAAGGCTTTTCAGGGGGGAGAGGGGAGAGGGTGGGAGGGAAGAGAAAGGGGAGGAAGAGGAAAGGGGGGAAGAGGAAAGGGGAGGAAGAGGAAAGGGGGGAAGAGGGAAGAGAAGGGGGAGGAAGAGAAAGGGGGGAAGAGGAAAGGGGGGAAGAGGAAAGGGGGGAAGAGAAAGGGGGGGAAGAGGAAAGGGGGGAAGAGAAGGGGGAGGAAGAGGAAAGGGGGGAAGAGGAAAGGGGGGAAGAGGAAGGGGGGAAGAGGAAAGGGGGGAAGAGAAGGGGGAGGAAGAGGAAAGGGGGGAAGAGGAAAGGGGGGAAGAGAAGGGGGAGGAAGAGGAAAGGGGGGAAGAGAAGGGGGGAAGAGGAAAGGGGGGAAGAGGAAGGGGTGTTGTGTTGTGGTTATGGCACTGAATGGCAGACCCTACCCTCTGTGTTTGCAGTTCCCTCTCCAGCAGCTCGGGGCCGCTCAGCCTCAGGGGGAAGCCTGTGCGGGGCAGCAGCACCGTGTCCCTGAACTTGTTGTTGTTGGAGCTGGAGCTCGCGGCCTTCCGCCACCAGCCGCCCCGCTGTGCCCTCGCCCCGGCCCCGGCCCCGGCCCCCAGCCTCCCGGCGGCTCGTCTCCAGGCCGAGCGGCCTCTCAGCACCGACCCCATGGCCCAGTGACAGGCGGGAGGCCGCGCGGCGCTGACCCCACAGCTGACTCTGGCGCCGCGCCCCCTCCTGTACGGAAGCCGCAGAGGCTCAGCTCCACACCTCAAAACGCACTCTCGCTGCCCCAGCGCCGCTGTGCGGAGTGTCAATGTGGAGGAACAATGAGGTGGGAGTGAAGGGAGGAACCATCACAACCATAATCCTTGCATTTGATGCAGCGCCTTGTCACGCCTTCGAGACGTCTCAGAGCGCGGCTCAGAATCTACTGTAAAGTAGAATTGACTGTGTGTTTTGCAGGTCGTGAAGAGAGGTAGAAAAAAGCTAAGAGATAGCAAGACATTGCATTCCCGTCTGCCGCTCCAAAGTTAGGAGAAATATTCTCAAGTGCTCCGATACGTTATCTTATGCGAAGGGCACTTTATAAATGCATAGCCTGTTGTTGCATCTTGCATGTGCTATCATCCACACACAGTTGTATTTTGTTTTCCTCTACGCACTGTTTGTTATTGTCGTATTTTGTATCTTTGTATTTTCAGTGCCTGGGGATGTCCTCCCGACATGGAAGACGCGATACAACACGTAATTTTGTTGTTGTTATACTCTACACACTTGTTGTAACTTGTACATTCTGTCACCTACACATCTGAAACAATGGAGCTGGACAGCGCAGAACATGTCCAACTTCCTTATTATTTTTGTGAACCTGTGAGAACCGCTCCAGAGATACAACAATAACAAAAACAACAACAACTTGCATTTATATAGCACCCCTCATGCATGGCAGAGTCCCAGAGCACTTGAAGTAAATGGACACTGGAGTGCAGTTTCTATGGGTCGGTATTTTCTTACAGCAAGGAGGTTTCATTTTTGCAACTTCCTATGAAGGAATACCGTTAAGAAATATCGCAAATTAAACCCCAAATTAGTGGCCTTTCTTACCTTATTTCAGTAGCTGACACATTGCAAACATTTTGTTTTACTTCCTAGCTGTGTGTTCCAATGTCACTATGTCAGTGACTAGGGTTTAAAACTAATAATTAATATTTCTTGCAAGAGTTTGGCAATAGTGGTCATGCAATATTTAGGAAATTTAGATATTGGGCCATAATGTTGCATTCTAATAAGAGGAGCCACTTCCCTTGTTAAGTTATTCGATTTTAATCCACTGATCTTCAAACTAATCTTGGCAGAATTCCTTGTTAGGGACACAGCAGAAGCACAATGTTAATCATTTATTATGCATTAAAAGTAACAAACAGTAAGCTAAGATCTATTAGTAAATTAGCTCTTCATCATTGTTGCTGAAAGAAATTTGATTATTTTCTTTTTAGGTTTTTGTCAAACATCTGACACAAATCTAAAGTTAGCCAACTTGCATCCATGTGCAAAAGGCTTTCTCTGTGTGACACTAAACTCGCACATTATAGACTTGTGGTGTGTCACAGAGGTGGAATTGTTTTTATTGAACAAAAGATGGTGAAAGCGGAGACATAAGCAAAGTCTTTAAAATGCCACCATTTTCGAGATGATGTAGATATGATCTGACACCATGGGCACAGAATCTAAGGGCTTAATGTTTTTTAAAAAGCTTCGAGCAACACAAGATAGTGTAGTCACTGTGTATTTGAAGGCGAATGCAGCAGCCAATTTGCCAGCCGCCCTATAAAACAGCCACAAAGTGAGCAAATTAAGTAAGGCTGCATTTGTACGGTCTTACGTAGGCATCGCCCTTGCCCTTGCCCTGGACCTGACCAGTTGCTGCCAGTCAGGAGCCTGCCAGGTGAGTGAAGTGAAGTGAGTGACAGAGCACTTTTTTGTTGGTGAAGCTGGAGGAGGTTTTGGGACCCAGCGCTGTGGAGAGAGGCTGATTGTGAAAGAAAAAGAAAACTGAGCTGCCTTTCAAAGAGCTGCCTATCAAAGAGTTGGTATAAAGTGGAGCCAAAGCCTGGTGGGTGGGAGCAGCTTCCTATTGTGTGTTAGAGAGAGAGCAGTTATCTTCAGTGAGTGTGTTAGAGAGAGAGAGAGAGAGCAGAGATCCCCAGTGAGTGTTAGAGAGAAAGAGAGCAGAGATCCCCAGTGAGTGTGTTAGAGAGAGAGCAGAGATCCCCAGTGAGTGTTAGAGAGAGAGAGAGAGCAGAGACCCCCAGTGAGTGTGTTAGAGAGAGAGAGAGCAGAGACCCCCAGTGAGTGTTAGAGAGAGAGAGAGAGCAGAGAGCCCCAGTGAGTGTGTTAGAGAGAGAGAGAGAGAGCAGAGAGCCCCAGTGAGTGTGTTAGAGAGAGAGAGAGAGCAGAGACCTCCAGTGAGTGTTAGAGAGAGAGAGAGAGAGCAGAGACCCCCAGTGAGTGTTAGAGAGAGAGAGAGAGAGCAGAGACCCCCAGTGAGTGTGTTAGAGAGAGAGAGCAGAGACCCCAGTGAGTGTGTGAGTGTGTTAGAGACTCTCTGCTGTTGACCATGACCTCCAGCCCCTCTCTGCTCCTGCGCCTGGTCGCCAGCTCCTTCTCCATCGCTGAGAAAGCGCAGAGCATCATCCACAAGGTGATCCAGGAAGGTGACCTGGGCATCGTGGAGAAGGTGTGTACCAGCTGACACTGCCTGTGGGTTTGGGGGGGGATAATACAACATAAACTCCATAATGTGGCTGTAGATTGGTGAGCAGTCAGGGAGTGGGAATGTTCTGTCTGTTCTCAGCTGCTACTCCTGCAAACCATCCTTCCTCCCTCCTCCCCCCACCCCCAGCCAGTGGCAGGCAGTCAGCTACAGCAATACAGTATACACTTTTTAAGCACCTAGTAGTGTCTTTTCCAAGTCTTATTTTGTAAATTGCTCTCTCTTTCCCCATATCCCTTGTTACACTCAGTCTACTTACTCTGGGTCTAACAAGTGCTCTGGGATGCTACCCTGTGTGAAGGCTGCTATATAAATGCATATTTTGGTTAATAATACTCTTTGCATTGGATATAGCGCTTTTCACGTCTTCGAGATGTCGCAAAACACTTCACAGAATATACTGTAAAAGTGAATTGACTATATATTTGTGGGCGATCCATGGCAGCCAATTGCATACAGCAGTGTCCCACACTTCAGTCGTGGATTGAAGTGACCAATTTTTATTATTTTTTTTCTTGAGGGATTATTATCGGGTGTGTGGAGTAAGGAAACTTGCCCAAGGTTTCGCTCTGCTGGAAATCGAACCCAGGCCTCTCGCTTGCGAGGCGAGTATTCTAACCACTGAACTACAGGACTCCTAAAACTCCCTATAGGGCTAAGACTATTGGGTAACATTAATTTTATTTCCATGGTTGAATTGAATATTGGGCATCAAGGTACCTCTCTGAGATGCTACCCAATGTGAGGGGCACTATATAAATGGTGGTTGTTGTTGATCTGCTGGATTTCTATTTTATATATATCTTTGTGTGTCAAAAGATTCATTTATGGTGTTCATTTACAGTGCTGACGTGTAACAGGTATTTGTGTGGAACTGGTATCCTGAAATTGTACACTTTTATTCATTCTACTTCCTGTCTCTAGGCAAAGCTTAAGCAAAACAGAATTGTGCAATCTAAGGAGCCTTCAACTCTTCACCAACATTACAAATCTTAAGTGTAGTGCAGTAAGCCACTTAAGAACTTATCAATTTTTTTTATGGTTTGCTTTGCTGCTGCTCACATGGTGCAGCTAATATTCAATATTCAATTTTAATATTCAATTCAACCTTGGAAGCGAAGGTTGTGGCCTTTCATTGCTGCCTTATAGGACTTAACAAAATGATAGTGTAAAACATTATTTGAAAATCCCTCTTCAAAAACACTGGCTTTGAGGAATAGGAATCCAGGATGCTAGCTCACAACTGTTGTCAGTCAGCTTTGGGTACTCCTGTTATTCAGAATTGAGTTATTTCAAAATGTATTTTAAAGCTGTCCCATAATTAATGATCAGAAAGCTTTTAAGAATGCTATAATTTCAATTATTGTATAATGAATGCCTTTTTCCAAATGTTCTGTGTTAGCCACCAAGCAACATGTTCCTTTTTGCCTATAATGCAGTAATTGTTTCATTTTGATTAATCTATACTAATAAAGATGAAATGTGTGTGTCTATGTGTCAAACCAATAATGCAATAACTGATTGACATGATTTATACCTCATCGGAAAGGTCTTGCAAGTGGGAGTGTCATGGGCATATCGTTTTTCGGGGATCTCCTATTGTTGATGAGCTATATTTCAAAAATGTTTTAATTAGGCCCCAAAATATGAGGCATGCATTGTATTCTATAATAATATCCTTGCATTTGATGTAACGCTTTTCATGTCTTTTAGATGTCTCAAAGCGCTTCCCAGAATATACTGTAAAGTGAATTGACTATTGTATTTGTGGGCAAAACTCGGCTGCTAATTTCACACGGCAGTGTCCCACAAACAGTCATGGATTGAAGTGACCAATTTTTTTTTTTCTTGAGGGATTATTATTGGGCGTGTGGAGTAAGGAAACTTGCCCAAGGTTTCGCTCTGCCGGGAATTGAACCCAGGTCTCTCGCTTGCGAGGCGAGCTCTCTAACCACTGAGCTACAGGATCTTGAATCCTGAGCTAAATTTGAGGAAGAGAGTAAGGGTCGGAGTTAGATTAACACCTGTACTAACAAACAACTTAAATCCTGAAAGCTACTAAGAAGAGGTAAAATTGGATAAGGTCATCTCTTCTGTATTTTGCAAGAGGTCATGGTTTATCGAGGTTCAATAGATTCAGCAGTTATTAAAGTATAAGACATCATGATGTATTAAAGTCTGTTTAAGCCAAGTAGTGAAACTATTTTTAAAGTATTGCTGGTGTGCTATATTTATTGTTTTTGTGTCGCTGTGCCACATTTGGGAAAGTTATGGTTTACTGGTACTTGTCAAAATAAATGAGAATAATTGAAGAGAAATAAAAGTGTTGTGTTCTGTATGATCGCTCTGGCTGGGCTCGTATCTTTGAGAAAAATGAGAAGTGAAGGATTGCACCTGGAAGGAATGTGTAATTCACGTGTAAAGAAAAGAGACAAGAGTACCATGACATTTCATTAAATCTGATGTATTGCATCTTCTTTGTTAATAATTGCAATTTTGATTTATATGGGGAAATGATGGACAACACAACTTGCATTTATACAGTGCAATCGTGTAATTCAGAATTTCTCGGGAGGAAAATCAAATCTCAAAATGTACTTTAAGCTGTAAGACAACGTTGAATACAGCCTTTGTACATTTCCTTAATATTGTATTTATGGAAATGGGTCCCAAAAAAAGTAATGCGTTTGTTTTTAAACTTTCTTGTAGGTGACATGGATTGATTTATTATATTAAGTTCTGAATCTGCATCTTAAATATATGAATATGTTCAAAGATATGTACTGATTGGATTACTGATTATAGAATAGAGCTGGATATGTCAATTCCGTGGTATGATGTAGAATTGAATGAACAGCTGATACAATGTAGTCATCTCTGTCCATTATGTAAGATTTTGTTTCTTCACTGTATAGGAGTTTTGTAATTTAAGATATTGCTGAACTGTTTGTGGAGCAACAACGTAAAAAAATTCCTGCAGTCTTTGAACACCCATTTCTCCAATATTACTCAAGAATGAATTATGAAACCTTAGAACACTAGAATTTTGTTTTAATAATTGCATAAGTGGTGGTGTGCACATACGCTCTGCAACAAGCAAAGTGTATAATTTCAAAACTGTTGTTTTGTGGTTCCAATCCTAATTAAAAATGTTAGCCAACTTTTAAGAACTGTCTACAAGAGGACTTGACTCACCATTGTCTTGCCTAAATCCTTTGTTCGTATGTATTCAGCATCTCTCTCTGCCTCCACACCCTGGAATTCTATCCTGCAATCTCTCTGCCTCACCCCCTCCCTTGCCTCCTTCAAGTCTCAGCTAAATTACTTCCTCTTCGATTACCTTAAATTTCCTGCCCTCCACTCCTCCTGATCCCAATTCAGGTCCCAAAACCTCTGACTCTCCAGGGCCCTGGGACATCTTTCCAACATGAAGGGCGCTTTGCAACTGTAATTTGTTGTTGTGAGTATCAACCACTCAATTGATGGTGGGCATCACAGTCAAGCCTGATCTCTTGCCTCCCAGTTGCCACACAAGGACACAACCAATCTGGGTTTCCCCTCCTCAATCCTGGTAAGGCTGGAGGCAATTTAACCTCGCACACAGCCTCCACTCAGGTCATCAAACTCAGCAGAGCATGATTCGAACCAGCCAGCTCCTGGTCTGTAAACTGCAGCCTCCATCCACGATGCCATTGACTTACACTTTTTGCATGCTGCATCAGAGTCCATTACCATCCATGCCCTGTGAATTTTTTTTCAACATCTTCATAAAATGTCAACCATAAGGTTAACAAAGTGTCTTATAAACAAAAAAGACCCATAGTGAGTCACCCCATAAGCACCTGCTCTGTAAGCACAACCAGGTGTGACCCTCTTGTTAGTAACCTTGAAGGTATGAGAACATGTAGAACTGTAGAAATTTACCACACGGAAGGTGGTCATTTGGCTCATCATTCCTTGCTGTAAGGTACAAAAATTCATCACTAAATCATTTCTATTTGTTTTTCCAAATGATAAATTGTTTAATGCAACTGTTTGTTAATGTGCTATTTTAGTTGCGGTGTTACTGGTTCTATATATTGTACCAGGAAGCTTATTGATAAATATATTGCTGGCAGGGGAGAAAGAAAACTATTGTGCAGATCCAACAATGGAGTCATTGTGGATATTATCCACTGAATATCTGGTGTATAATATGGGGAAAATGTTTGATAAGGAACTATTTAGATATAAAAATAATAATCCTTATGTTTGGTATAATGCTCTTCATATCGGGAGGCTATCCCAAAGCGCTTCATGGTATATACTGTAAAGTACAGTGACTGTGTTTTGTGGTTAAATAAATGTGTACACCTTGTTACATTCACTCCTTTGTTTTCTATGCCTGTCTGTTTTTCAAAATATGTTCTGTAAAGTTTGTGTTTGCTAAAAGCATTAGCCAACCTGAGTGCAGTTAGTAATTACCCATTGTGCTCAGGGAAACTCAGAAAGTTCGGTATAACTTGTGGATGAAGTTTTGCCCACAAAATATACAGTCAACTCACTTTACAGTATATTCTGTGAAGCCCTTTAAGACATCCGAAGACATGGTAAGGCACTATATCAAATGAAAGGATGATTACTATAATAACTGGTGCATGCACATTATAAATGTATTGAATAGCCCTTTAAATAATTTATTATGTATTTAATGTTGTTTTGGATCCTTATGATGTTATCAAGTCTGACACTAGCGTTGATTGCAACAATGTGGGGGTAACTGACTATAATTTTCATAAGTGAATAGGAAGGTGTACTGTTTCTCTTTTGGGTCACTTAAAGGATGATTTGGGTTGGACCATAAAAAAGGCACCAATTACAGCAAGTAATTGATGAAAGTGCAATTTGCTTTCCAGCGATAATCGTCCTTCCAAACAAAGTGGTCACTCAATCTACGACTATTTGTGGGACACTGCTGTGTGCAGTTGGCTGCTGTGTTTCGCCCATAAAATATATAGTCAATTCACTTTACACTATATTCTGTGAAACACTCTGAGATGTCTTGAAGATGTGATAAGGCACTATATCCAATGCTATTATAAGTTTTACTTGTGGAACAATGTAAGGGGGTATTATTGCAAGGATTATTATTATAATATTGTGGGTGTACATATATGGGTGTAGAACCGTCTCAACTAGTGCACCATTAGTACACAATTAGTAAAAGGTATAAAAGACCTAGTGGGTGTGAATTAAGAAGATTTAGTAAGGTGTCCTTAATCAGTAGAGAACTCAAGGAAAGATGAAGATAGCCTTATAATATTGATAGATAGTCGAAATGCTCATTAATTTAGGGTACTCCAAAAAACAGGTACAATGAACTAGAGGACCTCTAGATTAGGGATGAGGTCATTTTGATCTTAGGGTTCTGTAGTGGACAAAAATAGTATATAAGAAATGAGTTTCTAGCAATCATTGGAAACGGAACAGTCAGAGAATCCTGAAGCTATCCCTTACAATTTGTGCAGACTGATCACCTATACTGTTGTAATAAAACTTTGATTCCAATATTCTAAGTTTTGAAATACATCTGTTGTTCAACATTGAATGTGTAAGCCCTTTGGAGGGAAGGGGATGAGGTTGACAATGAGGATTGCAGAATTTTCAGACAGTGACTGATGAAAGTGCAATTTGAAAATGTAAGCTTATTATCCTGTGCCTTTTAGACTAGGATATGAGATGTTAAAATGGGAATACGCTTAAATTGAGACCAATTCCTTTTTTGCTTTTTTTTCCCTGCAGCTTTAATGCCACCTTAGAAAGGTTCCAGGCTATGATTTCATCACTGCACACCCTTAAAAAATTGAATTCACTTAAAAGGTTGCTCCACATGCTTAACGTAGTGCTTAAATATTTATAATTTGGCAGCGATGAAGACTGGTGCAACTTTTGTGCCCAAGGGAATTTTCAGTGAAATTTGTGTTTGATGTTAAACAGTTATTGAAATTTCTGCCCAAATAAATTTATAGTACAGAAGGAGGCCATTTGGACCATTGTGCTTGTGCCGGCTTCTCGTGGCCTTAGAAAACAATTCACAATTCCATAGTACGCTGAATATATTTTGCTTCTCCTCACTGATTGTGAATTTGCAGCGGGAGGAAATTTAAGTTGAACCTGCATGCTGCAGCACGAATAACCCATTGTTTAATTGTACATTGTAGGTAGGGCTGGTAATGTTGACTGCTGTTCCTGCACACTGTTGTCCTATCTAGCTAGTTGAGATCGGGATCCTTGTGGTAAAGTTCGTTTAATGATTTATAAAATCTATCCTATGAATAAGAATATCAATCCATGCCAAGTAGTCAAACAGAACAGTAAAAAAANCGACTTCCAGATTCTTGAGTGATGCATTAATCTTTTGAATGCACAGTGAATAAATACCACCTTTGCCCACCTCACAGTAATTATTAAAATAGCCTGGATCTGAGACCCTCAGCGCATGAAATAACAATGCACATCTGTCTGTAGCAGAGAAAACATTTCAGATCAAAATTGAAGACTAATGTTGCATTAGCTGTACTGATTCGTTGATTAATATTGTTGAATGGTATGTAAATACAACTACTGCTGATACCAAAAATAATATTTAGAGTATAGGTAGTATGGGAAGTGAAATTGAATTAGGTGTCTCTTGTGGAGAAAAACACTAGTGCTTGTTTAATGAGCTAAATATTTTTTTTCTGTGCTGTAATGTTCTATGACTCTAAATTGACTAGCTGTACTGCTTCAGTTGTCCTGCATATAATACTATACAGAAAGCAGGGCAAACTTATTGTATCTCAGACGTTAAGTTAAATGGAAATCATGGGGTTGCTGTGTATGCATCAAGATTTGTTGTGAAAGAAAATACATAATTGTCACCAAGTCCTAATTTCTTACTGTGCAAATGCAGACTGCAGCCAATGACCTACAAACAAAAGCCGATCGGTTGGTCCAGAAAAGCATCTGTTCTTCGCTGGCACGCAAGTTTCCTAAACTAACCATCATTGGAGAGGAGGTAAGGGCATTGGCTAAAATCCTGCATTTAAATGATTTTAATTTCCCAGTTTGATGTGTTCTGCACAGTTCACTTATCTAGCTATAATGAATTTTAAATTCAGGCTAGTTAATTTCATATCTACCCTTCAAATCTGTGGTATAAAACCTGTCTAAAGTTTTCACTTGTGCTTGTCCTGAAGTACAACTTTACAGTGGCCAAAGACGGCATGTTATTGTTCAAAAACACATTGGACTCTTCCAACTAATTGAAAAATCTGGTGTGTCGTCAGGGATGGCCTTTGAAGTAGGTATTTCAAGGTAGTTGGTAGATAACAAAGTGGTAGGTATTAAACAATGCTGTTTACATCAATTACAGTGTTTTAACATGGGTCTGCTTTTCAGGATTTGCCTACCGAAGAGTTGGATGGAGAGTTAATTGAAGCGGGTCACTCTGAAGAAATTCTGAAGTACGTCTGTCCAGCTCAGTACAACAACATTAAGGAAGAAGAGGTAAGTTATCATTGATTCAGAATGAATTCCTCTTGGAAGTAGCAAAATTCAGTTTATTAAATGTTAAGATACAAGTAATTTTTCAATTATAGGATCTAGCGTAAATATAATCTTAGTGATTTTTAAGATGCTCAGGGAACACAAAGCAAGTCCAGGTGTCCACTGCTCAATCCCATCCCTATCTTCTTGGAACTTTCCTCCACTTTGTCTTGCTGACTTGTTTTCAATAAGTTTCCGAAGTAATTGTCTATAAACATGCATTAGTCCACAACTTTAAATTTATTTCATCCCTGCTTAGTATACACGGTGGTACAGTAGCGTCCTGTGATCCTTTTTTCTCCTGTCACATTGTTTCCGTCCCTCCAGAAAATAAGTTGCTCATTTCATGGCTAATTGTGGGACACTGCTGTGGACAAATTGGCTACTGTGTTCATCTACAAAAATATAATCGCTACACTTTACTGTAAATCTCAATGATGTGATAAGGTACTGCATCAAATGTAAGTATTATTATGCTTGTCCCTTTTTCAGTTAGTGGTGTGGGTTGATCCTGTTGATGGTACAAAGGAGTATACAGAAGGTAAGCTCATCAATTATGAATTAGACCCTGCAACATTTTGGTTTTGCCTGAAGTTTGTTCTATAACAACTTGTGTTTATATAGCGCCCTTCACACAGGGTAGCGTCCCAGAGTGCTTGACATTGGCTGAGTCTGACACCTGAGCCAGAGGGAGGGGGGAGGTGACCTTAAGCAATTTAAAAAGGAAGGTCTTTAGGTGGGATTTGAAAGTAGGGAGGGGGCAAGGCAGTGGGATTGAAGGAAAGAGTTCCGAAGTTTGGGGGCATAGTGGCTGAAGGCACTGCCATAGATGGTGGAGCGGAAGGGACAGGGGACAAACCGGAGGCCAGAGCCAGCGTGAGGGGTGCTATATAAATGCTTGTTGTTTTCATTTTAACTCCTGTGCAGAGACATGGGTAACATTGAGCCTTTGAATGATGAACATTACCATGACCTCCTGTTTTCTATTTGGCAACCTGTTCGTGTTTGCGGTAATGATGTCCATTACATGTTGTGCTTAAGGTGAATCCAGTATTTTGATCTTCAGGCCTCTTGGACCACGTGACTGTTCTTATTGGTATTGCTTACGGTGGGAAAGCAATAGCTGGTGTTATCAACCAACCGTATTACAACTACCAGGTATGACTACCTCACTCCTTGACTTTGATTTCCAGCTATTTTGCCAAGTGAAATCAGAAGAGAAAATTCAGACTAAGAATGACCCTGGGCTGCTTTTAAGCATCCTCCAGGAATTGATTTCAGAGTGACTTGGTAACGGTCTGAGAGGAGCATCTCTCAGTCGCTGCTACTAACTAGTTGTGGGAGTAAAGAGCTCTCAAAAAGGGAACAAAATATAGGGGATACTGATACCTTAATGATTATACCAGCAAATGTAAAGAACTCAGTGGACATTGCCTCTCTAGCTTTTGCTAATATAATACAAGGCAGGCCAAGTGTCTTTTTTGTATAGAGCATTTTCTGATATCCAGAAGAAGTTATGCATATCGCTCACCAGAATCATTCCCCCTTAAGTTTGTAGAACAGATTTAATTATCTGCATTTGTTCACTACTATAAGACGTAGGACCAGGAGTAGGCCATTTGGTCCCTCGAGCCTGCCCCGCCATTTAATAAGATCATGGCTGATCTTCTAACCTAATTCCATTTACCCATCCTATCCCCATATCCCTTAATCTCTCTATCATTTAGAGATCTATCAACCTCAGTCTTGAATATGTTCAAGGACTGAGCATCCACAGCCTTTTGGGGTATAGAATTCCACAAATTCACTGCCCTCTGAGTAAAGAAATGTTTCCTCAAATCAGTTCGAAAAGGCTCCCCCTTAATCTTGATACTATGACCCCTAGTTTTAGATTTTTCAACCAAAGGAAACAGTCTCACGACCTCTACCCTATCGAGACCTTTAAGAATCTTATAGGTTTCTATAAGATCACCTCTAATTCTTCTATATTCTGGAGAATATAGGCCTAGTTTACTCAACCTATCCTCATAGGTCAACCCCCACATCCCAGGAACCAACATAGTGAATCTACGCTGCACCCTCTCTAAGTCCTTTCTTAAATAATAATTAGACCGAAACTGCACACAATATTCTAGGTGCAGTCTCACCAAGGCCTTATACAACTGCAGCAAGACTTCCTACTCTTGTACGCTAACCCTTTTGCAATGAACGCTAACATGGCATTAGCTTTCCTAGTTGCTTGCTGTACCTGATTACTAACTTTTTGTGACTGGTGTACAAAGACATCCAAATCCCTCTGAACACTAACATTGACTAGTCTCTCCCCTGTAGAAAATAATCCGCTTTTTTATTTTTACTACCTAGATGAATAACTTCACACTTCCCCACGTTATACTCCACCTGCCACCTTCTTGCCCACTCACCTAGTCTGTCTATTTCCCTTTGCATTCTTTGTGTGTCAACCTGACAGCTTACTCTCCCACCTAGCTTCGTATTGTCCGCGAATTTAGATACATAAAGTTTTATTTCCTCATCTAAATCATTGATATAGACTGTAAATAATTGAGACCCAAGCACTGTTCCTTGTGGCACTCCACTAGTCACGTCCTGCCAATCTGAGAAGGACCCGTTTATCCCTACTCTGTTTTCTTCCTGTTAGCCACTCTCCAATCCATGCTAATATATTACCTTTAATTCCAAGAACAATTAATCTTGCACAATCGTTCATTACACTTATGTGTGCAAATCCTTAACTGTCCAACGCCTTGGGACGTCCTCTCGACTTGAAAGGCGCTGTATACACATGTAATATTGTATTTATTTCTCATTCAGGCTGGGGCTGATGCTGTGCTCGGTCGGACCATTTGGGGGATTGTGGGACTGGGAGCTTACGGATTCCAACTGAAAGAGGTGCCAGAGGGAAAACGCATCATCACCACCACCCGCTCCCATAGCAACCAGCTGGTAAACGACTGCATCAGCGCCATGAATCCTGATGAAGTGATCCGGGTCGGAGGAGCTGGCAACAAGGTACGAGTGGAAAAGCGAGCAATAATATTGCAACCTAGGAAAAGCTGATTCCATCAACCTTATTTTTTAGAGAGTAAACCAACCTATTTTCACCTTTTATGGGAAGATGTAGTTGTTTTTGTTGAAGTTGTCAGCTTCCCTCTCGGTGCTTTGTTTATTGCAGGGATGCATTTCGTGAACTCGCCAAGTGACCGATGATTGCTGGCAGAATTTAACATGCTACATGCACTGCAGAGTTGTGACACTCACTGCAGACCAAGCTCCACCAGTTTCTCTTGTGCTTCTGACTTGCACTATAACCTGAGAAAGATGTTTGCCGTTCAACTATTCCTTTTTTTAATCCCTTCTCTGCCAGATAATACAGCTTATTGAGGGAAAGGCTTCTGCCTATGTATTTGCCAGTCCAGGCTGCAAGAAATGGGACACCTGTGCTCCAGAGGCTATCCTTCATGCTGTTTCAGGTATGTAACATCAGATCCTGAATTTCCCCTAAGCAATGTTGAAAACTGCAATAAACGTATGTCATGTATATCTACATGAAGCGAGTTTTATCATAGTATCAAATGCTATTATTATTGGTATTAGTAAGCACCTTTATTGAAAGAATTCTTCCCTCATCCAAATACATCAAAAAGCTTCTGCATGCTATCAGATTTGTGGTTCACTGATGGTGCAGATTGACTCCTGTATCAAATATTTTCAAAGTGTTGGGAAAATGAATCCCAGGTTCGGTCAAACGACTCGACAAATACCAAATATGGTGTGACACACCTTTGAATGTTTTATTTCGATACCTAACAGATAATATCAATCATACAATACAAAGAAAAGTAAATGATCCAGTAAGCAATACTAGAATACAATGATTATATCAAAGTGTAATGATTATACTTGACTATTATATTAAAAACACATTGGTTCTTTGTCTTCCCTCTCTTGAGCCCGAGCAGCTTAGTGATATACTCACAAACTTATGGTGTCCCTCTGATCTCTGTACCGGACCCCTTGATGCTAGCCTGACTGAGTCTCGATGAGGTCTTCCCTTTGTTCTGTCTAAGATAGGAGATTGATCAGTTTAGGTCTATATCTGGGTTTTTTTATTCTGTTATGTGGACCATTAGTACATTCCTTTTAAGTGAATGGTTATCTCTTATTAGTTTCCCGGGATGGTACCAAAGTCCTCCAGTTCAACCAACTTGCTCGTTAGTTGCAATTCTTGAGGGTTCCGTTCTGTTGCTTGGCAGACCCTGTCAGAATCTAGAGTCTTATTGCTAAGCTGAGATCCTGTGTCGACCGGTACCTTGGACTGTTACTATAACAACAACTTGGATTTATATAGCGCCCTCCACGCCGGACGGAGTCTCAGAGTGCTTCACAGTAACAGATCCCAGGGCCAAGCCAGGAGGAAGGGGAGGAAGGTGATGAAAGGCGCAGTCGAAAAGAAAGGTCTTCAGCTGAGACCTGAAAATAGGAAGAGAGGGGGCGAGGTGAAGGGAGTGAGGAAGGGAGTTCCAGAGCTTTTGGGGGTAGTGGCTGAAGGCACAGCTGCTGATGGTGGAGCGGAGGACTCGGGGAATGAGGAGGAGGCCAGACCCGGTTACCTCTGTGGGTTTGTTGTTATTTACTGATAAGTGGTGACCTCCTGCCCTTTTTCAAGGCTGTCTTGTTATTCCTTCAGAAACAGTGAAAACCAGATGGGTCCTATCCCATGACCGTCAGTATTTCTCCATTCTACATTTGTTTAATGTTTCATTATTATTAGACTACAACTTCTATAACAAAAGGAACCAACAATTTGATGCAGATTGACTCCTTCATTTTCAACATCTTTCCATGAAACTGCCATTTTTTCACAGAACTGGCTTTTTCAACATTTTCCAACATTGGAGCTAACATTTCCCAACCCATCAAGGCCCCTCCCATCTGGAGGGCCATCTTTTTACCCGTTGATAGACAGTGAGCACTGGTGCTACATCCCCAGTTTCACCATCTTTAGACTCTGCTCCCAGATTTTGCGCCACGCTCCACAGCCTGGAACTAGATGCTGAAGACTTTGATGTAGTTTGGCCTGACCGCATATGGAATAGCCGTGCAGTCACGCCACTTACCAAAGTATAAGACCTCACTTTTTTGGCGGTTTACTTTGGTGCTGGAAGTCCTTTAAATGAGTCGCAAATGCCCAGCAGGTTTGTGACCGATTGCTGGTCTGAGCAAAAAATGGTGACATTATCAACATCCATGTATACGGAGACCTTGGCTTGTGTGCCTTGGCTGCCTGGTATGGTGACACCTCTAATGCTCTTGTCCCTTTCAATGGCCTGAGCAAATGGCTCTTTGGAGCAGACGAACAGAGCTGGGGACTGGGGACACACCTGCCTGACTCCAGACCTTACAGGGAATGCCTATGTCTCAAATCCATTCACTGTAAGTGCGCTATAGATGTCTCTGTAGAGTAGTCGGAACCAACCAAGCTTTTTCATGCCACTCTAAATGTCTGTACTTGTCCTGTAAGAATAGAGAAAGCTATGGATGTGATTGGGTAACTATTGCTCCATTGTCACTTCCCTGTGATAAAATACAGGATATTGGATTTGCATTAAAGACATTTCCAGTGTCTGGAAACAATGGTCTCGGAAAAGTTTGGTTCATTAAATTGCATGAATTATTTAATAAACAAATCAATGTCGTGATGTCTTAAGCCCTTTGAAATGAAACCACTCCAAGACCAGAATTTGAATCCCAATGAATGTTACAAATGATCTGTGTTTGCGTACTTGTATTTGGTATGGAAACTCTGCTGTCTTTGTGTCTAAAAGGGGCATAATATGTCAAAGCATTTAATTGTATGAAGCTTTGGTGTGCACAATTGGCTGCTGCGTTTAGCCCACAAAATAGACAGTAAATTCACTTTACCATATATTTTGTGAAGCGCTTTGAGATGTCTTGAAGATGTGATAAAGCGCTATATTAAATGCAAGGCTTATTATTTAATAACAATCATAATCTATACATTTGATATAGCTTCTTTCATGTCAAGAGATTGTCCAGGGACTTCTCAGGATTTACTGTAAATTGTAGTAACTATTTATTTTCTAAGTAAGATGTTTTGTTATCTTTTTAAATGTGTGAACACAGATTTTTTGGTGTGTGTGCTTACTGTGTAAAATTGACAAATGCAAGAAATTGTGTTGCAAAAATGACCAATGACACTCAATCTCGATTCTGTAACCTTTACACTTTTTTCAGGTAAACTGACCGACATCCGCGGGAATCCCTTCCAGTATCAAAAAGATGTGAAGCACATGAACTCAGCAGGAGTCCTCGCAACTCTGAGGAATTATGACTACTACGCGAGTCGTGTTCCTGATTCTGTTAAAGAGGCTCTTGTGCCTTGAAGGGTTCCACAGGCAATGAAGAAAATTATTTCAGCAACTAGTAAAATCACATGTCCTTTTTCACCCCATCACAAAAATTAAAAACCTATTCCTTCATGATAGGTATGTAGATTGCACCATTTTCATATAAACTTCTAGCAAACTTGTTTGTTTTCTGACTTGCTCTCCTGATTTGGGTGGTCTGTTAAATTTTTAGTCTTTATACTCGTGAAGATACTTAGACAAATGTGAACATGTATTTTTGCATCTGATTCCATAAGATGACCTTGTTATAAGTGGCTGAAGAGAAGGAAATGAGCTAAATGCATGGAGACGTGATTAATGCCTTTCTACACTGAAAGCAAAATTTGTTCCACGCAAGTGTTTAAAAAGGAATCTCGTGATATTCTTAACTTGGTTATAGTTTCAATGTTACTGTATAATCCATAAAAGGTTTCTTCTTGCATTCCCTAATTTGGAAATCGAGCTAAATGTTTTTACACATTTTTGTATTGCATTAATAAATTTGGGTCAATCTCTTTTAAAAGGTTAAAAAGTTGTGCGATTTTATCATTACTTTAACAATTTCATTTGATTGCCATGAAGTAATGAACACTTAGTTTTTTTCTTCTGCTTTCTAATCCATTTAGTTTTCGAGCTTGTCTAAAACCTTTCAGAATAGTAGCTATAACAAGGCTCCACATTCGGGTAGACTCTGGTGTTGGGTTTATTTGAGGGTTTCAACTGAAACAAAAATAAATTGCAGTAAAGACCTTAATCCTTTTAAATGACTTCCATTATTCATGTCACTTGTTCCTTACAACTTCTAGTCAACAAAAGTGAGTTAAAGACTATGGATTTGAAATAGTCTCCGTCATCCAGGACAGGTGGATGACATTGGAAAGATAGTCCTCTTTGAAAGTCCTCTCCTGCACCAGGCTCTGCGAACCTATCTTGTCTCCCCATCACACAGGGATTACAGTTCAAGATCCTGGTCCTCACCTTCAAAACCCTTCACGGCCTTGCTCATCCCTACCTCTGTGACCTTCTAATCCTAAACTTATCCACTTCCTCTGCTCAGCAGGCTCCGGTCTGTTTCACGTCCCTCACCCGCCCCACCATTGGCGAGCGGCCATTCAGCCTCTCTACCCCCACCCTCTGGAACTCCATCCCACAGCCCCTTTGACTCTTCCCCCTCCCGTGCCTCCTTCAAGATCTGTCTCAAGACCCTCCTCTTCGACTGTGTCTTCAGTCACCCTCCTACCCCTTACCCTCCCTGCTTTCTACCCCTCCTGATCACAACCACCAGCTCGGGTGTGCATACCTGACTGCCCAGCGCCTTGGAAAGTCTTCCTGACGTGAAAAGCGCTTTACAAATATAATTTGTTGTTGTAGAGAAAATAAATGCTGTTAAAATACCAAACCAAATATTTATCCTCAGTGGCCTAAAATTTCCACCTACCCTTACTTAGCCTGTAAACCCGCAATATTCAATCAGTGTTGCACAGCCTTTTGCAAATATTTCTTCACAGATAAAACTTTGGATCAGTGTTTCCATTTTTAAAAAAAAAGTGATGCACATTCTTTGACCTACTAAATTAAACTGGTTGTTTTTAGAGATCTACACCAAAAACTCTCCAAAATATTTTCACTGTAAATGCATGTGTTGCAGAAAGTGGGTTGGACTGGATGGATAAAACATCATTTGCAAGAGACTCTGATCTTAGATCTAACTTTAAGCTGCCTTTGTCACAGGAGGGAGAAGATGGAAATAAGCGATTTGTTTTTATGATGCAAAATGCTGCATGAACCATCCCAAAGTACCAGGAATAACATTTGATAACAGAAAACAAAGCGTAATGCGGTTTCTTTCGAAGAAAAGTTTGCCTTTTTGTTAGTTGTATAAATCTAGCGAGAATTAATTCATTGATAACTTATTTGATGCATCATCACCCTTGAATATAGATTGGCTCACTTGCTGATTATAAATACCTGTAACGATAATCCTTTAATTTTGATTGTGTCATATCACCTTTGAAACATCTGAAAACTGGAGTCCTGTAGCTCAGTGGTTAGAGCACTCGCCTCACAAGAGAGAGACCTGGGTTCAATTCCTGGCAGTATGAAACCTTGGGCAAGTTTCCTTACTCCACACGCCTGATGATAATCCCTCAAGAAAAAAAATAAATTGGTCACTTCAATCCACGACTGTTTGTGGGACATTGCTGTGCGCAATTGGCTGCCGCGTTTCGCCCACAAATATACAGTCAATTCACTTTACAGTATATTCTGTGAAGCGCTTTGAGACACCTGGAAGTCATAAGGTGCTGTATCAAATGCAAGGATTATTGTTATTAAAAGTGCTTAATTGGATTTACTGTCAAATACTGTATAGTGGCTGTATTTGTGGGAGACCTGACAGTCAGTTTGTGCACAGCAATGATGACCCACAATGAACAATCAATTTATCTGGAAGATTGTTGCCCAAAGTACAGTATTTTACCACAATATCTCTGACCCTCCAAAAATAAACAACTCCTCAGAGAGAGAGAGAGAGAGGAGGAGAGAGGAGGGCGGAACTTTTGTCCCTGGGACCTTTGTACCAAGGATCCGGGGTAGGGGGTGCGGTGTGTGTGCGCGCGGGCGGGGGCGGGGCGGGGGGAGGTTTAGAGTGAGACTGCCGGAAGAGGCGGTGCTGCTGCTGCTGCTGTTGCTGCCGCCGCCTGGAATCGTGGCAGACAGAGAGGAGCCGGTGTCAGACCGCCCGCCACAGGCACGAATGGCTTCGACTTTGGTTGTGAACGTCTCCTGCCCGCCTTTGGGTGAGTGAGTGAGTGAGTGACCTGCGGGGCTCGGGGCTGAGAGGGGAGGGGGGGAGGGAGAGCTTCCCCCGCCGCCCGCCTGGGCCCCAGTGTGTGAGTCAGTCTGAGGCATGGCTTATTGCATCATGCTGGGGGCTGGGGGCTGGGGGCTGACAGCTCCTTTGCTGGAGATTCAACAACAACAACAAGATTACATTTGTATAGCGTCCTTGGGGGATAAGGAGGAGGGGAACTGCTTAACCTGATTGACAAACATGTATCCACCGAGACTAGAGAAGCTGTGATTGTTCTCCTTGGAGGAGAGAAGGTTAAGCAGAGAATTAATAGAGATGTTCAAAATGATGAGGGGTTTTCATAGAGTGCACAGGGTGAACACGTTTCCACGGGCGGGTGGGTCGGTAACCAGACCACACAGATAGTTGTCAAAAGAACCAGAGGGGAGATGAGGAGGAGAATTTTTTTTACGCAGTAAAAGTTGTTCGGATCTGGAATGTACTGCATGAAAGGGTGCTTGATGGAAGGAGATTCGATAACAACTTTCAAGAGAGGAGTAAACTGATATTTGGGAAGGACAAATTTGCAAGGCTTTGGGGAGAGAGAGCAGGGGTGTGGGACTCATTGGATAGCTCTTTGAAAGAGCCGGCATGGGCACGATGGACCGAATAATCTCCTTCTGTGCTGTATAATTCAACGATTCTGAGTCAAGAATTGTCCTAATGCGCTATTTGCTTTAAAACTAACTTTTCCTTCCTCCCTCCCTTCCCCTTTACTCACTCAGTTCATTTGGATCATCTGCAAAGGAGCTGCTGTGATGGGATTTTGTACTTGTATTGCATGCCCGATTTCGCCTCTCTATCGTTTTTCGACCTTGTTTCTTCCCCCCCTTTTTAAAAAAAAATATTTGTCATTGATGTGTTCAGCATTGCAATTAGGTGACACTTTATATAGCAGACATTTGTCAATGCACCTACATGTTTTAACTGTGCAGTTTTTAAAAAAATATTGTGCAGCTGGAGTGTTCAAAACTAGTTTCATTTTCCTTTGAGAAATGCATATTACATTCTAATTTAATGTGTATGTGGAAGCATTTCAATCTTTGATTTCATTAATCTTTCTAAAGGAGGAAGCTGAATGTCATTCTGTATGTATGGTTTCCTAGCCCCCGGTTAGATAACAACCAAACTCAATTTTTTTTATTGCTGGGACTGGGTGTGGTTTTGTTTGTTTGCTTATAATTCTTTTAAAATTGTTCAAAACTGTTTTTCATAAGGAATTATTGCTCACCATGGAGTGACATTGACTCTGACCATCTATCTCTAAAGGCTCATACCATTTTAAATAGAGACTGGGTATCAGTATTGAAGATAAAATGAATTAATTATTTTGTATTTGTTGCCCTTTTCTCCTCTCCTAAAGCTGGAATATCGATCCACAGGTACTGACAGCTTTTAATTGAAGTGGCCTCTCTTTATGTGCGGCCATTATAGAAGCAGACCATGGGAGTCTTCAACCTGCCTCGCCTGAAATCTGCACTATTCAGTCCAATACCTTGCCTTTTTAAATGAAAAAATGCAAAATACATTTGTTGAAGAATTCTGCAATGAAATTTTCTTTAAGTATATCACCGATAACATTAATGTTTTTTTGTGATGAGAGCATCTTGAAATTTACATATACACATATTAAAATCCGTCTTTTCGCATTGCTGGGATCTTTCTAAGATGGTTTTAGGTCTTGTATGTCTGGAATCAGTGCATGATTCAGCAAGATCAATATAATGACACTCGTCTTCTCCCCCACTTTATACACAGACAGAACTTATTGTTTCTGTTTTGGATGGGTCTTTAATAATGGCATTGTATTCAAAGATGCAGTAAGTTGCACTTTTGTTAAGCCTGATAAAGCATAGGAATGGCACATCGTAATTACAAAGCACCAGCAGACATTCAGTTGATTGACTGAGCCAGCCCAGCTGCTCTGGCTGTTGGACTTACTGCAGTGCAGATCCGATAGATGTACACTGGAGAAGGTAAGAGATGGAACTGAACTGGTGTTCATATCTCTGATCCTTTAATCCTTTTAGTGAAAGGTTTAAGTGAGACTTTGTTTTACAGATGAGTTGTTACTACTTAAACTAGCAGGAGGGTCACTGAGATTAGGGGTGACTGGAGGGTGGGTTTGGGGTCAGTGGCTTAGATGTTCTCTCGAGTGCTACTTCACCGTAGCTTTCAATCAGGTCACTTGTTCTGCCTGTATCTCATCTAAACTGCAGTCATGCCACGAGACAGAGCAGTTGTAACCATCTATCCAATGCCATGTGAAATTAACTTGCTCTTTGTTTCATCCTATCCCCCACTTTTTCATGGATGTATGTTGCGTCGATTCCTTGGTTCCGTTCAGGGCATCACTTTTAGGGGAGTGCCTAATTCCTCTCTATTATAACGTATGAATTCAGTGAATTGATGTGGGAAAGCAAGCTCATTTAGTTTTGCTCAGGGTGGAGTTAAATCATCTCAGATTACCCTCAATTTCCTGGGTTCGAAAGTCGGAAAATCAGCCTGCACCCCTGAAGGGTAATCTGTAACAGGTGAAGGGAGGAGGACCTTTGCGTATCCTTTTTGACCTCAATGAGAGTTTCTGAAAGGACATTGCAATTTGTGGCAAACGCTGTCTTGAGTAAACATGAAAATGATGATACAAATATCAAACATTTGAACATATTTTGCCAAGAGCTTAGATTCTATTCATTCTTAGATACCTACAAAATACAGTCATTCCACATTACAGTTAACCTGTGAAACACTTTGAAATGTCCTCCTGACCTGAAAGCTGCTGTTGCAAATGTAAAAATTATTATTTATTATTGTGAACAGAGAATAGCAGACAAGGGAGCATTCAGAGGGAGCGATGTTCTTTGCATTGTTTAAGCGCTGATTGGAAAGGCAGCTAAATTTAGCTGTGCAAAAGCATTATGGGAACTATTACTCTGGGCTCAGACCTGTTTACTCATAGCTTGAACCCTGCCACAATCAGCCCACTTCTACTGTTCAAGAAAATTAAATCATATTAAAATTTTAAAGTCAACTTCAACTTTTTTAAAAAAATATTAAACCAACCTGCCCATTCCCTCCATTGGCAGTAGCCTGCTCCATGTCCACTGCCCTGCCTGTCCCACCATCGGCAGTCGGGCCTTCACCCTTTCTGCCCACACGCTCTGGAATTGCATTCTTGAATCCCTTCGCCTTGTCTCCTTCAAGGCACGTCTCAAGACTTTCTTCTTTGTCCGTGCCTTTGGTCATCCTCCCACCCACACCCCCTTATCCTCCACCCCTCTTGATTTCACCCCTCAACTCCGGTCAAAACCTTGCCTGTCCAGCGCCTTGGGGCATCCTCCTGATGGAAAGTTGCTACATAAATTCAGTAGCTTAGTGGTTAGAGCACTCGCCTTGCAAGCAAGTAGACCTAGGTTTGATTCCCGGGCAGGGCGAAACCTTAGGGAAGGTTCCTTATTCCACACGCCTCTGTTTACCTAGCAGTGAGTAGGAAGCCGCTTGTTAGTCGATTGGTAGACTGCTTTCCGGGGGTAATAATCCCTTCAAAAAATACCAATAATTTGGTCACTCAATCCACGACTGTTTGTGGGACACTGTTGTGCGCAATGTTTCACCCACAAAATACACAGTCACAACACTTTAAGTATATTCTGTGAAGCACTTGGGACGTCACAAAGATATTTTTCATAGATTCATAGAATTTTACGGCACAGAAGGAGGCCATTCGGTCGATCGAGTCTGTGCCGGCTCTTTGACAGAGCGTCACTTTCACTAACCCCAATCACCAGCTTTCTTCCCATAACCCTGCAAACCCGTCTTCCCCAGATACCTATACAGTTCTCTCTTAAAAGCTGTTATCAAATTGGACTTCACTACCCTTTCAGGCAGATCATTCCAAATTCGAACAACTCGCTGAGTGGAAACATTTCTTCTAACCTCCTCACTGCTTCTTTTGGTAGATATCTTAAGACTGTGACCTTTCATGATCTTGAAGACCTCTATCAGGTCCCCTTGTAACCTTCTCTGCTCTAATGGGAAAAGTCCTAACTTCTCCAGCCTGTCCTCATAGCTAAGGTTCCCCATTCCTGGTATCATTCTCGTGAATCTCCTCTGCACCCTTTCCAGTGCCTTACTCTCCTTCCTGAAGTAAGGTGCCCAGAACTGGACGCAGTACTCCAGCTGAGGCCTAACCAGTGTTTTGTATAGATTAACCATAACCTCCCTACTCTTATACTCTATGCCCCTACTAATAAAGCTCAGTACACCAAATGCCTTTTTTACTGCCTTATCTACCTGCCCCGCTACCTTTAATGATTCGCTTACTTGAACACACAGATCTCTCTGTACGTTCACCCCCCTTAAGATTGAGCTACTAAGTCTATATTGCCTCCTTTCATTTTTTCTACCCAAGTGTATCACCTCACACTTATTCATGATATGATAAGGTGTTATATCAAATGCAAGGATTATTGTTATTTGTTGACATTTTCAACGGAGACTGGTTCTTGTTGGTGAAGTAATTTTTCCTGGTGGGGGAACTGAGTCCTGCATTTTCTTCCCCCTCTCCTCACATGTACTGACATTTACAGAACCAGTGAATTTTTTTGGTAAATTTTTAAAAATAAGCTAATTTGCAACACCTTAATATTAGACTTGTAATCTAGATTGGTTCTGAATTAATTTTATTTGAATTGAAATCACATTTGGTAGCCAGATTTGGATCTCGTTCACTGCTTGTATCAACTCAGCAACACTCAGTAATTGCATAATTGTTAGTGCAGTACATCCTTCAGTGAAACTGGATTTTTGATTGACTTGAATGTACAGATTTAACATCAAGAATTTCTTTTTCTTGCAGATGCATTGCTGACTGTGGAACATGTGAAAGATTCCATCAGTATTTCTGTTGAAGAAGGCAAAGAGACTCTTTTGCGCGTCTCCAAGTAAGTAACTCAACAGGAATAGATTTACTGCTGTCACTCGTAGTGCTGTATCAGAAAGCCAAGAAATCGAGTTTTCTATCAAGGGATTATTATCACCTCTTAATTTAACAGTCAATATCAAATTTAAAGAAACTGTAGTATTGCACCTTGCACAATCTTAATTCTTAGATGTGCACATTCTCAAATCATATATTTAAATGACATGTTGGTAAACATTTATTTTGAAATAAATGCCAAGGTAATCAAAAGCAATGAAATCAACTAACATCTTGATTATTTGTGATTGCAATTTTCCGCACAAGGTCTTATTAGATTACGTTGTCAAAATAAAACAAGCCTTTGCTGGCTCAGTGACTTAATTCAGTGACCAGCTGACTTATAAGGACCAGGAATTCCCCCCGACTTTACCCCAGTGTGTGCTGCTGAGTACCCATATCTCAGCAAGTGTGGCACGAGAGGTGCTATAGTCAGCCTCAAAATTCTCCTAAAGCTATCCAATGATTGTGGTTTGCAGTGTGCTTGTGTGGACGTTGGGTGAAAACAGGGTTGTGTTCGCCTACTCTCATGGCCAAATAGCCTGCTAATGCTCATTACAGATTGTTACTTCTTTCACTGCTGCTCTGTAATTGACCACAGTGAGGAACATGAGAATGTATACCATGATTCAGCTTATCTACTGTACAGAAAAGCATGGACTCCACTTGACACTTCCCTTGAATTGCACGTCCTGCATATTTGTAAAACCATTTACAAAATCACTTTTACACTTAAACCAAGAAAAGTATTTAAATCAAAATGAATCTCCAACTGGAATGTTTTCAGTTAGGAGGTGTTGTTTATTGCTGATACTTCTTGGGAAAAAAATCACAAGTTATTACAAGGATCACTGACTTCCGTTTAATTCTAACTACAATACTATAGATTCAGTTATAATAAAAATCGTTACATTTGACATAGCGCCTTTTATATTGGGAGGATGTCCTCCTCTTTCTATTAAGAAAACCTGCATCTTGCACAAAGGGGGGAATTATTAAACTATTAATTTTGTCATGTTGAAATTACAGATTTCTGTTTGTTGTAGAGTTGTATTACTCTCTAATCCTTTTTTAAAATATCTATTGATCAACTCATTTATATAGATTAACATAGTTGCAGTATACCAAGTCATAGTCACATTCTGGTTCAATATGCATTCAGCATCTTTCACAGGAGTGCATTGAAATTCTGGTGAATGAACTCCAAATGATTCAGATGGGGGTGGGGGGTGAAGAATTGGCAATAAATGTTTTAAATTTCCAATGGATAAATTATAGATAACGTATTCTTGAGCATCAGTTTTGCAAATTATCAGGGTTTGGTCTTTGCAGAACAGTCTAGTATTAATATGTATGCAATACTGTGCTGATTTGTTGAATGAGGTTTTTTCAGACAACGAATCTGTCACATTCCATGAATTGATACAGATCTGTAACTTGTTTAGCAAGATTTTCTGCATCTTTGATGTATCGTGGGGCTGGGTGGGGAGTGGGATTGTGGACACTGAACATTTGAACGAAAAGTACAATAATTAATAATAATAATCCTTGCATTTGATATAGCACTTTTCACGCCTTGTAGACGTCCCAAAGCACTTCACAGAATATACTGTAAAGTGAATTGACTGTATATTTGTGGACGAATGCGGCAGCCAATTGCGCACAGCAAATGCAAGGATTATTATTATAATGTCCCACAAACAGTCGTAGATTGAAAATGACCAATTTATTATTGTTTTTGTTTTTTGGAGGGATTATTATTAGGCTCTGTGTGGAGTAAGGAAACTTGCCCAAGGTTTCGCCCTCTGCCTGGAATTGAACTCAGGTCTCTCGCTTGCAAAGCGAGTGCTCTAACCACTGAGCTACAGGACTCCACTCAAATTACTAATTTCAACAATTTTTAAATTTACAGTGGAGAATTGTTGATCATTCCATTGTGATTGTGTACAAACGAACGTGAACCTTAATATTTTTTCTTATTTCAATCTCACAGGGATGTGATGTTTAATGATGTAAATTCCATTGTCCGCTACCTGGCCCGAGTGGATACCAAAAGTAACCTGTATGGCTCTAATCTCCTTCAGCATGCTGAGGTAAGGCGTGACCCTGTGTAGCAATTTCTGAATTATTGATACTTCAGTTTGGACAATTTCCATCCATTAAATCTTTAGTCTGTGTTTTGATCCGACGCATCCACCCTTGAAATTGAGCCGAGCTGCTTGTAAATGTGTTCAGGTCTCTGTCTGAAAGCAATATCTTCTCATGATCAATTGGCTCCTCTGTACCAATTTTTGGATTGGTTAACAACATTGAAATGGTATAATTTCTCAGAAGTGCATCACTTTGTCAATGAAAATTTCTGTTAAGAATAAGCACTGTTATTTTCCCTCTTGACTTGCATGTGACCGTGTGATTTGTAATTTTACTGCTTACACTATTTTTGCCTCCTGATTTTTACCCCATATTTACAATACAGTTGACTCAATAATATTTTGTGAATCCTAGCAACCTTTCAATGTGCCAACTCTCCTTTTATGCTCAATTTGCAGAATGGCTGCTCTTTTTTGTTACAGCTGTGATTTCCAGTGAATCCAATGAAATACGTCCTTGTGCATTCAAAGTAGGGCAGTGCTGCCATGTCAGCTGAGACAGATGGAACTAATTTCATTGTGTCACCTAATCTTTTCCTGATCAATGCGACACAATATTAAATAACTGTATGAAAACATTTTAACTGTCTCATTTGCACACAGTACATAAAAAAGTTTCAACATTCATAGTGACTTTAGGTGTCTAAAACTTTTGAGTGGAAAAAAACTTTTAAGAATTATTAGACTCACTGTCAAAACACTCTAGAGGGTGGGGGGGAGAAACAAAAGAAAAACAAACGTTGATCTTTTAATTCGAAAACTATTGCCAGATTAATTCAAATTAATACCAAAACTAGTTAATTATTTCTAGTTGGAAATGTGAATAAAGAAATGTTGAACAGCTGATCCGTTGTGCTTTGAAATAAGTTTTGATTTTTAAGTTATTCAGCTGCACTTTTTCTTATGTAGGTTTGATTTTGCAGGTTTTTTTTACTGTTAAATAACTCACAGAATAAAGCTTATGTATACAATGCCCATTATGTTGTTGCATATTGCAGCAAAGTCATTTAATTTTTTTTNAGCGTGTGAGAAGCCAGTTGGTATTTTGAGGTGAGCCAGGCAGCTTTTTGTGGGCATTTTGGATTTTTTTCATTGGTAAATGTCTTGAGTCCACGCTTCAATCACATTCTAATTGAACCTGCGTTCTGCAGTAACATGTTGACAATTTTAAAACCTTTGCTGCTGAAAAACATCAGTATATAAAAGAGAAGAGTGATTCTTGTTTTGAAAATTTGATTGAAAAGTTGCACAACAATTATAACTAAACTATAAATCAGAACCCCAATTTATATTACTAGTATGGAAATATGGTTGATTTTGAAACCTACTGTATGAATAATACTGAAAATACTGAACTTCTTTCCTTTTAACTGACAGGTTGATCACTGGTTGGAGTTCAGTGGCACAAGGCTAGCTGACTCAGCTCTGTTCCCTGACGCAGTACAAGAGCTTGATTGTGCTCTATCACTCAGGACATTTCTGGTTGGAAACGGGTTGACCCTGGCTGATCTGTGTGTGTGGGCAAAGTTGAAAGGTTTGTATAATATTGGCTTCTCCAGTGAGAGAAAACTGGGCTCAAGGAGACAGACTACAGAAGCATTAAAAATGTGTTTTGTATACTGTGTTATTCAGTGTAGTGTGTGGATGTTTCTTCCAAAATATGGCCGAGTGTGCATTATACATAGATGCAGAGAAATATGTCAACAACCAGGCAGATTTTGGACCTGGAGGAAACCAGATAATCTGCTGATGGCTGATGACCCAGTGGCTGGTGTAAGCGAGAGAAACACTATGCCATTGTGAAACATTCATGGATTCTGCTGCAAGACTCCCTCCTTTCCCATTATGACTCTGCCTAATTGTGTCAATAATGGTGGCATTCATCCAAAAGAGTTCTTTCTGTAGCAGATCCTGATGGAGACGTGTTCCAGGAAGCTGGAAGAAACCTTTGCTGTTGAGAACACAGTCCTGGCATTGGCCCCCAGCCTTATTTCCTGTATATAATGCACACCTTTGTGGAGAAGAAGATGATAACTTTCCTCAGAATATTGGGGTTATATGGCTATTACCCAAAATACATTAATCCAGTGTATTTAATTTTTGGAGAGTCTTTTATTGCGAAACATTGAGGTGGAAATTTACTGTACTCGAATGACAATTGTGAATGTATAGCATCCCTATTCATGACATTTGTGTGTAGGGGAGTAATTGTACTTTTACAATCATTATTTCAAGCTGAAGCTGATTTTCCACAAACTAAAATATTTTTTTAGTTAAAGATATGAATGTTCTGGATGGAATATGTATCGTCCACAATGAGACTAACTAACTCAATTATGATTTTGTCGGTTATGAGTTATCCATATTTGCCATATGCCATGACATGTCTTTTCCGAATCATTTCTGTAGTGTAGGTTTATGGCATCATTTAAATTGACCTGTAATTTGCAATATTAGATACTAAAGTGAACCTGGGTCATAGATGGTATAAAATATTGGTCAGCAATTAGCTTGTTAGTACTAATTATATTTGTTGAGGATTTTTTTTCAATTGAGAAACATAGATGAAGGGCAAAGCCTATAATAGAGGACACCACCAAGGTTGAAAGGAGCAACTGAAGTCCAGAAGTTGTAGTTAGCAATTAGAGATTTGAAATATGATAGTTGTAGGAGAGAAGACTGAAGGAAATGAGAAGTTTCCCAGTCTTGGGAAGAATGATTTATAGCAGGAGACAGTGAGATGTGCTTTGAATTTGATACAGAGGATGTAGAAAGAAGTTTTTAGGACAATGTATTTGGTCAAAAAGAGAGAGATTTTGACTGGATACGCAGATTAGAGGTCAAATCTGTGAGATTGATCACGTATTAAAGAAATCCTGTCCAGGAGTATGAAAAACATCCTAGAAATCTTCCCAGATCAAGAACACTTTACATGTCGTCAGTCAAGCCATTGAAAGGAACATATTACCTCTGAGATTGGAGGAAATAGCAAGGCTAATACCATTCGACAGAAAGATTTGAAAGAAACTAGATTCTCCTTTCCCATTAAAGAGTGTGAATAACTCCAAGGTTAATTATTTAACTAATGCACGGTGGGAGGAGTGAACTGAATTAAGTTGATAAATGTAGAGTGGAATTGTTAGCAAAAGAATGGATAAGGCTGAAGGATGAGGAGAGAAAGTCACTGATGTGAAAGGTACAAAGTGGGAGGTAGAACGGAGCCTCAAACGCTCGAGTAGGTGGGAAGAGATTTGGAGAATGAACCATTGTCTGCAGCAAAGGTAGTGTGGTTTGAATGAAAACTAGATAACCATGAAGATAACTTTGGTGAAAAATTGTGTAATTTCTTTAGAAAATTATTTTTAAAATACATTTTAAATAAAATATATATTTTATATAAAATAAAATTATATTTAAAAGTTGGCATGTGAAAGTTTGCCAACAGCTTTATAATCAGAGCCTGGCCAAAGAGGTTTAGATGTCATTTGCAAATCTGAGACATATGAGATCTGTTCAGTTTTCTTTAGACTTTTCTTGAATATTATGTACTTGCATCAACAGGAAGTACCCCTTATCAAAAACAGCTAAGTCAGAACAAGGCACCAACACATGTTAAGCGCTGGTACAACTTCCTTGGTTCACAGGACCCATTTCAGTCTGTGGGTAAAAAATGGGCAGCAGCAGCAGCAACAGCAGCACCACAGAACAGAGTGGTGAGTCTGCAGTTTTCTAAACTTATGGGAAAGCTAGTTGAGTTAGTGTGGCTTAAGATCCAGCTGATCATTAGGAGTGGTGCTATGTTGTAACAGTTGATTGAATCTGCTAGCAGTATGACAGGCTGCTGTCATTTCTGAGCATTTTCAATTCTGCATTGCTCTGTTTCCATTGTGACATCTTCACTGTGCACATTTTTGTTAATTATATTTTAAGCATCTCACTCTCTTGGTGACCTTTTTGTTTAAATCTACCTCATTTTAGTTGATCATTATGGTTCAGTGCTCTTAAATTTTGATTATGGTTGAAAATGTCTTTCATTTAATTTGCAAATCATGAAGTGGTGATATAACAATTGGAGCAGCACAGAATTTCGATGATCTAGACTGCTGTCTAGCTCTAAAAATACAGCTTGTGAAGATCCTCGATCCTAGATGGTATCAATGAATTTGGGGGGTGGCTTGGTACTTCTGACTCCTACTCTACAGATTGATCAGACGCTTTTGTGGTAGTAATTTCCTAGTATCAACTCCACTATTGTAGGAAAGTGCTGATCAAATGAGAGCCAACAAAAATCAAAAGGCAGCTCAGCTACAGAGCAGCATTGCCAATGGTCTGGGCAGGTCATCCGCTTGTCTTCTTCACTGAGAGTTTGTTGCAAAGGGAGTACTTAACTGGACTGCTGTGGTGTTCTGGAGGGAATCGATGAGGAGCATTAACTAGAGCAATTTGGACAAGTTGAAAAAGACCTAAGTGTCATTTGTCTTGGCACGTGGTACCTTATGGGATTAATGCTTTTACAGCTGAATAGCCATTTTTTTAAACAAAAATGTGTGTTCTTGGCGACATTTCTCTAGAAAGAAATTGCTTCCTTTATCAAGCTAAATAGTTTGTTAACAAATGGGAGGGGAGAAATTATCTGTGAATGTAGTTTGTATCCAAGTCTCCAAATCACATGATTACTATCTAATAAAAGGAAGAGTGGTGTGAAGGAATTGTTTTACACAGAGCAAATGTCACCATAAATGATTGTTAAAGCCAATTTTGTGACCGCAGTTATAGTAGAATTGGATGAATAACAAGAAAAATAATGGGGAAGCAGCAAGGAAATTGGATTGGAATGGGGGAGCAAGCACCAGCACAGATCTGATGGGTTGAATGTTATCTTCCTGTAGTACAAAAAATCTCTGTGATGATAAATATTGAGAAATGTATTTTATATTTTCCAAAACGTTTTACAGAGAAATGAAAAGAAAGAGGATCGTGGAAAGTTTGTGGAACTGCCTGGTGCAGAGGTTGGGAAAGTGATAGTGAGGTTTCCACCAGAGGCCAGTGGGTGAGTTAACAGGATTGAAAGTCATGCTGTGGATATTGCTCTCATTGCATAGAGTTACATAGATTCTATGGCATGGAAACAAGCCATTTGGCCCAAATAGTCCATGTAGTATTTATGCTCTTCAAAAGCCCCCACCCCTCCTGTTGCCTTATCACTGCTGTGTGAAATTGGACGTAACATTTCACCCACAAAATATAGTCAATTCACTATATAGTATATTCTGTAAAGCGCTTTGGATATCTCGAAGATGTGATAAGGTGCTATATCAAATGCAAGGACTATTATTGTTGTTATTATGTCTGATTATTTGCTTTCTTTGTATTGGTAAAGCGTGTTTGTGTTGGGTCTTTGTATGTTGAAATAGACAGGAATCTCTCCATCCATTTAAATAATGAGAAGTAACAAAATGTTAATTTGTCACGTCTCGAACAGGATGCTTCACAAAGTATTAATATTTGGATTGGGATTTTCTTGCCGAAGGTAGCAGTTTTGTTTTGAAAAGAGTTGTGGTTAGCACAACAGTGTTAACCTGTAGAGTGAATTGCTCCCAAGCAATAATACCATAATATCCACTTCTCTTACCAAATTACTAAGCATCAGTAGCACCTTGAAGTTTCAAGTTGTTAGTCGATTGGCGGATCGTTTTCCGGGGTAATGATCACTTCAAACATTTTTTTTAACGGTAATTTGGTCACTCAATCCATGGTTGTTTGTGGGACGTTGCTGTGTACAATTTGCTTCTGCGTTTCTCCCACAAAATATACAGTCAATTCACTTCACAGTGTATTCTGTGAAGTGTTTTGAGATGTCTCAACGATGTGATAAGGCGCTATAAGGTGATAAGGTGGCGGTGAGCTCTCATCTCCCTGTCCCCTCTCGGCCTTTCCCCTTACTCCTCCGGAACCTTTCCCTCCTTCGAGCACCTTACCCTCTACCACCCCTCCAGGCTCTCCCTCGAAATCCTTGTCTACCGTCCCCCCAAGCCTTCCCCACCTTCCTCTCAGATATCTTCACCCTCCTATCTTCCCTCTCCCTCTGCTCTGAATGCCTCCTAATCCTAGACGACTTCAACCTCCACTTCAGCCCCTCCTGCTCTACCTCTGCCGACCTCTCCTCCCTCCTCTCTTCCCTTAACCTCTCCCTCCTCATCCACTCCCCCACCCACGTCTGTGGCCACCCCCTTGACCTGGTGATCACCCGGGGCCTCAACCTCTTGGACATCACCATCATTGATAAAGCCATCTCGGACCACCACTTCATCTCCCTCAACACCTCCGTACCCTTTCTCCTTTCTCAACCCTCCACTATCACATATCTTCCGTGGAAAAAAAATTCCTCCCTCTCCCTCTTCACTGCCCTGGAGTCATCTGAACTCCTACACCTCTGGCCCTCGTTGACCGATCTCCCCTCCTCACTCTTTTTTCTCCACAACTCCCTCCTCCATTCTGGACTTCCTTGACTCCCTCACCTCCCAAACTTCCTCATACTCCCGTAAATCCCCCTGGTACACCAGCCATCTCTGTTCCCTCAAGGCACAAGTGTGAGCTGCCGATCGCGCCTGGACCAATTCCAAACTAACGGTCCATTGACAGATCTGGCTTCACCACACCAAGATCTACCGCTGCGCTCTTGCCGCCGCCAAATCCTCCTTCTACTCCAAGGTTCTTTTTTCCACCACAAATCGTCTCCTCCATCCACCTTGCCACACCTCGCCCATCCTCTCCTCAAACTCCAACTGTGAGGAGATGCTGGATTTCCTCGAAACCAAAATCGAGGGGATACGTTCAGCCACCTCTGCCCCGTCCACAGCCACCCCCACATCACCTCTCTCTCATGACCCCCCACTCACCCCCCCCCATACTCCTTCAACCCTATCTCTCCCTTCTCCCTCTCTGCGATTGTTTGCAAACTCAAACCCACCACCTGCTTCCTCGATCCCATCCCCACCTCTCTCCTCATCTCTCAGCTCCCTCTCTTGTCCGACGTCACTAACCTCTCCTTGTCAACCGGTTCAGTTCCAACCCCCCTAAAGACAGCCGTCATCACCCCCATCCTGAAAAAAACTTTCCCTGGACCCATCTCTACTCTCCAGCTACTACCCCATCTCTAATCTCCTATTCCTCTCCAAGGTCCTAGAACGAGTCGTCGCGTCCCAGCTCCGCTCCTTTCTCTCTCTCCATTCCCTCTGCAGCCCGTGTCCTCTCCCGCACCAAACTCCGTGATCCCATCTCCCCCATTCTCGCCCGACTCCATTGGCTCCCTATCCTTCAGAGGATCCAGTTAGAAATCCTGGTCCTCACCTACAAAGCCCTCCATGGCCTCACCCCATCCTATCTCTGTGACCTCCTAACCCCCTACCAACCGGCCCGCTCCCTCTGCTCAGCCGCCTCTGGCCTGGTCCACGTCCCTTGACCCACCCGCCCCACCATTGGCGGGAGAGCCTTCAGCCACTCTGCCCCCAACCTCTTGAACTCCATCCCCCAATCACTCCGCCTCGCCCCCTCGTTAGCCTCCTTCAAGTCCCTCCTCAAAACCCTCCTCTTCGGCCATGCCATTGGTCACCTCCCTTCCCCTCCCCTCTCTTCTCCCCCCTGAACTCAGCTCGGGTTTGAAATGCTGTACACTGTCCAGCCTTGGGACGTCCTCCTGACGTGAAAGGTGCTATACAAATGTAATCTTGTTATTATTAATATTATTATCACCATTTATAGGATGTACCCTAGAAGCCAGAGTAAAAGCACTTATAGAGCTGGAGTGTAAGCACTTATTTGCGAGAACTGAAGTTATTGGTTGAGCAGCATTTCCTGTTCACCAGCAGTGTCTAGTGATGATCAAATAATGTACTTAGAGTCAAGGGGCACACTGGATGCTTTGTCTGGATTTCCTCCCGTTCTCTCTCCCACTCCCCCATTATCTGCTACTTGCTGTTCTTGTGCCACCCTCTGCTTTCCCCTTTCCCAGATACTGTACTCTGGCTTGTGCTCTAACTCAATGACCAACTAGATTATGAGATCTGAAGACCTGTCCTGTGTAGGGATGTTTGTGTACGTTCATGTAGGTGCCATTAATTGAGGTTTGGGGCAGGTGTAATGGTAGAGGAACTTTTGTTTTATTTGTTTGCAAGCTTTCTAGGGGAGAGTTTCCCTGGCTCTCTTTATAGTATTCTACTTCATGAGAGAAGTTTGGAAAAAGTAATTTGTAACCATTATTATTACTCTTACTACTAATAATTCTTGCATTTAATATATCACGTATAACTTCTCAATGCTCCACAGGGGATTGTTTCATTGTTGAGTGTAGTGACTCTGTACTATTATTTGTAGCCAGCTAATTTGGATGCAGCAATCTCACAGCCACAATATGAATAACCAGGACAATTGGAGAAATTCCCCTTCTCTTTGAATCACATAGCCTATAAATAGTCACTTAGTTTTACAGCCATTACTTCTGAAGCAGTTTGAGCCATTTTGATGTTATAGCCTCTTTATCGAATGCAAAGGTTCATTGGTATGTTAACCTGAACTGGAACCTTGGTTTAACTTTGCATCTGAAGGACAACACTTCTGGCAATCTAGTGCCTCCCCAGTACTGCACTGGATTGTCAACCAAGACTTTGAACTTTACTTCCGAGTCCACAGCCTTCTGACCCGGAGGCAAGAAAGAGTGCTACCAACTCAGCCACACTGACATGACTGTAAGAATTTTGACAGACAATGATCATCCATCCTTGCATGTTTTTTATTCTGTTGCTTTCTGGCGTCTTTTGTCGTTGCTTGTGTGTGATAGTACTGTTGTATTGTGGTGCAGTTTCTCATTTTATCCACTTGGGAGCACTGTCTAGAACTTGTGGATTCTGAACATCTCTCCCAAGTGGCTGAAATTGGATACACAGCAAGATAAAGTTTGGCATTGAAATTCATTCTATTACACACTAAGTATTGCAGAGGGTGGAATGGCATTGTTATATAATGGATCTGCTGTCCACATAAATAATAATCTTGACACTATACGAAGTGTGCATTACATTATTTTCTTTAACATAAACACTATTGCTAAGGTGTTTTGCTTGTTTTGCAGTTATTTACACATTGGACATGCCAAAGCTGCACTCTTGAATCAGCACTACCAAGTGAGCTTTAAAGGCAAACTGATCATGAGGTTTGATGACACAAATCCTGAAAAAGAAAAGGAAGACTTTGAGAAGGTTGGTAAAGAAATTCATTTAGTAATTGTAATACATTATTTTTAACATTATAGGCAGGTAAACAGTTATGAGAAAGAATAGCTTGATCGTTGATAGAGGTGACTTTGTGGATAAGCAGGACAGTAAAAGATATAATTTGTTCTTTTTAAGTAAACTGTCCAGCAGAAAAGCTGCTCAACTGCTTTCACCAATAGCCAAGCTGGCGATAGGAACCTTGTGGGAAATCACCAGTGTAAAAACATGTTTTACCATTCCATGGCACAGTTCCTGAACAAATCGGTGTTGCCTCATCCATGCATTTGAAAACATTTTGCAATATTTATTCATAAACCTGGGTCATTTATTTTTTGTCCACATTTGTAGCTGTCTTGAAATACCTGACCGGAACTATGGAAGCCAAGCTAGGTCATATTGAGACATTCTGAGGTTACGGCTTGATAAATTGCAAAAGTGTAAATACAACATGTAAACTCTCAGGGATGCAGTTCTCTTTAGATCTCAACAGTTGTGAAGATTTCTTTAGCCTATCTTTCATGGTGAATTTGTTTGAATTATGACACTGGAGCTGAAATCTTTTTAAAATTTGACTGAATTCTCTAGGTTATCTTGGAAGATATTTCAATGCTGCAGATAAAACCAGACCGATTCACTTACACCTCTGATTACTTTGACACCATAATGAATTTTGCTGAGAAGATGATCAAAGACGGGAACGCCTATGTGGACAACACTCCTGCAGAACAAATGAAGCAAGAGCGTGAACAGAGGGTTGAATCTAAAAACCGGTCCAATTGTGAGTATCATCGAGTTTCTGCCTGTTATTTGGGCTGTTAGTCGCAGAATTTTTGTTTGTTGTATCTCAATTAATTTTTTCTTCTAAAGATGATAATAATAATAATCATCCTTGTATTTGGTATAACACCTTATCACATCGTTAAGAGATCTCAAAGTGCTTCATAGGATATAAAGGTTGCAATCACTGGTGAACTTTGATTTAGTGAGCCAGTGCCATTGTTTTGAAAGGAAATCCTATTCTAACCATAACTAATCATACATGTTCTAAATCCACCAATCCAGCAGGAAATAGTATGAGCTCATTGCCAGTTTGGCAAATTTACTGACAAGAGAATAATCCTTTAGAGGGGGATACAAATCTAGTTGTTTTGTTTTTCTTGTAGAGGCGGATTAACATTTTTAGGTTTAATACCCTGCTGTGTTGACACTGATATATGATTTTCTGTAGCTGTGGAGAAAAACCTGCAGATGTGGCAAGAGATGATTAAAGGAAGTGAATTTGGACAGACCTGCTGTTTACGAGCGAAAATTGACATGGCCTCCAACAATGGCTGTATGAGAGATCCCACTATCTACCGATGCAAGATCGCACCACATCCACGTACAGGGACGAAGTACAAGTAAGCATGTAAATCAATTGTGTCTTGCAAATTGAACTGATTTGTTGAATGTCCTTCGGATTTACTTTTTTTTAAAAAAATCTCTTCCAGGATACAAGAAAACCATAATGAGGTTCGATGAGGTTTGTATGATGATAGAAATTAGAAATTTTATGGGAAATTAAAGGGAGCCCAAGTTTTTAGAAGTTTTTTTGGTCTGCCGGGTGTCTCACACATGTGGAAATCCATCACCACGCTTAAGAGTATCCAAACCAAGCTGATATTTCTATGCATACCATCTACACATGGAAATCCCAGAGATGGATTGTTGCAGCAGAATGCACACTCTCCCTGGAGGGATAAATCCTGCTTACCGAATTCTGGAAAGTATTTGACTCAGGTTGGCAAGAGCCAAGGCTAGGGGACCCCAAAGTGTGCGTTGGGGTACTGCTGGAGTCTAACTAACTAAAATCGGGTCAGTTGCCATTGACATTGCTGTCGGGCAAGCTTTCTCATTGCTTGTCCAGCTAGAACCATCCTACTGATTAGGGCTTCGGCTTGCAGGGTTAACAGGAGGAGTGGGATGACTCCCTGCCCCCAGTGACTGGTCTGCTCTTCCTGGTCCTGCTGATGAGCCAGGAAGCTGTGATGTCATCAGCTGTGCCCTGGAATACTGTGGACCCGCCTCACAACCGTCACAGAGGGTTGGCTTGATTCCGACATTCCATTGCCAGGCATGTCACCTTGGAGCCAATTCAGCTCCAAGAAGACCCCGCTTACCTCCCCCTACCCCTACTCCCCCAAGGAGGATCGGATTTTTAGATGATGAAATAGATAAGGTGAAGGAATATTTTGGGAAGTTAGATGATAAAGGCTAGATGTTCCAATGATCTACATGTGTTACTGTGTGACTATATTCAGTTTCCAGCTGTAAAACTGCAGTTGTGGATGCATAAAGTAGAAAAAAAGTATCCCTTCCAGACCAACTGCTTAAATGTGCCTTGAGTAATGGTTTCATTGCGCATTTTAGAGGTATGTTTACAGAACGATGCTGCAAGTAAATGACTAACAAGCATTTGAATTTCTCTTGCTTCATTTGCAGAATTTATCCAATCTATGACTTTGCATGCCCAATAGTAGACAGTTTTGAAGATGTCACACATGCACTAAGGACGACTGAGTATCATGACCGAGATGAGCAGTATTATTGGATCATTGATGCGCTGGAGATTCGGAAACCTTATATTTGGGAGTACAGCCGCCTTAACCTGAATAATACTGTACTATCAAAGAGAAAGCTTACGTGGTTTGTCAATGAGGGTCTAGTGGATGGATGGTACGTTTTCACTGAAAATTTAATAGAATTAATTATTATGCTAGGAATAAACTTGTATAAGGATTTAAGATTGCAGCTTTTCAGAAGTATCCAATGTTTTAGGCTAATATTGTCAGCTGTCTTTGTTCCGCCAAACAGTTATTTAAAAAAAACTAAAGTTGCATATAGGGTTTTTCACAATGCAATACAAATAACATTTCCCTGTTTAGGGATGATCCTCGCTTTCCGACAGTGCGTGGAGTCCTGCGAAGGGGGATGACTGTTGAGGGGTTGAAACAGTTCATTACTGCTCAGGTGAGTTCATTGTAAATTCGGTACTTCCCTGGGTATTTATAGTATTTTGAATGCCTACCCTGGTGTCACAAAGACTGGAAATAAAATGTGTATTTCTCACTCATCCTTCTTGTGTGAAGACATTGCTCTTTCCTGTTTAAAAACTAATACAGTATACTTGTTTGTGTTTCGTAGGGAGGCTCGAGGTCAGTTGTAAACATGGAGTGGGACAAGATCTGGGCCTTTAACAAAAAGGTAATTTGACAAGCTGATAAAATAAATTGATGCACTCTACCAAACATTCTGTGGATGTCATCAACTCTTTGTATCTCAAATATCTGTTCTATGTTCATGAGCCTGTGTGATAAGAGTAGTTTGAAAATGGTGGGGCTCTGCTTCCATTCACAGTTTTGAAGAAAATGGAATGTTCTTGTGACTCGTTACATGGTGACTTAATTTTTTGTTTCCAGACAAAGGCTAATTCTGGGGGGAAAAAATACTTGGAGGGTGGCTGGGGCTTGGAATGACAGTTTTAAAAACACAAAAAACTGCCTTGAAAATTATCTTCCGTGAGCTGAAAAATTAATTTGTGCAATATTGTGAATTAAATCCAAATTACGCATTGCATTTTCTGCTTCTTTCAAGCTGCAAGCTAACTGTAACAAGGTATTGATAAACAATTTTCTGCTTTAACTCGGTTATTAGGTTTCCATTACACTTGTGGCATGGCACCAATGCTTAATGCAACTGGTTTAAGTTGTGCACAAAGCCAACACCTTGTGTGTAACTCATGATTGTATGGTTTAGCTGGTATGGTTTTCTGCACATTTTCCTAGATAATTAGTGCTGTACTTATTACTTATTGGGACCAAACATTCTTTTCTCATTTCTACCAGCATTTTCTGGACCAGCTCCAGGATTTCTGTGAAGCTGTTTTCCCTTTACCTATTCTTTGGATTAAAAATATAGATTTATTTTTGAGGTGAAGGGAAGAAAATAATTTGGAATCTTTCTGTGCTTCTGCAAATAGAAGCTTCAATATCTGGAGTGAAATCAAAGCTAGAGGTCTCTTATCTCTTTGTTGCCGATTCTCTCTCCTCTTTTGCATGTTCTGATACATTTTCGTCTTTCAAAATTTTAAAGAGGTTTGATAATTTTAACATAAATAGGGCAACAGCGATTTGCATTTATATAGCACCCCTCATGCAGGGTAGCGTCCCAGAGCACTTTACAGTGGCAGAGCACGACGCCAAGCCGGGGGAAAGGGAAAGGGCGAGGTGACCGTAAACACGGTCGAAGAGGGAGATCTTCAGGCATGATCTGAAGATGGGGAAGAAAGGGGCAATATTGATAAGATCGTGACTAGGGGATCTAAAGAGAATTTCGGAGAAACTACATCATGTAGAGGGTAGTGAGATTGTAGAACTCACTGCCTGGAGAGGTGGTTGACTTGGATGGTATAGATGTATTTAAGAGGAAGCTAGATATACAAATTAGGAAGAAGGAAATAGGGTTTGGGAGGGAGTACGGAGTGGGTGAAGACTTATGTGGAGTATAAATGTAGTCAAGGACTAGTTGGCTGAATGGCTTGTTTCTATTGCTATACAGTCAATGTGAATCTATGTAAAGTAGCCATTAATCAGTAGTGGGCCTTGCAAGATTTGACAGACTATTCAACTATGGAACATAGCTGAACCCAATCCTAATGTCCACAACTGAATGCACACCTCTCTGTACAAATCTTAAGTGAAATGGTCTAACTTGTACTTAACGGAGTGCAGAAATACCACGCTGGGACCTTTGTCTACTTGCCTCAGGTCTGAACACTAAACCATTGAATTATAATTTCTTGAGTTGCTTCCCCCTCCCACCCCGTGCCCCTTCCCATTTTCCTCCCTGCCTGTATTTCAACAATACAATTTCATCCTTGGAGCATCAAAACAAGATCTGTCCTTATCATCAACCCAAAGAGGAATGGCTTGTGTTTTATTTTCTTTGGCTCAAGGATTGTTTATATTGTTGCAGATAACTGCAAATATTGTATGAACCCGGGAATAAAGTTCCGTGGGGAATTTCTAATTGGCCTCTGAATCTAAATTTGCTGAAAATCAGGTGTACATTACTTGATCTGGATAAACTCTGTGCAGCGATTAATAGAGAATTGTACCATTATGAGATAAGTGTGTAAGTGGAAACGTGGACATTGATAGTGGTCACTTTTCATCCCATGGTTTTCAAATATTTCTTGTGTAAAGGTTGGCCGAATGCAGCAAGCTAAACAATTCCATATACCCTGTTTTGGCTGTTGCATGCAGATGAAAGTGGAGTGCCAGTTGGCATTATAGCATTCAGCAAATAAACCCCTATGATTTTACTTCAGGTCATCGATCCTGTGGCACCTCGCTACACTGCGATATTACAGGACCAAGTGGTACCTGTAAACATACCAGGTACGCAGGAAGAAATGAAGGAAGTGGCCAAACATCCCAAGGTAATAGAAATTTAAGTTTATAGAAGCAAAACACTACATTATAACAGGATTGCCCTGTAAGGTGGATATTCACGTTTTAACCAGGTTTGATATGTGTGTGGAAATTACAAGAAAAAGATATTAATCAAAACGCAAAGAAGAAATGCTTTGATGGTTATCCCTGAACCAATACTTTTCCTTTTTTTTCCTAGAATCCTGAGGTGGGGGTGAAGCCAGTGTGGTATGGAGCTAAAGTGCTTATTGAGGGAGCAGATGCAGAAACTTTCACGGAGGGAGAAATGGTGACCTTTATCAATTGGGGCAACATTATTATCACCAAAATTAACAGGTGAGCAAAAATGGGGTCAATTGAGTGATGCACTGAAAATCTAGCACATCAAATAGTCCTGGATCCCCATGGATAGTTATCTTTACCAGTTAGTGGGATACCCTTTTAGTAAATGGAAAATCTCACAAAACCACTAATGTGCAGTTGGAAGCTGCAATCCATGAGTCAGATGCAACAGCTGAGGGCAGACTTCACAGACTTTGACATTGCTAGAGTACTCACCTTGCAAATGAGAGATCTGGGTTCAATTCCCGGTGGGGCGAAACGTTGGGCAAGTTTCCTTCATCCACACGCCTCTGCAGACCAAGCAGTAAGTAGGAATCCAGTTGTTAATTGGTTGGTGGATCGATTTTCTGGGGTTAATAATTTGTTTAAAAAAAATTAAGATTGGTCACTCAATCCATGACTGTTTGTGAGACACTCCTGTGTGCAATTTGTTGCTGAGTTTCGCCCACAAAATCTAAGTATTTTACAGTATATTCCATGAAGCACTTTGAGACGTCTCGAAGGTGCTAGATTAAATGCAAGGATTATTAATATTATTGTTGAGTCAGGAGTTGAGGGACTTTTTTTACGATAGTGCACATTTGGGTCAATTCGAAATACTAAAAATTATCTTATTTGACATTATTACATTGAATGGACACAAATAACTTGACCCTCTATGGGACATTAAGGCTTTCCTGTTCAGGTGAAATTTTCACCACTTGCTTCATTATCAGTCAAAATCAATACATGTTGTTGATTAAATTTGTGATTCTGTTACAGAGACTCCAAAGGGAAAATTGTGTCACTAAATGCAAAATTAAATCTCGAGAATAAGGATTATAAGAAGACAACAAAGATCACATGGCTGGTAGAGACTACACAAGCTCCATGTATCCCCACAATCTGTGTTAACTATGAACACCTTATCAACAAGCCTGTCCTGGGCAAAGATGAAAACTTCAAAGATTACGTGAACCAAAATAGCAAGGTACTGTGTTGCATTTGTTGGCAGTGAAAATCCAATTCAAGTAAAACCATATTTGTTGGATTAAAATTTCAGCCAAGATTCTGTAATTGCATGTTAAGGGCGTTTGAATCACAGTGAAATGCTTGCAAGTGGGAAAATAATTATTGACTTTGCAAATGCCAATGTGATTCAGCTAATCTGCACCAGCACCATTCCACATAATATCAGGGATAGAAGAAAAATCAATCTGTGTTTGAATTAATTTGGATGAGGGAGGAACATTGGCCAGGACTGCCTGATTTTTGAAATATTGCTAAGAGATTAACATTCACGGGAATAGGCAGAAATGTGAATGACATTATTGAGAGGGAAAATTCTTCTACATTTTAGCAAGAAGAACAAATGCTGGGTGACCCCTGTTTGAAAGAATTAAAAAAAGGAGATATCATTCAACTACAGAGAAGAGGATTCTTTATCTGTGACCAGCCTTATGAACCAGTCAGGTAAGCAATTTTAACTCTTCACATTTTCAAGCAAAAATGTTTATGGTTGAAGAGAAATGACTAAGAAACGTTGCTAATAGTACCATGTTTGAGCTGTAACCACAGCTCATTCGGGCTTTTGGAAATGATCATAGTAAGAAAATTAAAGCAACTTTTGCTTAACAATTATCTGATCAGACCTGTGTAGGTGGTAATAAATGTTCATTCTTTTGTTTGTGATATTCTCTCTATGAGCTTCTCTTTTGACGTTGTGCTAAAGTGATTGATTACCCTAGAGCAGTGGTGGCCAGCCTTTATGATCGGCCAACAAAATAAATGATCGTGCTTGAATATTTCTTGATTAATGCCATAAATCAACAAATATTCAATCAACAAGAAACTAAAAACACGCTACCGATTCAACATGGAGTTCCTAGACTTGTACGAATGTTCGGGGTGAGGGAGCTTCTTGACAGCCCCGTGGGCCATTTCCGACCCATAGGCCATAGGTTGACGATAGAGGTTTAGGTGAAGAAGGTCTTCTGGTCCATTTGATTTCATCCTTCCAAAATTTCCACATTACATCAAGCTATTGAACGCAGTATTTAAGAAATTCTACATAGAATTGTGAATTGGTCAGTGTTTAAAATTAAATGAAGCTATACATTAAACTGCTAACTTTGGCAAAATCCTTGACATGTAAAAGAAATCCCCTCTCTATAATTTGCAAGTTAAATAAGCTTGCATTGATTGAGCACTCTCTATACGTGTACTGTTGAACCCTAATGAATTCTAGATCTGTGATTTTGTTTAGCCCTTACAGTTGCAAGGAATCTCCATGTGTTTTGATTTACATCCCTGATGGTCACACTAAGGAAATGCCAACCTCTGGCTCTAAGGAGAAAAGTAAGGCCGATGCAACCAAGAAAGCGGTAAGGCCAGATTCTGAAGTATTGGGGGTCACCACCTGCATCTTGTCCACTCTTGCATTTTCATTCAGTTTTATTTTTCTTGTTCAAAAAATATTCAGTTGAACAACCCCCATCCTCACTTGGCTGCATTGGCTCCCCATCCCCCAGTGGATCGACTCAGAATCTTCTTTTCACGGTCTCACCCCACCCTACCTCGGCGACCTCTTCAAATCCTACCAACCCAGGTGCTCCTGTCGCTCAGCAGGCACTGGACTGGTTCATGAACTTGCCCCAACATTTGCAGGTGGGCGGGATTCAGCCTTTCTGCCTCCACTCTATGGAACTCCATCTCAGAGCCCTTGACTCCTTCATCTTATTCAGGTCCTTCACAAGACAAACCTCTGACCATGCTTTCATCCATTCATTTTCCTTTTCCTCACCCCATCAGCTCCCATCCCCAGCTTGGGTGCCCAATCAGTACTGTTGAGGGTTGGCTCGTCCTCCTGGTATGAAAGATGCAATATAAATGTAAATTTGTATTGTATTATGACTGGTTTTGATGATAATTTGAGCTGTGCTATCTTTCCAGTATACTATCAAACAGAATTTTACATGAGAGGAGCTGAGAAGCTGCTTGTGGATTTGTGTTTTTTAAAAAAAACTGATTGCTGTATAATTGTGATTGCTCCTAACATTCCAAATGACTTGGTTACTAAATCAGTGCTTCCAATATTGAATTGAAGATATAAAATTGCTGTGGTCTGTTTCCTGTTAACCAATAGGATCTTTTACAATGCTCTGCTTCACACAGGGCATTAATAGCAGGGAAGAAGACAAGGTACTGTAATAGCTTCTAAAAACAATTATCTTTAATTTTACTTTTAGACTAAAACTGACTCTACGGCTAAGGTTGCATCACCTGCTGTTGTTGCTATCCCTCCCTCCACCTGTGACACCGTGGACCTTGTTTCACTTTACAACAAGGTGGCAGCACAAGGTGAGATGGTACGAGATCTTAAGAGCAAGAAAGCGCCCAGAGAGGAGGTGGATACAGCAGTGAAATCGCTGCTCGCAATGAAGGCCGAGTATAAACAGAAAGCTGGCATGGAGTACAAGCCTGGGAACCTGCCCACACCTACTTCAATCGTTGCATCCACACCTACAAACGTAGATTCCAGTTCAAACAAAATGTTGCACAACAAAGTGTTTGAGCAAGGAGAGGTGCTCCGAAAGCTCAAAGCAGATAAAGCCCCCAAGGTAATCTTCAAAAATATCTCATCCCAATTTCTTTGTCTTTGCTATTTGTAGGATCGTTGAGAGCAAAATTTTCATCCAAAATTCCTCTTCAGTGGGGATTTTAATGCAGAATCCCTCTTCAATGGTGCTAGACAATGGGGGCAGCATTACTTTGTATTGACTGAATCAATAGTTTTATTGAGCAGGTATGCCCAGTGTTGGCACTGTGGTGTTTAAGAGGACGTAGAGTGGCCAGGTTTACCTGAATAATATAAAGTCATGTATTATGAGCTGAAATACTAATTTCTTAGGTGTAATATAATAATAATAATCCTTGCATTTGATGTAGCGCTTTTCACGTCGGGAGGACGTCCCAAAGCGCTTCACAGAACACACTGTAAAGTGAATTGACTGTATATCTGTGGGCGAACGCGGCAGCCAATTGCGCACAGCAATGTCCCACAAACAGTCGTAGATTGAAAATGACCAATTATTATTGTTTTGGGTTTTGGAGGGATTATTATTAGGCGTGTGGAGTAAGGAGACTTGCCCAAGGTTTCGCCCTGTCTGGAATTGAACCCAGGTCTCTAGTAGTAGCAGTCAGTGCAAGTTTCTTTCCACCTTTTGGAAAGTTGAGAGGAGGGGTTGTTAGTACAAAATCTTCATTGACTAACCACAATTTGACTTAATTTGCAACATAAGTCATGAATTCCTCATAACGCTTCAAAATGTCTCATTGGTGAAACTCACTGTAGCACTGTATTTAGAGTGGAACTTGGGACAATTCAGTTCTAAGATAAATGAACAATAAGCTTAAGCAACCAGAAGTATTCATTCTGGAAACAAAACCAGGCAAGGGGAATGTGTCATTGTTTTCTGTGAGTCAGAGCTGATGCAAGCTTTATCAGAATGTGACTACTTTTTCAACTTGTAAGGAACGGGCAGTAGATCAGTCAGGAAATAAAAGAACATGGAAAAATGGGAACTGAGTGTAGTGCCTGCAATTCTCAGTATTCAGTTATTCTCAGAATTTATGTTGATTATACTAAACATGTAATGTTTGCTTGAGTCCACTTTAACTTGTGCTTGCATATAATTGTTTCAATGTGTTCCTACACAGGATAAAATAGACAAAGCTTTAAAATCTCTTCTAGCTTTGAAAGCCGAGTACAAGCAAAAGACTGGACAGGAATATAAACCTGGTAATGTCCCATCATCAGCTTCAAGTGCCATTTCTACTCCAGTATCTTCAAATGCATTGGACAGCAAAGCTTTACATGACAATGTTGCCGAACAAGGAGAGATTGTCCGAAAACTTAAGGCAGAAAAAGCTTCCAAGGTAGTTATGAGATTATATTGAATGTCTGTATCTCATATCTATATATCTAATTATGTTAACCCTGAATATAATTATGGCTTAATTCTTTGAACTGACAGTTCCCCACCATGATAACAAAATTCACGGATTTATTATAAAACTAGAATATTCCATTCCCACGTCTACACTACACATTATTTTCATGCTGCAGGAAGTCTTGTCAATTATGCATTCTAATTTTCCTTTACAACTTTCTATTGTCTAGGAAACGATTGACACAGCTGTCAAAATACTCCTAGATCTCAAGTCGCAGTTTAAGACTCTGATGGGAACAGATTACAAACCAACAGCATCTGCTGACGACAAGAACAAAAACAAGAAAGAAAAACAGAACAAATCAGAGAAGCAGAATAAGTCTGAAAAGACTGAAGAGGGACAAAAAAAAGATGCCACAAAAGAGTTGGACAAGGGATCGGGTAACGGGGGGGCAGGAGAGGGGCAGGGACCCAAGAAACAAACCCGGTGAGGAAAGATTTATAATATAATTTTTTTGAAGATTTTTTTATATATATTAAAACCTCATCCTGATTCTGGGTTCATTGTTGTGCATAGGGATTATTGCTATAAGAAAACAAGTTTATAAATTGTATAATTTTATTCACAGTTTGGGCCTGGAAGCTAAAAAGATTGTCAATCTAGCAGACTGGTATTCACAGGTAGGTTTTTATAACAACGTTGAAATTGAATTGTTGATATGTTATTACAAAAAGAGCAATGAAAGGTTTGTTTCAGGAAATAATGATGTAGCTCTTAACTGAATACCTGCTAATGAACCACCGTATTATTGAATTGTATTTAGTTAAATACTCAGAACAATATATTCAGTGCAAAAGATATTGGACATTTTATATCAAACAAAAATAAATGATAAATTTAGTCAGACTCTGCCATAATGGAGTCATTTGGGGAAAGCAGAATGTAGAGCCTTTCTGCCAGAGTTTAGCATTTTAAGTTTTGTGTGTCAAATTCCCCACACATCCGTTATTTAAATGGCAACAAAGGATTAAGAATATTCAGCCCACATTAAGGTTTGGGTTGGGGTGGGATGGATTTATTGCAAATGCTATGGTATCAAGCTGAAAGTGTAAAACTAAAGGAAATTATTGATCTCGTGAGGCACTGCCTTGTCATCAGAGAGAGAACATCTGGAACAAATTTGCATCATTGTTGTCATGGTAATATTGTGTAAGCAGTGTTCCCTCATTCCAGTTACATGTTAGTCTTTTGCAAACATAGGAAAGAAAGTTTGAAAGCACTGAGTTAGACGTACTTGGTTTAAACTACACAATAAGCAATTGGCCCAGAGAAACAACTATTAACCTTTTAAGGAAGACATTCCATAATCACAAATGCTAATTCGTTCTATCACATATAGGAATGTGCAGAACTAGAAAAGACCCAGCAGTCCGCCTGGATTTTGACCTAGTATCCACAGATATAAAAGACCATTTTCTATTGCACATGCAGTTCCATTTTCCACAGGCGAAAGAGTGCACAACAGAATTTTAATCCACACCTGGATTTCCACAATATTATAATGGGTATAATAGAAAACGTGCAAACCCCATTGGCAAGTTTCCTTTGTTCTTCCTTGAAGGCAATGATTAATACTGAAGTATGGTTCCAGTGATGTTGGCGGCCCTCCTGTACCTCCCTCAAATGGTCATCTATTATTTGTCAGCCAGACTGCACATATCTGCAGTGAACCAGTGAAGTGGTGGTTTTGCAGCAGAGCCTGTGTGTACCTATTCTCATCTGAAATCTGAATGTATACTTTTGAGAAGAATAGTGATTTTGAATAGTGATCAGGAGCAGGAAACCTGACTGGTTGTTTGTTGGAATCGTGTTCTAAAGTCCCATATCCCTGTTCTGAAACAGCAGAAGTAGGCAGAGTGGTTACCATAAGTCAGCCATGTAGTATTTTTGATTACTGTCAGAATTCTCTGAGGGAGTTGCTATTAGTGAAATCCATTTCAAACCAGTCTTTTTAAGCCCAATATGTCAAAGTGACTTTTGTTTTGAACTGGATTGTCTGTTTCAGGCAGTGTGTCAAAGCAGTTGAATTGACATTATATTTGGTTATAATTTTGTACTGAATCTAGGTCATTACAAAAGCAGAAATGATCGAGTATTACGATGTTAGCGGTTGCTATGTTCTCCGACCATGGTCATACGCCATCTGGGAATCCATCAAAGACTTCTTTGACCGGGAGATCAAGAAACTTGGTGTGGAGAACTGCTATTTCCCCATGTTCGTGTCTCAGGCTGCACTTGAGAAGGAGAAGTCCCATGTTGCAGACTTTGCACCGGAGGTAAGCACCAAAATATTTTACCTTCAAATGGTAACAAAAGCTCTACTTGCTTACAATGGTCCATTTTAAATGTGCATGCCTGCACAAGATGTATTTTCTGGAAGGCTTAAAATAAATTTAACAATGTATTGCTAAACAAGATATAGTTTTGATGCTCTTTAATTGTGTTTTTTTAATGCAAAATTGCAATCCAGCTGGGTTTCCAGGTGAGGGTCTTTTTGAGGGGGTGAGGCTGTTTTGGGACATCCTTCTCACGTGAAAGGCGCTTATAGAAATGTTGTTGTTGTTTATGCTCAAGGATCATCAATCGATCTGCCCCTATCATGCATGCCTCTATCATCTCTGCTGCATTTGCTTACAGTAGCTCATTGTAAAAATGTATATAATGTTGACCTTGCTTTCTTACATTTAACCAAGTCCATCAAGATAGATTATTATAGACATATTTATAGAGACTATAGACACCATAGACTCTTAACGTGTTTCATTATTTTCACAATGTTTGAAAATAAAAAAAGTAGTTTAAATGGACTTGTATCAGAGTCCAGTCATAGATGTATGGATCTGAGGGAGATACGGTAGAGTTGATATACAGACTCTTCACTTAGACTCTGCAGTTCCATGGGAAAAAAATCACATGTTCAAAATTTTCAATTTAAGGTTGCCTGGGTGACCAGATCAGGAAAAACTGAGTTAGCAGAACCGATTGCTGTTCGACCAACAAGTGAAACAGGTAGGGAAGTTTTTTTGATTGTCAATATTTAATGGTTAAATTGTTATTAATTTGCTATCGCAATTATAGATCAGAAGAGAAACTGAAATATCCCTGAAGACGAGGAGCTGCTAACCAATTACACCATCACTGATAAAAGGGGAGAAGAGGCAAATCTTCACTGTATTTTTTCCAAACTTTACGCAAGGAGATGCAAGTTCATTTTTAGTTTGGGCAGAATTGTTTTTAATTTAACAAGTACACAAAGGAGCCAATGTGAAGCATTGCCAGGGAATCTTAACAATGTTACATGAACTCAAACACAACAACAACAAAATTACATTTGTGTAGCGCCTTTCACGTCGGGAGGACGTTCCAAACACAAATCGTTTTCAAACTTGAGCAGCATTTGCCTCACACTCGGGATTCCATCTTTGCTCTTGGAGTAAAACTGCACAAGGCTAACTCTGTACTGTTTGTATTCATTTTTGTAGTCATGTATCCAGCCTATGCTAAATGGGTGCAGTCCCATCGTGATTTACCAATTAAACTCAATCAATGGTGCAACGTTGTGGTAAGTTCCCCGGTCGATGCTTGTGCGGAATTAATAATAATCCTTGCATTCGATATCGCGCCTAATCACATCTTCGAGACGTCTCAAAGCGCTTCGCAGAATATACTGTAAAGTGAATTGACTGTATATTTTGTGGGTGAAACATTTAATGATGCTAAATGGCTGATGCTTGGTACTTTGATCCAAACCACATTTGTGAGAGTGTGAATCACACTCAAAAGGATCAGTGGAGCTAAATAATTCATGGAATTGTAGAATATTCCAGCAGAGAAATAGGCCATCAAGTGTTGCCTGATGTTTTATCCACATGAGTAATCTTATCTATTCCCACTCTCTTACTCATTCCCCATGCTTTTTAATATTCTTCTTTGCTTTAAATATCTATACAAATCCTTGAAAGGGTGGTCAAGGCCGATTTGATAACTACTTTTAAAAACGCGGTGGACGGGTATTTGAGGAGGACGGGTTTGCAGGGTTATGGGAAAAGGGCTGGGGAATGGGACTGACATTAATTGCTCTATTCAAAGAGCCGGCACAAACTCGATGGGCCGAATGGCCTCTTTTTGTGCTGTATGATTCTATGAATTCCCCTTTGAAGGAAATTATAGTGACTGATTATGAAAAATTTCCAACCATCATGTGTGCAAAGATTTTGTTTTCCAACGTCTCTTATTTAGTTTTGTGGTTTCCTTAATTTTGTGCCTTATCATCATAACTTTTCATTAGTTTTGATGTGGGAAAGCAGAGGACTGTGGTACAAAGGAGGCCCTGTGTGCTGTGTCATGGAATGGCAGGTGTTTGGGGAAAGAGTGGGTTGTAAATTCTCACCTGCAACTGCCCACATAGGTTGTTAATGTCTGTCCCGAGTAGATACTTTGCCACAGGGAGAGAAGATATGTGGGAGTGTCACCATGGGCTGCTTTTCTGCATCTACTGGCTGGTTTTAGAATAGCATTGGTGGAAAGCTCAGCGAGAAGCTGTTATTCCATTTGGTTAGTTGAGAAGGGTGGTGCAAGAAATATGAATGGAACAGAAGAAATACTTGTTCTCAAAGAAATATGGGGGGAAAAAAGAAATATACAGTGAATGTATAATATGAGAGTAGTTTAATGCAGTGACCAATTGGCTGTTTACTTTGCAGCGCTGGGAATTCAAGCACCCGCAACCATTTCTACGCACACGTGAATTCCTATGGCAGGAAGGGCATACAGCATTTGCTACCCGTGAGGAGGCTGCAGAGGAGGTAAAGGTTGCATCTGTCTGGGCTATTTTTCTGATTAGGAAAATTAGTCAATGTTTCTCACTTCTTGTGTTTGTCTCATCTATGATGCATCTCAAAACTGTTGACTAAACTAATTTAAAAAATGACATTGGATGTACTTAACATTACAGGGCATTAGAATGTGACGGTTTGGCACATTATAACTAATACAAGATCTTACAGGATATGGATACATTCTTTTAGGGGTTAGAGATCCTGTCAGTCATGAATTTCAATAATGAATCCTATTTAATCCTTCCTCATTGTTTAAGCAAGTTTATGATGGAATTCATATTCAGCCATGTGCATGTACACTTCATAAACTGACAGAAGAAATTAAAAAAGATTCTGTCCTTTTGTGTTATTAAAACCAAGATTGTACCAAACTATCAATAATCAAACTAGATCAAAATAGCAACTGCAGATCAATTCACTATAAATTGATTGGGTGCACCATGGAAAGTTAAGCCTTTGTTTCATTAAATATTACTGTGATTGATCAAACAAGTACAATGCTTTAATTACTAACCCATAAAAAGAGGTAAACTGAATTCTTCTGGAGTTGAATTGCGGATCTTCCTTGAATCTTTAGAAAACCTAACTACTGGATTCCCATGTTGGGATTCTGTATGCCCTCTGGTTTCTTCAAGGTGAATGACTATTTAATTGTGCACTCAGGTCTTGCAGATTCTGGACCTCTATGCACGAGTATATGAGGAACTGCTTGCAATCCCAGTAGTAAAAGGAAGAAAGACCGAGAAAGAGAAATTTGCAGGCGGTGATTACACAACTACAGTGGAGGCATTCGTATCAGCCAGTGGAAGAGCCATCCAGGTAAATACTAATCAGACAGGAAAGGGATAAATAACTCCTTATCCTGATATAAAAAATATTTTGTACTTACATAATGTGAATGTAATGGATCTAATCATTCTACTTACTTTAATTTGTTCTGTAACAAAACCGAATATATATTGTTACTTTAACTAACTGTGTGCGATAGCAAGTACAATATTTTCCTGCCTTATTTATACATAGGTTGACGTGATATATTTGCATTTCAGGGAGCCACTTCACACCATTTGGGACAGAACTTTTCTAAGATGTTTGAGATTGTCTTCGAAGATCCAAAGAAACCCGGGGAGAAACAATTTGCATACCAGAATTCATGGGGAATTACAACCCGAACTATTGGGGTTATGACCATGATCCATGGTGATGACCAGGGATTGGTGTTGCCCCCCCGAGTGGCTTGCGTGCAGGTATATAGGAATGGGAACCTGGGATTAACAATGCAGTGTTAAATCTTTGATCTTTCATAAACTAGATTCCAAGCAGTTTAGTGTTTAACTGCTTGTTCTACAGGTTATTGTGATACCTTGTGGAATTACAAACAGTCTCTCTGAAATGGACAAAGATTCCCTGATGAAAAAGTGTGGTGAATATCTCGATCGTCTGACTAATGTTGGAATCCGTGCTCGGACTGATGTGAGAGACAACTATTCTCCTGGCTGGAAGTTCAACCACTGGGAGTTGAAAGTGAGTGAATGAATGTTAAAATGAGATTATCCTCTCGATTAGTGCTACCCATGAATTTGCAAGGTGCCATGGAGCTTTTAACATGAAGCAAATGATTCTATAATGCATAGGGATAATCTAATCTAAATACCATGTAAATACCATACTGACATTTTTCTGAGCACTGTGCAGAGGTGACCATTGTAATACAGGGCTCCTGATGAGATATTCTTCCCAGATATATTGACTCCGACAATGAATACTTGTATTGGGATTTTCCCAAAGTCATCAAAGTAGTTGCATCTGCTGACAAAGGGAATTTTTACTCCTAAACTTGTAAATCTTGTCCTTCATTATTGCGTCACAGATATTATCTAGGATCCCCAAAGTCTGTGATTTTAAGAGGGTCAAAGGTGGCTTTACAGAGTGCTACTGGCAATTGGAAGAAATTAATCTACACGGATTGGTTGATGTATTCTTTAGTGTTTTAATGTTAATCACCTAGTTTTTTNGACCTGTTTATTTAAAATGTTCCTCAAGGAATGGCAGATGCAATTTCAAGGTTTTGATATTTTAAAACTTTTTCAGGGTGTACCTATCAGGGTAGAAATTGGACCACGGGATATGAAGAATCATCAGTTTGTGGCTGTCAGGAGAGATACTGGAGCTAAACTGTCAATCCCAGAGGGTGAAGCGGAGACAAAACTAAAGGAATTATTAGAGGAAATCTATGACAATCTTTATAACAGGTAGAATATGTCTGAAAAGTCCAATTCCAAGATGTCATTTGTTGGGTTGGTTGTGTGTGTGCATTCTTGTGTGAGCGCATGTATTTTTGAGCTAAATGCTAAGGGGCGAGGGAGGGAGGCTTTCCCTGTTCTTATGAAGTTATCACATTTGCCAACTGTTCATATATTTTTCTTTCACTTTTATAATTAGAGCTGCTCAGGATCTGAAGGAACACATGGTTGTGGCTGACACAATGGAACACTTTCAGGAAGAACTGGATTCAGGAAAGGTATGACCTTGATTAATTCTGTCTGCTGCAGAATTTATTCATATTCATGTGGGAAGCTGGAGAGCGCAGTGGGGGAAGCTCTGTGCTTTCATCTGTAGTATTTGGATTAAAATCAACTGAGACTAATGGGATCAAAGGTTACGTGTAATGCGTTTGAGCAGCTTCAATCTAATTCAGTGGTTGGGGTACTTACAATACAAAACTGCATGTCGACTCCAAATTAGCAGTCTCTCAGATGTGCCAAAATGCATTAGAATTTGGGCGGAGTAATGGAAATTATACTAGTCCAGTAAAGAGTGATTGGAGTGGGGTGGTTTGTCTAATTTGCTACTATTTTGCCCATAAAATACAGTCAATTCATTTTACAGTATATTCTGTGAAGGGCTTTAAGATGTCTCGAAGACATGATAAGGCGCTATATCAAATGCAATTATTATTATTATTCTAAGTTTTACTTGTGGAACAATATAAGGGAGGTATGAGGATGCTGTTTATTTAACACTGGTTACCAAAATAGCTGTGTTCCTCTCATAGCACTGAAAGCTCTCATCATGGTGATTGCTGTGGTTTGTAAAAAATTGAGTTGTTATACTTTTTGCCCATTTCAGATTGTGCAGATTCCTTTTTGTGGTGACATTGACTGTGAAGATTGGATCAAGAAAACAACAGCAAGGTAAGGGTGAACATCTAAACTTGTGCTTGTCATTTCTTTTGGTCAGTTCTAATTTGGTTAATTCTTATTGTTGTGAGCAGGCACATTTTAACTTTTAAACTCGTATCTATGGGGTTTTATATTTTGTCTCACTTGTTTTGTCATGAATAACAGAACTGATCAAATAGCCAGATTGTTGAATTCATGTCCCGCACATCTAGTGTTTTGTTTTTGAGTCTGATTGTTAAGTAACTGCTCTCACAGATTATTAGTGGAGTCATTCAGCTCAGTGGTTAGAGCACATACCTCGCAAGCGAGAGACCTGGGTTCGATTCCCAGCAGGGTGAAATGTTGGGCAAGTTTCCTTACTCCACACACCTGTTTACCTAGCAGGTAAGTAGGAACCCGGTTGTTAGTCGATTGGCACATCACTTTTCCGGGGTAATAATCCCTCAAGAAAAAAAAACAATAATTGGTCACTCAATCCACGAATGTGTGTGGGACACTGCTGTGCGCATTGGCTGCCGTGTTTCGCCCACAAATATACAGTCAATTCACTTTACAGTATATTCGGTGAAGCGCTTTATTATTTCTTCATGTCTAGAAGATGTAAAAAGCACTATCAAATCCAATTATGTATTATTATTATGCTTTGGGCATCAAGACTGTTCAATGCCGGTGTGGCTTTGCAATTTTTTTATAATGCCTCCTTGTATTAAGATATGGAATGTGATTACTTATCCCCAAAATTCTGTCTTTATTGGCGTTTCTTGTGAAATAAGACAAAATGGGTATATTTTCCTAGGTGTCTAGATGTATTTTATAGACTTGTTTCTTCTGCAGGGATCAGGATGTGGAGCCTGGTGCACCGTCCATGGGAGCCAAAAGTCTCTGCATCCCCTTCAACCCACTTTGTGACTTAAAGCCTGGAGCAACTTGCATCAGTGGCAAGGAGCCTGCCAAATACTACACACTCTTTGGCCGCAGTTACTAGTGAAATTACAAAATTGTCTTTAACTATAAGTGTTTTTATAGGACTAATCAATCACTGTTACTTTCACCCTTTTTGAGTATTTTTAACAGATAATGAGAAATAAACCATAGAAATATCTAAGGACAAAACCCTGGGTCAGAAATACATCTGTGAAGATCTGTTCTATGTACACAACTGAATAGAAATAAATCTGTAATTATGAATAAAATCCTGCCTTTGTGTCTGGGATGTGAAGGATCTGTTTTAAAAAGTGACACTGGATACTCAATTGGACATGTGATAAAGGGAGAAAAGAGAGAAATGGACTTTGGGAATGCTAAGCCTAATAAGAAGTGGTATTTGGTCAGGAATATTTACCCACCACTGAACAAAAATCCTGGCAGTTCCAACCCCCCAGAGACATTTCCTAAATAAACTAAAATCTAAGAAGGATTTTTGTGCTTAGGGTGTAGAGGGAAGAGAGGCTGGGGAGGTGGAACAAAAGAGAGGAAAACCTAAAGCATTCAGATACATCCCCCTGTGAAGGGTTCTATATAAATGCAAGTTGTTGTTGTACCTCTTCGACCATGCTCGTGGTCACCCCTTCTCTCTTGCTTCACATCCAACTCACTGTATAGCACCCGGAGACGTTATAACTACATAAATAAAAGTTGAAGGAATGGGAAGGTTGACGGGAGGAGATTAATGTCATTCCAGCATAAATAATCTGCTTCGTGAAAAATACAGCCATTCTGACATCACAGCGGGCCAGGCATCCCTACATACGCCTTCAACTCCAGATCACAACTGGTTTTAGTGAATTTAACAGTAGAGGATTTTGATGTACCCCTCAGCAGTGAGAAAAAATAATAGAACAGAGGAGTATTATATCTGAAATCACAGGTATAACAACTATTCGGTTCTAGCTTCCTGTTATTCCTGGTTATAAAAGCATCTGCATTTTACCTCAATAGCTAATAATAATAATCCTTGCATTTGATATAGCGCTTTTCACGTCGGGAGGACGTCCCAAAGTGCTTCACAGAACATACTGTAAAGTGAATTGACTGTATATTTGTGGGCGAACGTTTATCAACAAAAAAACAAGGGAAATGGGAAGGAAGAATCGGCCAGTAAAAGTTTAGGAAGCTTAGCCCAACCCCAGGCTCCTCTTGTCCATCACCATTTGTGGAGTAGCTCAGTGGTTAGAGCACTCGCTTTGCAAGTGAGAGACCTGAGTTCAATTCCAGGCAGGGCGAAACCTTGGGCAAGTTTCCTTACTCCACACGCCTAATAATAATCCCTCCAAAACAAAAACAATAATAAATTGGTCATTTTTCAATCTACGACTGTTTGTGCTGTGCGCAATTGGCTGCCGCATTCGCCCACAAATATACAGTCAATTCACTTTACAGTGTTCTGTGAAGCACTTTGGGACGTCCTCCCGACATGAAAAGCGCTATATCAATTGCAAGGATTATTATTATTATATTATTATTATCACCAACTGGCTACTCCGCCCACCCTCTCACGCCTTGCCCATCCTCACCTCCAATGCCAACTGTGAGGCGATGCTGGACTTCCTCAAATCCAAAGTTGAGGGGATCTGCTCAGCTGCCTCTGCCCTTCTGTCTACTACCCCCTCTCTATCTCCCCCTCTCATCCTGGCCCCTACCTGTCCCTCTCAACACCTTTGAATCTGATTCCCACTCCTCTCTCACCACCATATCCCACATGAAACCGCTCCCTCGACCCCATCCCTACCCCTCTCCTTACCTCCCAGCACCACCTCCTTGCCCCACTACTCGCATATATCATAAACCTCTCCCTGTCCACTGGTCCACAGGACCCAATCCTGATCTCAAGCTACTGCCCCATCCCCAATCTCCCTTTCCTCTCCAAGGTCCTGGAACGAGTTGTTGTTTCCCAACTTCGCTCGTTCCTCTCCCGCCACTCCCTTCACGAACCCCTCCAATCATGGTTCCTTGGCGCCCACAGCACAGAAACAGCCCTGGTCAAAGTGACAAATGACATTCTGTCCATCTGCGACTAGGGTTTTCTCTGCCTCCTCGTCCTCCTTGACTTCTGCTGCTTACGACACAGTTGACCACGCTATCCTCATCCACCGCTTCACCTCTCACCTCAACCTTCACGGTTCTGTCCTTTAATGGTTCAGATCGTACCTCTCGCACCGCCTGCACTTTATCTCCACAAATGTTTTTTTCCTCTAGCCCCCGCACCATCTCGTGGGTGTTCCTCAGGGCTCTGTCCTTGGTCGCCTCCTCTTCAATATCTATACACTCTCTCTTGTGACATCATCCGCAGACACGGGGTCAACTTCCACAAGTATGCGGATGACACCCAACTCTACCTCTCTGCCTCCACCCTTGAATCCAAGACCACTGCTGTCCTGACAGAATGTCTGTCGGACATCAAGTCCTGGATGAGAGCTAACTTTCTTCAGTTGAACGTCAACAAGACTGATACTCTCCTGAATGGCTCCCGTCAGCGTCTCCTCACCTCAGACACTGACAACATCACCGTCCATGGTTGCACACTCCATCTTACTAAGCCACTCCAGAAACTCGATAGCCCTGCTTTTGAGAAAGAAAACAGAGCAGAAGTGTTTTCAGAAAATATTTAAAAATAGCCTTCAAAATAACAAAGCTATTAAAGATCCACTAAAAACATCTTGAGTTCAAACTCTCTTCAAGCTGCCAGAACAAGAATCAAAGATTGAAAGTGAACCAAAACTTAGGGCAACTTAAGACAATCTCAATACTGTTTGAACACATCTTCAGTATACCTACCTTTACTCTGAAGGTTGCGAGCTCTACGGCTAAGAACATTGAGATCAAATTTAATAAGAATCCTCGCACTGATTGGAGCAAACATATTGAAGCATTTTGCAGGTAACTCCTGTCAAGTTGAAGTGGCTGCAGTTGTAGGCAAACATGGAAGCCAATTTGGTACAGCAAGGTTCCCCAAACAATCATGATGTAAGTGAAGTAGAATAAAACTACATTATCATTTTCAAATAATTTTATGAGATCTTTAAAGTTTATCTGAAGAGGCCGACGCGTATATGACGGCAGTGCCGATAAGGCATATCTCCTCCACTACTGCAGTAGACTGACAAGCTAAACTGAGCTCAAAGTACCGACATTTAACCTATTGGCATAAACAAGTGAGAAAGATCCATGGGAAAGCTTGAGATAGGGTGCACATCCTCAAGAAACCTCATCTCTACCTGTCGCTATTGGCAGTTCTGTTGCCTTCCAAAAGCTGCAAGTACACCTTGATGGAACATCATCGCTTTACTTGATGGGTTAAAAAAAAATCTTGCTCTGGATTCAGCACTTAAACTGGCCTGCTCCATGCCTGACTCCAATACATTCTCTCCAGTGCTGAAGAGATGTTATTGGGATGTCAGTCCACATAATTCAACATGATTAATTGAAGCAGCATAGTAAGAGTTGCCAAAAAAGATCTTATAGTACCTTGTCACATCAAAGCACTTCACGAGTAATTTCTGTCAAACAGACTTTTCTCCACAAATGACTTCTGTGACTTTTGTTTATTAACAAAGGTGGCAGCCAATTATGCTAGCAAGGTCCCACACACTATCATGATCAAATAATCTGGAAGTCCTGGAAGTGAATTGCTAATTATTCTGCAGGATTGATGGGAAAGAGAGCAGGAGAAACTTCCTTCTCTTTTCAAATAGTGCATTGAAGTTTTTAAACATTTATCTGAAGAAGAGGCAAATGGATTTTGTTTAACTTAAGACCATAAAATGTAGGAGCAGGAGTAGACCATTCGGCCCCTTGAGCCTGCCCCGCAATTTAATAAGATCATGGCTGATCTCCTAACCTAATTCCATTTACCTGCCCTATCCCCATATCCCTTAATCTTTCTATCATTTAGAAATCTATCAACCTCAGTCTTGAATATGTTCAAGGAATGAGCATCCATAGCCTTCTGAGGTAGAGAATTCCACAATCTCACTACCCTGTGAGTGAAGAAATGTTTCCTCAACTCAGTTCGAAAAGGCTGACCCTTAATCTTGAGTCTATGACCCCTAGTTTTAGATTCTCCAACTGGGGAAAAAAGTCTCACGGCCTCTACCCTGTCAAGACCTTTAAGAATCTTATAAGTTTCTATAAGATCACCTCTAATTCTTCTATATTCCAGAGAATATAGGCCTAGTTTACTCAACCTATCCTCATAGGTCAACCCCCTCATCCCAGGAACCAACTTAGTGAATCTACGCTGCACCCTCTCTAAGGTGAGTATATCCTTTCTTAAATAAGGAGACCAAAACTGCACACAATATTCTAGGTGCAGTCTCACCAAGGCCTTGTACAACTGCAGTACTCTTGTACTCTTTTGCAACGAACGCCAACATGACATTAGCTTTCCGAGTTGCTTGCTGTACCTGCATACTAACTTTCTGTGACTGGTGTACAAGGACACCCAAATCCCTCTGAACACTAACAGTACCTAAGTCTCTCCTCCGCTAGAAAACAATCCACTTTTCTATTTTTACTACTTAGGTGAATAACTTCACACTTCCCCACATTATACTCCACCTGCCACCTTCTTGCCCACTCACCTAGTCTGTCTATTTCCCTTTGCATTCTTTGTGTGTCAACCTCACAGCTTACTCTTCCACCTAGCTTCGTATCGTCCGCGAATTCAGATATGTTAAGTTCTGTTTCCTCATCTAAATCATTGATATATACTGTAAATAATTGAGGCCCAAGCACTGATCCTTGTGACACTCCACTAGTCACATCCTGGCAATCTGAGAAGGACCCTACTCTCTGTTTTCTTCCTGTTAGCCACTCTCCACTCTCCAACCCATGCTAATATATTACCTTTAATTCCATGGGCTCTCATCTTATGCAACAGCCTTTTATGTGACACCTTGTCGAATGGCTTCTGGAAATCCAAATACACCACATCTACTGGTACCACCTATCTAACCTGCTAGTTACATCCTCAAAAAACTTCATAAGATTTGTTAAACATGATTTCCCTTTCGTAAAGCCATGTTGACTCTACTTAATCATGTTATTATTTTAATTTTGTTAAACTAGAGTTAATTATAACGACTAATTGGACAAACATTTCAACAAGAACTACTCTCATTCGGTATTATGTAGGAGCACAGGAGTAGGCTATTTGACTCTCTGCCACACTCACGGCAGCTCTTCCGAATTGCATTTTTCCACCTTTTCTCTATGTCTCAACGTCTTTATTTCCCAAGTTCATACCTTCTCTCTCAAAATACATTAATTGATTCTGTTTCTATGGTCTGTATCTGGTATGCCTTATCACATCACTTTGTGTGACAACATGTATTCTGGATATATTTTAACTACTTAGCTCTTAATTTTAAAATTATGTCCCCTGAATTTTCTGCTAGTTCCTTATCTGTCTTGTAAATTCTCTTAATTATTTTAAAGACTTAAATCATATCACTTAATTATCATCTTGGTTGCTCAAATGTCAGTACATCCTTAAAAGTGTGGCGTCCAACACTGAGCACTATATTCCAGATGAGGTCTGAAAGTGAATGTTACAGCATGGAAACTGACCATTTGAACCAATATATCCGTGCCTGGGGGTTTATACTACACGTGAGCCTCTACCCCTCCTAATCCTCTCTCCTATACCCCCGGTCCCTTCTCCCTCATATATGCATCAAGTTTCCTCTCAAATGTGTCAATTGAAATCTTCAAGGTGCATTCCACACATCAGTTATTTGTTATAACTCATATCTCACTGAACTGTGAAAGAACCATGAAATCTCACTACCATTGGTAAAATGTTTTGTATTTGTTTAAACAAAAACTTTATATATTTTGTTTTTAACAGCCCTGCTATTTTAATTAGAGTGGAGTCCTGTAGCTCAGTGGTTAGAGCACTCGCTTTGCAAGTGAGAGACCTGGATTCGATTCCCTGCAGGGTGAAACCCTGGGCAAGTTTCCTTACTCCACACGCCTGATAATAATCCGTCCAAAAAATCAATAATAAATTGGCCATTTCAATCCATGACTGTTTGTGGGATATTGCTGTACGCAATTGGCTGCCGCATTTCGCCCACAAATTATTAGTTATTATGATTTTCTAAGTACCCCACGACAATGTACCTAATTAAGGACTCTAGAATTTTCCCTACCACTGATGTCAGACTAACTGGTCTATAGTTCCCCATTTTTTGTCTCCACCCTTCTTAAATATCGGCGTTATGTTTGCGATCTTCCAATCAATGAGAACCGTTCCAGAATCCAGGGAATTTTGGAAGATCAAAAACAAAGCATCCACTATTTCTGCAGCCACCTCTTTTAAAACCCTAGGATGCAGGCCTTCAGGTCCAGGGGATTTATCGATTTTTAAACCTATCATTTTCTCTAGTACTATTGCTTTACTGATGTTCATTTCTTTAAGCTCCTCATTAACATTAGCCTCCAAGTTCCCTTCTATTTTGGTAAGTTTTCAGTCTGCTCTAATGTGAAGACAGAAGCAAAATATTATTCAATGACCCTGCCATTTCTTTATTCCCCATTATAATTTCTCCTGTCTCTGCCTGCAATGGACCCACATTCACTTTTGATAGTCTCTCCCTCTTTATGTATTTGTAAAAACTCTTATGTTCTGAGTTAGTTTAACCTCATATTCCATTTTCTTCCTCTTAATCAGTTTCTTGGTTTACTTGATGTTACATCTACTTGTTACATCTCATCTGAAATGCCCCTCCAACAACTCATCAATTCCTCCATTACTGCACTGGGCTGTTGGGCTAGCTAATATCAAGCACTTCGGGATGCTACCCTGCGTGAGGGGTGCTATATAAATGCAAGTTGTTGTTGTCTCCATTTGGTACTAGCTACCAGATACCAACATCAGCTTGTTCAATTTCAATGGAGATACATGCTAAACCAGGGTTGTTGGTTGTCTATTAAATTATTGGTAATCCGTTACCTCATTCTGTGTTTTCAGCAACCAACAAGGTCAATTCCTAGGGTTATGCCGCCTAAATTTGAAATTCCTCTCACTTTAGGCTGGATGAAAATACGAGTCTGAAGGGAAAAAAGGTAAATAGGGTTTAATTTGCAGTATTTCTTAACAGGATTCCCCACTGTAGTAAATCTGGATCTGTACCTCACTATGATATACCTCTGCGTCCTTATCATTAGCACTTGGTGTGGGTACCCACGCTCTTCACTAACTCTCATCTGCTCAACTACTACGTGCTTAGCCACTGGAACTCCCTGCCTCAGACCTATGTCCTTGCCCCCCCCCCCCCCCCTTATCTTTAAATCCCTTTGAGACGTCTTGAAGATGTGATAAGGCGCTATATCAAATGCAAGGATTATTATTACCATTATCCCATGGAGGGAGGGGGGGAGGAGAGGGGGGGAGCATTGTGACCGGGGGTGTGGAGGGAGGGGGAGGGGGGGGAGGGGGAGGGGAGCATTGTGACCGGGGGGGGGGGGGGGGGGGGGGGGGGGGGGGGGGGGGTGTGGAGGAGGTGTGGGGGTGTGGAGAGGGAGGGGGAGGGGGAGGGGAGCATTGTGACCGGGGTGTGGAGGGAGGGGGAGGGGGGGGGTGTGGGAGAGAGAGCATTGTATGAGGTGAACCTCGGTACATCTTTACATCTATGACGTGTTACTATCCTCCCGCGCCCTCACACAGGGGGAGGGGGGGGAGGGGGGAGAGAGGGGGAGGGGAGGGGGGGCCGAGCGGAGGTGTAATGACGCCCCCAAACAACAACAACAACAACACAATAAAAGCCGGTGAGGAAGGAAGGCCGGAGCAGCGGGACCGGGCGGGGCGACAGAGCGCGCGCAGCGATGATCCAGACAGCGGCCAACCATGAGGAACACCACCTGCCGCCTGTCCTGCCTCCTCACCCTCACCGCCTCCTGCTTCGTGGCCGAGCTGGTGTCGGGGAACGTGGGTCAGTCCCTCACAGTCCTCTCCGACGCCTTCACGATGCTCTCCGACTCCATGGCCCTGTTGGTCGGGCTGATAGTAGCCAACGTGTCCAAACTGGAGAGGAGGAACATCTCCACGTATGGCTTCGCCAGGGCTGAGGTGGTGGGGGCGCTCGGCAACGCCGCCTTCCTCATAGCCTTGCACTTCACCATCCTGGTGGAGGCGATCTCCAGGATGTTCCGGCCGCTGAAGATGCAACATCCCAAACTCGTCCTGATTATGGGAATGTTGGGGCTGACCGTCAATGTCATAGGTTTGGTGGTGTTGCTGGACTGCTCCTGTCTCTGGTTCAAAACAACACTCAATAAGATCAGAGCAGGTGACTGGCTTTTAATTCTGTCTGTCTGTCTGTCTGTCCCCCCCCTGTGTGAATGTGTGTGTGAGAGAATTTTTTTTTTTGGTGGGGTGGGGGTGGGGGGTCCACTTGGTGTCCGACACATAGGGAGTCCCATTACCATGTAATTCTACCTACACGTGGAAACCCCACAGATAGATTGTTATGATAATAATCCTTGCAGTTGATAGAGCGCCTTATTATATCTTTGAGACGGTGGACGATTTGCGCACAGCAGTGGCCCACGTACAGCTTTGGGTGGGAGGGGGATGGGGAGGGAAAGTTTAGCCTGGATACCAGGAGAGATTTACTTCTCTCCCGCAAAATGTGACTTAGTGTTAAATGCAATAGGAGAGAGGTACGGCGGGTTGTTCTTTTAGTCGCCTGAGAGGTCTAATCGTCGATCGTTCACAAAACACACAATTTTCTGTTTTTTTAGATGTTGCGGGAGATGACTTTGTAGTATCCTCCATAAAGCGTCCAGCTGAAGGGAGATTAAACATTCGAGGTAATAAAGAAATGGAAAGAGAAAAGGCAGTGGTAAAGAGAAAAAGGCATGTTAGTGATGAGGAGTTGTTAATGAGTCAAGCATGGGCAGTAAATTAAGGCGTGATTTTATAATAATAATAATCTTTGCATTTGATATACCACCTTATCACGCCTTCGAGACATCTTAAAGTGCTTCACAGAATACACTGTAAAGTGAATTGACTGTATATTTTGTGGGGGAAACACGACAGCCAATTGCGCACAGCAGTCCCACAAACAGTCGTGATTGAGTGACCAAATTATTATTATTTATTTATTTTTACTTTTTGGAAGGAATTATCAATAATCCCTATCAATTATCCCATACTACTTTTACAAGGTATTAGGACAAGCAGGCACAGTTTGGAAACTATGAAGGGGGAATTTTAGGATAAAACCAATTTTTTTTACAAAAGGATGATTAATAAAACTAATTCCTGCATTTGATATAGTGACTTATCACGTTGATGTATCAAAACACTCCACACCATTTGACTATATCTGTCGGAAAATGTAGCACCTAATTTGTGCAGAGCATTGTCCCACGAGCAGCCTACTGTTTTATTACTCAGGTATTCAGGAATGACAAATATTATCTGGGGGATTGTTGGCCAGGACAACCAGGTGAAAGTATCTTTTTTTCGAATTGTGCCATGGGACCTTTAACGTCTCTGAACTGGCAAATGGGCCTCATCCGAAGGAAGAGACTTTCAACAATGCAGTTACTGCCCCTAATGCTGCACTTCAGTATCAGCCTAGACTGTGAGCTTAAACAACAACAAAATTACAATTGTAAAGCGTCTTTCACGTCGGGAGGATGACCCGCCCTGAACAGTCAGGGATCACGACCCACAACATAAGGCTGGAACCCACAACATGAGTCTGAAACCCTAGAGGCGAGACTGAGTCAGGCTGACACCTCTTCATTAATGCTGAGTGAATCTGTTATAACGGTCTGAATACAATCTATTTCATAATCAGTTAATATTTGCATACAGTAACATAATAAGCATAATAATAATCATTGCATTTGATATACTACCTTATCACGCCTTCGAGACATCTTAAAGTGCAGTGTCCCACAAACAGTCGTGAATTGAGTGACCAAATTATTATTTAAAAAAAAGTTTTTAGGCCAATCACTCAAAAATGAGCAATAAGTTGGTGCCAAGCACTTCCATTTGATACTCATTTAGCCTCTGCATGATCTGTATTTGAAGTGCTGTCTTTAGGATGAGATGTTAAACCCAAGTTCTGCCTGTCTGTTGAGGTGGGTGCCATGACACTACTTGAAAAGTGACTGGAGTTTCTCCTATTATCCTGGCTAACCATTTTTTCAGATAAAATGGTGATTCACCTCCTGGCTGTTTGTGGTTCATTGCTAGGTGCAAACTGACTAGTGTGTTCACCTGCAAAATAAACAGTGACTACACTTAAAACTAATTACTGTAAAGTGTTTCAGGATGTTTTAAAATTACAGGTGTAACCAAATTTAAGGATTATTTATTAATTTATTACTCTGATCAGAAAAGGGAGGCATGAACTCAGGAATGCACAACTCCCAGCACTGCAGAGCTATGGATTTATTATGCACACATATTTGTCATCATATCAACTCCCCACATCGAATTCCTGGGTCTCCAGAGCTGGTCAAGAATTTGACGTGTATCAGAGCCTAAACTGCTGATCCATTCAAGACCACAGTCAGATAAGGTTCTACAGGTGGGGGCAGTCTGGTTATAGGAGCAGACACCATTTATTATTGTATGCTGAAATTGTTTTTGTACCAAACAATGATGACATTTTATTTTTTAGGTATTCTTCTACATGTAACGGGAGATGCATTGGGTTCGATCGTGGTGCTAATATCTGGTATTATATTCTACATGTTTCCACTTGACTTCACTGAAGAATGTAACTGGAAGTGTTATGTTGATCCAAGCTTGACAATCCTCATGGTCATCATAGTTGTATCTTCTGCTATTGTACTGATAAAAGAAGTAGCTATAATTCTACTCCAGGCAGTTCCCAAGAACATTGATGTGGAGGATTTGGGTAAGTTAACAAGTTTGCTGAGTTCAAGTTGCATGTTAGTTTTTTGTGTGGATTGTAAAAAATCATGGATTTTTGCTGAGCCTTTATAATGGGAAATCTTGTCACGTCTTTATGAGAATGCTCATTGCAGACTTAGCAAAAAGTTTACTATTTTTAAGTGATGAGCAAATGTTAGATAACCATCTCTCCCATTATTATAATAACTACCATGATGTTCTTTTTTGTTCCTCACAAACTGGGTTGTAGTTCCACAGGCAGAGGTTTCCTCCAGTACTGCCTTACTGTATCATTATTCAGGTATTCACCTTGAATGTCAGCATTTATTTGATGTTTGGATGGAGCATCAGAGGATATACTGTAAAGGTAGTGACTGCATATTTGGTAATTTGCAGCCAGTTTGAGCAAAACTATATCCGATAAACAACTAAGAAGTAAATAAATTACCAATTTTATTTGGGGGACTATTGGCCAAGACACTTAATTAAGTATCTTGTGACTTTACTTTGAACTATCAATATGAACCATTATAGCTTTAAAGTAGAGTGTGGAGTGTGGGCATTTCAGACTCCCAGATTTTGGCCTACTCTCATTGTCAAGATACATACATCGAAAATAGTTACTTGAGCAAGGCTCCTATGGAGCACCTTAGCAGAAGGAAAAGGGAATAAAGTGTTCAGGAGAAAGAGTTTGCAAGGGAAAAAAAGTTTTGGCTTGAAGAATCAGCTATTTTTCAGTTTAAACAAATTCTGTATTTCTATTTTTTGTGTTTTAAGATGTAAAGCTGGGTAAAGTTCGAGGATTGAAAGGTTTTCATGAGCTCCATGTATGGGAATTAGCAGACGGCAAGAACATTGCTTCAATTCATATCAAATGTGTGAATTCTTCCACTTGTGAGTCAACAAAGTTAGAGATACGCAAGATTTTCCATAATTTAGACGTTCACTCTGTTACCATTCAGACAGAATTTATTGAGGAGAAGATTAGCACAACCTTGAAATGCAACTACCCCTGCATCTTACACGAATGTGAAGAAAAGATGTGTTGCAGCAGAACTGTAGGCTACGTTTGGAGACCAGACGTGAGTACTAAGCCGACAGGATCTTGTGTAATATGAAGACAGGTAACAGGGTGGAGGAAGCTGATATGCAGCATGTTTGTCTACTTCCATCTCACCATATGTCAGAAGCAAAGGTTATTGGTAAAGGAGGAAGAGACAAACAGACTGTTGTGTCTGCACAGCATGCCACTTGCCAACACACATTGTGTTTTAAAGCAAGCAAAATGTGCCAAGGTCAAATGTTCATTCGTTGAACTTCATCTTTCTTAAGGGAGAACATTTTGCCACAGGAAAGCAATGATCAATAACATTGGTCCATATTGATGTCCATGAGATGATCATAGCTAAAGATTAGCTTCTTTGTTACGGCTGTTCGGAAATGAGCCCGTAGAAGTAATTAGTCACTGAGAATCACTTTATGTGCAATCTTGACACGTCCCAATTTAATCCCAATTTAGGTGCTAATCTGCCTATAGATGACAATGGGATGAAGCTAACCTTTACTTATTGAATATTTTTAAATGAAGCAAACCATGAAGCCAAGTAACATTCTAATCCCAGGAGAATCTCATTGTAATATTATTCCTGAGTCCAATAGCTCAGAGGCCATGTTACAAATGAAACATAACATACCACAAGTGAGAATAATATAATCCTTGTATTTGATATAGCACTTTTCATGTCTTCGAGACGTCTCAAAGCACTTCACAGAATATACTGTAAAATGAATTGACTGAATATTTATGGGCGAAACTATATTTTGTGGGTGAATTTACTGTATATTTGTGATGTCAGCTGTCACCTGATGACCTGGTAGTCAGCCTTTTTGTACGATGGGGATCAGGCAAGTCAGTGTCAGAAGGCGGGTGTACTACACTTCCAGTTAAAGTGGGGCCACAGAATGGCAGCCCAATAAGTGAGACAGTGCTACACCTAGGGCCACTGTAACAGGTTTCCCCTATAACACTTTGAGAAGGATAAGCATGAAGGTACTCATGTCACTTTACAGTATGTTCTGTGAAGCGCCTTGAGACGTCTAAAAAACGTGATAAAGTGCTATATCAAATGCAAGGAATATTATTATTATTTAATTTTAGGAGGACAAGTTTGCAGGGTTATGGGGAGAGAACGGGGGAATGGGATTGATTTGGGTCGAAATGGGCCGAATGGCGTCGTTCTGTGCTGTATAATTCTATGATTCTATGAATTGTGTCAAATGTCATAGTTAAAGTTTGTTGTTTTCAAACTTGGTACATTTTGCTTGCTGGTTAAACTTTAGATTCCCTCCCACCCCCCAAATTGATATAATTGCCATTTATTGGCTAATTACAGCAAATTGGATGAGATCGGATCATGCTCATATACAAATTGCACCATGGCCTTGCCATACTGTGAGATCCTGAAACCCTATCACCTCCCTCCACACATCTAACAGCAGTCTGCTTCATATCCTCTGCCCGATCTGCATGTTCAAGCTGCATGTTGAGCTCTCAGTCTAAGTTATATATTTAGTGCAGTCCTGGGGGAGCTTTGCATTGTTTACAGTGCTACCCTTCAGATGAGGCATTAAATCGAGGTCTTGTTTGCTGTTTACACTGTTAAGAAAAGGGGCTTTCTTCCATAGTCCTGGCCAACAATCCACCAGATTAATTGATGTTTCACCTAATGGTTGTTTGTGGGACCTTACTTTGGGTAAATTGGCTGCTATATTAACCTATAAAAACATATTCACTATAATTGACAACATTTCCTTTTGAAGAACCATGAGATGTTTTGACATAGGCATTATATCAAATTCAAGGATTATTAATATTATTTTAATAGTCCTTAATGTTGACAACTCTGCCTATTGTTAGAATACCTGGATGAACCTCATGTTTAATGTGCTTAATTATATTTGTTCAGCATCTTTATTCAATTACTTTTGTTCAGTTATTTTTGCTTAGTACCTTTGTTCAATACCTTTGTTCAGAACCTATGTTCACTGTGTTTGTTCAGGCCCTTCTTTCAGTTATCTTGCTCAGTTACCTTTGCGCAGTTCCCTTTCTTCTGTAGCTTTGTTCAGTTACTTCTGTTCATTTACCTTTGTTACCACCTCTGAATTGTTGATCCACGACATTTTGTGTGATACTCATATAATAAATATTCATCCCATTCTCATTTTCTCACACTTTGTACCAGAGACGACCCTCATGCATTTCACGGATGTCTTTTGGATTGGAATCTGGTTCAGGAATTTTTTCTAGATCCTCAACAGTAAAATTAACATCAAATAGTGAAGAAATTAGCAATCAAAACTCAAGCACCTCACTTCCATTACCTGTGGTACACTACAAGTCCTCAACAGTTTCAGATGGACAAATAGACAGGCTCCAGGTTAGTTGAGCTGAAAATATAACAAACACCCCTTCCCTTAACTGCATCATCAGGACGTGGATGTAGGTGTCAGAGGCCTTTGATCTTGAATGCAGCGGAGGATGGAATAATTGCAGCTCTGGGATCTCACAGACAGTTTTGAAAAGCTTCATTAATGTTTCCAATGTGATAGGATATTTTACTCATTAATAAAATTGGGAAATTTGAGTTACCTGCTTGCATGATGTGGTGATTTTCTGAACGCTGGGTATTCAGCTCGTTAAACAGGTTAGTTTATTTGTCCCTAAATTGAGTGTTCTCAGTTTTTTTTAAATTTCAACTATTTGGCTCTGCCACCCGACATCCTGCCTAATTGGCCATTGTTCAGGCGTGAGCCTTGGCAATGAAATAAGTGCCAGCAAAACCTTTTAACTGTAATGGGCTCCACAGCAAGTCTGACCTCTTCAACCAGGTGCCATACACCCATTCTGCCAGTAGAGAGTGCTGAAGAGGTACTAGGAGCAGGAAGCCTATCTGATTTTACAGTCCCTGGGAAGGCCAAGGCAAATTGTACCTCACCTCGCTGAGACCTGCAAACTCAGCACCGACCAGGATTTGAACCAGCAAGCTTCTGGTATGTAAACTGCAGTTCTATCCACTACAACATTGGGGCTGCCCCCACACAGCTTAGTTGAAATAAGATGTGTCTGGTTTTACAGTCTATTCATCGTGTTGGTGATGTATAAGGTACGCTAATATACAAGTTTGATTACATTCAGATACTGGTTTGACAGAAATTGGGGGTGGTTTCTGGACATCAATACACAAAATACAGACAACAGGCATGTCATCCACACTGGTCTAAACCGGTAAGGTAGCTGCTCAGTGAAATTATGGAGTCCGGTAGTGTATTGGTTAGAGCACTTGCCTTGCAAGCGAGAGGATCTGGGTTTGATTCCTGGGCAGGGTGAAACCTTAACCAAGTATACTTACTCCATATGCCTCTGTTTACTTAGGATTAAGTAAGAACCCGGTTGTTAGTCGATTGGCAGATCGCTTCCTGGGGGTAATAATCCCTTAAAAAAAAAGTGGTCACTCAATCCACGACTGTTTGTGGGACGCTGCTGTGCACAATTGGCTGCTGCGTTTCTCCTACAAAATATACATTTGATCCACTTTAATATATTCTGTGAAGCGCTTTGAGATGTCTCAACGACATCATAAAGGATTATATCAAATGCAAGGATTATTATTATATAGGAGTTGCAATCCTGGGAATCCTGTACCTTTAACCCTCCTGGGCACCCACTCTGCAGAGGGACGCTCTCTGACGTACTGATTCCACGGTGCTGGTGTGGAGAATGACTGCAGACATCCTGGATGTGGGGAGATTTAGCATCTCAGAATTTGAAATTTGGAAAAATCCCCAAATCCCAGGATTCAGAAAGAGTATTGGGATTGCAACCCCTAATCTTCTCAGGCAATGGCACAATGTTTCCAACAAATTATAATCCAGTTCTATTGTGTTGGATTAAAAGTTAATTCTGAAGTATAGTGGAGCATTAAAATCTTCTGACCGGGAAAGCGGATAATTTTGTGCGGTGGAGAATTCAAATTCAATTGAATTTATTATATGCGTATTGTGGTGAGATCCTGTTTGTAATGAATAAAAGGATGTTTTCTACACAGACAGCAGTTTATGTCCTTTTCTTGAGGTATTATTCCAAGTGTTCCTGTTGCAGAAAGAGGAAAAAAATGTGGTTTGAACATTTTTATAAACGCGGAACTCACTCTTAAGAGTCTCAATCAGTAACTCAATCTGTCATTTTAAAGAGTATCAAATGTTGACCTGGTTACATTAGTTATCCAGAGGGAAGTATTGTTGCTATGGTGACCATTATGTGTTTTCCAAATGTTAAGAGTCTTATGAACTTGGCTGCTTGGATTGGGCTGGGTTTCAACCAGGCTTTCATCAGCAAACTTTTGGATACTGTATCTTGCAATATGGAAGATTATTATGTCACAAGAAATGCGCTTAGACTCCCCAACGTTTGTTGAGTCCTGTAGCTCAGTGGTTAGAGCACTCGCTAGCGAGAGACCTGAGTTCAATTCCAGGCAGAGGGCGAAACCTTGGGCAAGTTTCCTTACTCCACACACCTAATAATAATCCCCCCAAAACCAAAAACAATAATAAAATTGGTCATTTTCAATCTACAACTGTTTGTGGGACATTGCTGTGTGCAATTGGCTGCCGCGTTCGCCCACAAATATACAGTCAATTCACTTTACAGTGTGTTCTGTGAAGCGCTTTGGGACGTCCTCCCGGCGTGAAAAGCGCTATATCAAATGCAAGGATTATTATTATTATTAAAGCTGGTGTGGATCCCATGACTTCGCTCACATCATTGACACAACCCACGTGCTTCTGACTTGGGACTGAGTTCAAGGGCCTCAATGCCCTTGCATTGAATTGAGCCGAGAAGCTGAACTGCATGGCCCCCATGAATGACTGATTCCCCGGTGAACGTTCTTAAGATGGCTTTGTAGCCTATGATTAAGAAATAATTCCTTACCACTTCACCTCATACTTCAAAAGATGCAAAGTGCTACCATCCATCTTGTACGTGACTTTTCAAAAAGAAACTCCTACGACTCCAGGGGTGTTTTGGAAAATTGAATCAAGCTGCAGTAAGTGGCCCGGGTTCAGACTGGGGGAATCTGGATTTTCTTTAATATTTTCTTTAAGCAGGATTTCATGTTAAAAAGTTGTCTTTTACTTTCGGGAAATAAAAATCAGTGACTGTTAACTGGCAAAGTAAATCCGATATCAAAAGTACCATGCACTGTTCTCTAAAGCCAGTCAGATAAAATAAGGAGGATAATTATCTGACTAGCTGTAAACATGATCAGGATCAGTGAACCATCCCCTCCATTGCTCTGCACTCACAGTGCATCGGAAAATATTACTGGCGCTGAAATGAACAAAACAGTGCGAACAATGATAAATAGAGTCTCCTCTATGGTAATGGGGTGAAATTGAAACGTGATGTGTTATTTATATCCGGTGCTAATCATCAATTTGTAAAGAATTCTGTTTTGTCAATATTTGGTCATGGGCGTGTGACCCTCTCTCCCCAAAGTTATCACAATATTTGGGCTTGAAGCTGTCTGCGGCCACCACATCCTGAGATACCAGTTTAACTTTTTTTAATTTGCCAACAAAACACACAGTTACTGCACTTTACAGTATATCATGTGAAGTGCTTTGGGATGTGCTCCTGATGTGAAAGGCATATACCACATGTAAGGATTATTATTACTATTATTAATAATTGATGAGTTAACCCAGGAAACAGCACTCAAATGCAATTCTCCGCAAGTTGCCTAATGATTGATTGGGCAGCCTTAAGCAGTTTGGCCTGAAACACTGAGATAATGTTGTTACGGGCAGGGAAGAGGTCCCAGCCTGTAATGATAAGTGCTTTGTCACATCCTCCCAACCTGCATGAAGCAATATAAATGTAAATTTGTATTGTTTTGTAAGAGTCCCACCCATGGCCAGATATTGATAGGACTCAATTTTCTCCATTACTACATCATAATTCCCACCAGGATTCTGTTAACCAAAGCCCTAATGGGTAGGGTGGTCCTGGCTGAACAAACAGTGGGAAGCTTGTCAGACAGTGCTTTAAAATGGCATTTAAAATGGCAAGCCGTGTGATTTCATCACTGCTTCGAGAGCCTTGGCAGCCTCCTTGTACCCTGGTGACCAGAACTGTAAGCACTACTCAAGGTGCAGCCTGACTAGAGCATTATCCATTCAGTATTATGTCTGGGGAGTTAAACTCAACTGTTCTAGCAATACAGCTCAGCATCCTATTTGCCTAAAAAATAATAATAATCTTTGCATTTGATATAACCCTTTTTCACGTCTTCTAGACGTCTCAAAGTACTTCACAGAATATACTGTAAAATGAATTGACTGTATATTTGTTGTCAAAACGCGGCAGCCAATTGCGCACAGTAGCGTCCCACAAACAGTCGTGGATTGAGCGACCAATTAATTTTTTTGGTCTATTGCTGTCTCACACTGTTTTGAAATAGTGAGCAAAGAGTTAACTAACATCTCTGGATTTCTTTCAGTTTCCCCCTTGGCAAGTTCTAATATTTTTAAACATGGAGTGATGGGTTTCTACACAAGTCAGACCCCCGGGTGACCTAACAAATTGCAATTTTCACCCCAAAACTATTTTTTTCTCTCAAGCAAATCACTCAATTTCAAATTCATATTGTAACTAAATTTAGTTACTCCCACATTTACTCCCACATTTACTGGCTGCATTGAATCGCGGGAAATGACACCCTGACATGTTGGCCTATGCACACTTACCGTCTCCAGTGACAAACTACTGCATGCATAATACCGGCTGCATTCAGTTACGCACATGCAGTGCAGGTTAAATCGGATTTGATACGATTTATACAGTTTGCCTGCAACTCGGGCTTAATGTAAGTGATATTAAATGTTATGTTCCCAACTGATATGACTTATGTGAGTTTTACTGTATTAACTGTACTGTACAACAGCACCCTCTTGTGCCAGGAGGATTATTGCTTTGCTTGGCTATCTTGCCCAACACCAGTTTCAAACTCAATTGTCCTGCTGAAAATCAGTTGAAAAAGTAACATTAAAAAAAGTTTTAATTTCCTGTGTCCAAATTGAATGTTTTTGAAGCTTGCAATTAACACCCCTAGAAGATTGTTAAGAATTTGTTTCAATGGAAGACCTAGTTAATCTCCATCAATATACAACTATCAAAATTATATCTAAAGTACAGAGCTAAAGAGAAGGGCAGAGTTAAAAGGAGAGCGGGAAACACATTTTGCACAAAACCAGGACCTATACCTACCAACAATTCTTTGTGAAGTGCCCTTGGACATTTTGACATGATTTGGGTGTTATTTAACTCAAATAGATCTGCTAAAAGGACTGCCATTAAAAGTATGAGAAGGCAGAATAGCAAAAGGACTTCATAGACTAGTGCTAAATAGCTATAATTAACAGGTCTATTTCATTGAAAA